CATTTCCCATATACCTCTTGAAACCTTTGATAGTCTCCTGTATCTATGCTTTTGCTGTTGTTCATCTCTTCAAACTTCTCTCTTATCACTTGTATTCCTACCTTGCTTGGTGATATTGCTTTGTTCATTGTTGGTTTCCTGACTGGTGCTTTTGATGAAGATGACGCCCCTGTTTCTTCCTGTGCTGTTTCTGCTTCATCTACATTGGGTGTCTTGTTGTCTTTGGGGATGTTGATTGTTGCTCCTAATGCTTGTGGTTGGGGTTGTTTTCCTCTTACTCTTCTTGCTTTGGGTGGTTTGGTGGTTGTGGATGGGTCTTCCTGAAATTCTCTCTTCTCCTGTGTTGGTGGTTTTGGTTTCTGTCTCTTTGCTTTGGACTGTCTCACACTTAAGGGTTTCCTTTTTTCTGCTGTTGGTATTGATGTTGTGTCCATTGGTTCATTGACATTGGGCACTACATCCACGTTCATCTTTGATTTTTCCTCCTTTAACTTCTTTTGGTGATTTACCTTTTTGACTTGTTTGTTGATTAACTTTTGTGTTGGTTTTATCTTGGACGGTTTCTCTTCCTCCTCTTCGTCGGGTATGATGGCGTCTGTCAGTTTTGATGCTATTAGTCCTCCTATTGACCCTCCCTTTGCTGTTCCTCCTGCTGTGGCGACTGCTTTGATGACTGGTTTGGATGATTTAAGGAATTTCTTTAAGATGCTTCTACTGCTTGAAGGCGGTTCTTCGTCCTCTTGTATCCCTGCCGATGCTGTTGCTCCAACGGCGTCGTATGTTCCTTTGTTTGCCATATAGTGGTCTTGTGAATGACTTAAGTTTGCTTGTTCTGCTACTCTCCTTTCGTTCTCTTCCCTCAACTCTGCCTCTCTGTCAAAGGACATCTCAAAGTCGCTGATGGCGTCGTCCCTCAAGTCGGTCATATCTTCAAAGTCAAGGTTGGGTGTTTCTTCTTCCTTCCTCGCGGTCGCTTCCTCTGCCATCTTTTTGAAGTTCATTTGCTGTAAGTCTGCTGGGTGGATGTTGTTTGTGTTCAGTGCTTGACCCTGCGGACTTTCGTGAAAATACCAAGCGTTCCTATCAAAGATTTTTCTGATGTCATTGGTTTTGAACTTTTCCCTGTCTATTTCCTTGATGAGTTCCGCATAAGTGGGTATTCGTGTCAATCCCTGTTTTGCGTTGATTACTTCTGCTGTCATTGCTATATATTAATACTTTAGATTTTTATATTAATCTTGTGTATCGCCTCTCAACCACTGTTTATACTCATCAATTCTCTGTTTCATATTCTGGACGTTCGCCCCGTAATCTTCCAATCTGTGATTTTTCCTCACCTCCCTCAACCTTGTCATTTCGTTCTGTAGCATCTCATTCTCTTCCTTCATCCTCTGCTTTACTTGTAAGACCTTGTAATCGTGCTCGGTGTTGTGATATTCAAGAAGACGCTTCAGGTAAAGATGATGGTTGTGAGTTGGCATCCTTGCCGTGTTGCTGTCGTTGTGGTAGTAGTGGTCATAACTACTATACATTTTTTTTCTTCTGTCTGGCATTTCGGGCGTTCCGCTCCTGTAGTTGGCACTTTTGTTTGAATGGACGGTTTGTCTTCTGTTGATGTCCTTGCGGACGTTTTCGTAGATGTCTGTTTTGTTGAGTTCCATTTTCTGTTCCTTGATGTTCATTTTTATATATAATACTTTATAAAATTTTTGATGCTAAAGATTTCAATCTTTTCCTCTTTGGCTTTGTTGTAGGTGTCTCTGGCGGACATCGCACTTTGTAGTTCTTCTTTTATTTGTTTTACAAGGTCGCTTTTGAATGCTTCTGGGTCAAAAGGTGGTTTCGCCCTTGACGGTCTTACCCTTTTGGGCTTTGGCGCTGGTTGCGGTTTCTTTTCAACTGGTGGTTCAATTGTTTCTTCTGGTTTCTCCTCTTCCTTCGGTGCTTCCCGATAGGAAGCAGGGCTTTGCCGTGCTTCTTCCTGTATTGGTTCTGGTATTGTTTCTTCCTTTGGTTCTTCATTATCAATCTCTTTTACGACTACCTCTGTCATATATTAATATTATAGATAATTTTTTATACTTTCAAAATCTCGTGCCTCAAATACGGTTTGTTCAATCCTTCCAGTTTGAAGGTTCTGTTTCCGACATCATCGTATTCTATCTTGACAATTTTGTAGGATTGATTGCTCCATTTTGAGTTATACTCCTTCCTCTCGGTGTAGTTGTCTTTTTTCTTCTCAAAGACCTTGACCATATCATTCACTTTGACCTCTGGATATTTGCGAGTGTTCTTTTCCCTCCTTGTCAAATTCACCCTGACATCCATATGGTTCTTGTCGTCGTGGGCATCCTTGGGTTTCATTTTGGTTGATGAATAGACGGTGTCGTTGTATTTATCTAACGCTTTGGACAACATAACAGTCCAACTACCGCGATTAAACCTCACCCTGTCGTGTATCATATTCTTCATTGTTCTTATGAAACGCTCCACAACATTGGCGTGAGTTAGGGTGACGACGTGAGTGATGCCTTCTTTTTCAAAGAACTCTTTTACCCCTGCTTGGAAGGCACGGTCATTATCACTATAAACGGACATTGGAAAACCCATTTTGTTGAAACTCTCTTTCATCGCCGATAATGTGATTGGTCCGGATTTTTCTTTCATAGGGACGACGTTTGCCAACTTGCTGAAGATGTCAATGACCACCAACCCATATCTCGGTTCGTCGTTCTTGATGGGAATTTTCGTCTCTGGTTCTTTGGTAAGGGGTTTCATATCCATTATGTCAATCTGATATTCAAACCTTGCGAAGGGTGCGGTGTAGGAGTTTGACCCCCTGTATTTTCTAATCTGTTTGTTGGGCTGTTTCCTCATAAAGTTTTCCACATCCACCCTGTTGATGGTCTGGTCTTGCTCCTTGGCTTTCTTAAGGGTCTCATTGATTGAACCGAAGCCCGTTTCAAGATTGTAATAGACATTGCTTATGATGTCATCTCTTGAGAGTCTCCTTGCCATATATTATAATATTAGATTTTTGAAATTATCAACAATAAAAAATATACTTAAAGAAAAAATACCTATATATAGTAAGACTAAATAAGATGACTAAATTTGACTGTGGATGTCGTATTATGAGTGAGTGTATCAATCTAAACAGTGCCGACTACAAAAAACCTAACTGGGGTCATTTGCTTAAAACTTTTGTAAATGTTTGTGGAAAGTGTGGCAAGAAACAAATGAAATTCCAACAGATGGAAAACAAACTTATGGAAATGGAAAAGCAACGAATGGAGATGTTTTTGAACTATGAAGATGAAGAGGAAGACGAGTATGATGAAGAATATAAAGAACAATTTAGAAAGATGACAGACGAAGAGATTGAAAGACATATCGGTCTTGAAAGAGTTAGAAATGTAATGGAAGGATATGACAGAGAACACGGTGTAGACAAAATACGAAAGATGATAGAAGAGATAAAGAAAGAAGATGAAGAAGCAGAACCTGAAGAGGAAGAATATGAAAGTGATAGTAGCGAAACACAACGAATGAAGCGATTACAGTGGATACGGGACAACAGAAAACCCAAAAACTGAAAGAGACCCCAAAAACTACTTAAAGAAAAATTACCTATATATAATAAGAGGATGCTATTTACTTACAAAAACTGTGGATGTTGTAAGAAAGAAATGACTAATACAAAGGTTTTATTGAACAACATTTTCCCCGCTGGAATTTGTGATGTGATTTGTGATTACAACCTTCACTGTGAAAAATGTAAAGACTTAAATGAGAAAGAATGTAGATACATAAATTTCAATTATCATTTTGACTACTTTAAAGATAAAGAACTGACAAGAGTAGAAAAACAAATGTGTCCTATCAATTCAGGTCATCTGCTGGTGCGCTATCTGGCTCCAAGCTTTCTCAGGGATATATGCTCGGAACCTGGTGGGTCGACTTAGCCCGTGAAGCCAGGTGGGCGTTTTCAGGTCCAGAGCCATACTGCAGTTGCACCCTCAGCTTCCTTGTGCTGGGCGTGGCTGCTGCCTTCTGCGTAGGCCTGATCTCTGGGGCCGTATTGACTTGTGTTGTCATCTCCCCACGGTGCCGATCATTTTTATCTCAGTTGCTGCACTTGGCCTTGAACACTTGGGGTGATCCGGCACCTGCACCTGGGGGGGCGTTAGCTCGCTTGCGACTGCGGGAGTACCGCAGTTGATGCTTGGGCGACTTGGCCAAGTGGCCTCTTCTGTCTTGGATCGCCTAGGAGTCACTCGAGAAGAGGACTCTTGGGAGTTGGTGACTGATCCAGGTCCAGAGGTCCCAGAACTGGCTGCTGAGGTCGCCTCAGCCACTGCGGCATCAGGGGCTGAGTTCCGCGCTGCCAATTTTGTGCCTACCATTGATTTTGTGGAAGAGGAAGCTGGCGCGCTTTTTGCTGCAACCACCAACACTGCTTTGGGTGAGTGGCATTTTGAGCGTTTAGCTGGATTAGAAGCTGATCCTGATTTTCCCAGTCCGGGAGTTGCGAGGGCTCGACTCGCTCGTGCCGTCAGAGCTGGCCTTGGGGCTCGCTACAAGCTGGACAGGCGCGCTCGGACGACTTGCAAGTCTCCTCAAGTACCAGGCATCAAGCGCTGGTACGTTGTGTTGCGCTCCAGGGATTTTCCTGAGGGCTTCATCACCGAGGACTACGCTGTTTACTGCCGCGAGGTTCAATCCACTGGCAGCGGACGGATCGGTTTTGATCCCCAGAGTGTGTCTCATTCATTCACTACTCTGGCAGAGGTGGTTGCGTTCCTTGCCGGGGCGCAGAGGGGATGGCCACAAGTGGAACTGTGAGAGGCCGTCTATCGCAGACGGCCATTCTGGACTTGCTGAGCGGTTGGACTGCTGGCAAACCCTTACCAGTTCTTCATTTTTGCAGTCCTAGTGATCACCTTGATCAACTATGGACTTCCATAGCATTTTTGATTCGCAGCAGAGAGCATGGGTTCATGGTGATCTTGCCTCACGTCGAGGCCATCGAAACAGTCCTGCAGGAATGGGTGGATGGCGAGGGCTATCCTGTGGCGATCTACGAAGCAGCCGACGTCGTCATCGAGACCATGCGGGGCCGGAATTTAGGCACTGCAAGCGTCCTGTTGGTCGACATGCCCTGGCTTGGGGCTGCGCAGTTTCGGCGGCCAATTGCTCTTCGTCGAGATGCCACCGACCGCATCCTGCGGATCACCGTAGAGGACCAGATTGGGCGGCCTCGGTCGAGCGAGGCTTGGGCGGCCTCGGAAGCCTGGTTGCTATCAAAAGAGCCAGACGATGTCCTCCAGGAGTACTTCTCAGCCGAGTCTGGCGAAGGGGCCGAAGAGTTCCTAGAGCAGGCCGCTGGGGCCAATCATGCTCCTGTTGGAGAAGATCAGTCAGATGTGATTCGGCAAATGCAAGCTCGGATCCAGCAGCTGGAGGCAGAAGCCGCTGGTCGCACCAGCCTCTTAGCCGCCCCTGCGCCTGCTCAGGAGTTGTTCCCGATGCAGATGGCCGCTGGCGGCCTGCGTCAAGAAGATTGGGACCAACTTCAGAAGCTGGCAGGACCTACACCGAAAAGAGCTCCTCGGCCAGAAGCAGCTACAGCTTACCGAGGCGAGGAGTTCGACACGCAGGCCGAGGTGCGATTGGAGGCGCAGGAAGAAGAGGCTCTGGCGCAGCTGGCGCAAACTGGCGACCCTTTGCATCGCATTCTCGCGTTGCAGATGCAGCAGACGCAGGCCTTGCTGGCTCGGATGGGCCCCAGGTCAAGCGATCCATTGAGCCAAGCTCTTTCGGGGTCCTCAGACTCGAACCAATCCTCTTCGGGAGTGAAGGGGTGCCATGCTCGCGAGATCTTCATCAAGCACATGGAAGATCTTCCTATGATCGCTCGAGTGACTCAGCGCAATGTGCTTCAAGACATGGGGTATTCTCAGCCCTTCCCCGGTTTGATGAGGGAGTTCATCGAGAAGAGGGTACCCCTGGGAGACATGCGAACACTGACGCTTTTGAGTCATTTTATGGCGACTGGTTGGGAGATTGGTTTCAACCTGAACGATCCGAACATCATGGGGCTTATGGCAAAGGGACTCATGATGACCGAGCAGTTTTGTTTGGATGGTGGCAGGACGACCATGGGCTGGCTGCTCTCCGCAGTGGCAGAGCCGAATTTTGCTGCCATCGAACGGAACAGACAGCGTCGCGGGCTTCGTCCTTACTCTCGCCTTGCGAGCCCAAGCTGGGTGGCCGCCAACATAGCTTTTCTCAAAGACATGGACTATATGGAGTCGAGGCTCAAGGATGGCACCAAGCAAGACAGCAGAAGCGAGTGGGACAAGGACACCGACAAAGACAAAGACAAAGACAAAAAGCCCAAGCCGAAGCCAAAAGGCAAAGGGAATGGCAAGACCAATGCCAAGACCGCAGCAGCCGAGGCTTCGGAAGCGACGAAAACCTGAGAGGCTTGAAGGGCAGTTCTCCGGGAAGTCCACGTTCGAAGCAACGTGGCGATTTTGCAATGATGGGTAAAGAGGTTCCTTTTTCTGCAGATGCCAAGCATTCAACCAGTAATCATTCCTCCTCATCTATTTTGCATAACCCCCATTCCCGTAGTCCCACTGCCTCATATAAGCGGGTAACTGGGCCTGACAGTCCGGGGACCTTCAATTTTTTAGATATAATTAATGAAGTTTTGCAATGCAACGAACTTGCATCCGTAGGGTTAGCCCAGTTCACTCGGCTTTCTTGCAAGTTGGATCCTCGCACCGCACAGCAGTCGGCATCTGATCGACTGGATCTCTGGCCGTGTCCTCCACCTGTGTGGAAATGGACGGGACCTTCAGCCCTGTCACCAGCGCGCCGGAAGCGCAAGAAGCATCTGGCCTGTAGGAACCACTGTGTGCAGCAGATTGTTTGTTGTTTGAACTGGGAATCCTTAGGTCATCCGGTGCATCCGCCCCCACAAGCTATTGCAGGATATGGCTACTCCCCTTCACAAATTGCTATGATTGAGCGGCTGGAGGGACTTGTAGACTATTTCTTAGCTGCGGGCGATTTCGACTCCGCATCACTGGGCAGGAGTGCTGAAAAATTAGACGCACTGCTTAGCGTCTGCAGGGAACTGCCTGGCCAGCAATGCCAGGATGTGGACCTAGCTGTCATGGCTGAATCAATTAGTCGTTGTTTAGACCCGTACGGGAAACAAGATGGTTCTGTTTTCAGCCCATCCTCATGCATGTCCAAGGATGCCACTGAGAATTGTGTAGCTTCCGATTTTGATCTATGTGAATTTGGGGCCTCCTCCAAAGGTTCGTGCTCCAGCAGTAACCAAACTTTGTGCGGGAACCCCTACCAGTAGGGACGGACATTCCCCGGCCAAAAACGGTGGAGGATGATAATCCCCCCAGAACACCCCCAAAGGGAGATGCCTCTGTAGTTGATCCTCTTCAGCTTAATCTAGGGTGCACTACGGCGAAGCCTGTTGTTGTGAGTAGAATCAAATGGGATTACTCCCCTTCATTCGACCCAATTCCATACTTAACTGACCCCGTAGTTAAGCGTGCTTTCATTAGTCCTGGCACCCTTAGGCTCCCCGAACACTTGTGGGTTAAGGCTCCCAGGGGTAAAGTCCACTGTTCCAAAGCTGAAGTTCTCAAGCTGGCTGAGAAGTGGGACTCTAAAGGGGCTTGTGCATTGTTTATGTGCAGCGAGGTGGCTCATGATGAAGCCGTGGGGATATTCGCAGTAGCCAAAGATGAAACTCATGACCGCCTGATCCTCAACCCCGTTGTCACTAACGGACGCATGCAGCATTATAGCAACTACACGCGTAGTTTGGCCCCGGGTTCCCTAGTCTCTCTTATCCAGCTAGCTGAGGACGAAGTCCTCCGAATTTCAGCCGATGATCTTTCAGAAATGTACTACACATTCAAAGTACCGCCAGACCGAGCACGGCGGAATTGCATCCGAACGGTTTTCAAGCCACAGGAGATCCAGCATCTTTCATGTTTTGATCCTTTCAAACACACAGGGCCATGCTTTGTGGCGCTAGCCGCCTTGGCCATGGGCGACTCGTTGGCTGTTGAAATAGCGCAGCAGGCGCATTTCCAAGTTTTGTCTCAAGTAGCAGGATGTTTGTTAGAGCACGAGCGGGTGGCATATCGCCGAGCCTTCCCCCGAGGACCTTTCTATGAATTCCTGTCTATTGATGATCACCTAGGACTTCAGCGTATTTCAAAGAGCGCCTATAGAGCCAGTGCATTAGCCAGGGATGATCAAGTTTTCAAAGCTGCTGCCAAAGCTTACCGGCAGGTCGGGCTAGTGCAGCATCCTCGCAAGCGCAAGCGGCATGAAATTTCAGGAACATTTTTGGGCGCGGAGATAGACGGAGCGGTCGGCCGTGTTTCGGCTCCTCGTCACCGCATTGGGCTTTTGATGTTGTGCACTTCAATTATAGCTAAGCGGGGAACCGCCACTCCCAAACTCCTCTCCAGCATCCTTGGTTCCTGGATCAACGTCCTTATGTATAGGCGTCCGATCATGAGTGTCATGTCCGCTGTCTTTAATGAGGGTAAACATGTATCCCAACAAACTGTGTTTGAACTGTCACGTAAGGCCCGCAATGAACTGCTGGCTCTCTGCATTCTTGGCCCACTCTGTCAGACCGACCTGCGAGTGGGCACCTGTGATCAAGTGTTTTGCATGGACGCCAGTCCGCATGGAGGGGCTATTTGCAAAGTTCAGGAATCAAAGCATGTAGTCAATGAAATGTGGCGGCATTCCGAACAGCGGGGCTTTTACACCAAATTGGAAAATCCTGCAGCTAGCGTTTTAAAAGAACTTGGTATTGACAGTGAACCTTCATTTGGACCATCCCCTGTTGATCCCGTAGGGCTTTGGTCACTTCCCGTGCCCAAACATCTTTCGGAAGGCTTCATTTGGGATTGTCTAGAGCTTTTTAGGGGGGAGGGCAACTGGAGTGCTGCTCACGAACAGGTTGGCCTGCGAGTCCATCCTGGAGTTGAGATCAAGGACAAAGGCCTATCGTTTGGAGATCTTCTGGATGACTCGGTGTTTCATGAAGTCCTTAGCCTAGCACTACGAGGCGTGGTGCGTGACTGGCATGCCGGGACGCCGTGCCGTACATACGGTACATTGCGCAGACCTCGCATCCGTAGTAAGATTTTTCCAGCAGGGTTTGATCTTAATGACCCGCTCACCCAGGAGCATAACAAGTTAGCCCGCAGGACGGCCTATATCCTCCTGATAGCTTTGCAATTAGGTTCATATGTCAGCGTTGAACAACCTGGATCATCTGTTATGTTTTTGTTACATGCTTTCAAAAACCTGGTCCTAGCAGGGTGCATTCTCACCAAGTTTTGTTTTTGCCAATACGGTTCTGCCTTCAAAAAGCCTTCAAAGTGGTTGCACAACAAACCCTGGCTGACAGGGTTAGCTTGCAAGTGCCGGTGTCCGGCGCAGCGGGGGCACTTTGTAATCCAGGGGAGTTTCACTAGGCAAAATATCCCTAAGTTTGAAAAACTGTGTAACCCCGATAGTGTTTCTGTTTATGGTAGGACCCCTAATGTTGGCGAAGCAGTAGCCGCTTTTTCAGGATCATATCCCATTCCCTTGTGCACCCGTATGGCGCAGGGGTCACTAGCCCAAAAATCCGGAAGTGTAGCCATTATTCCTTTGTCACTCAGAGTCAGTACGTATCTTGAGTTCGGTCTTGAAGCACCTGTGCTGCCTCTGTCAGGTGATGACGAATCTGCCAGCTTGGATCATCCGAGCTACCGGCCTTGGTATGAAGATGCCGAGTGGATCGCTGAGTATTCGGACTCTGTGCACTTCAAAGAGTTGCTCAGGTACCGTTTCCGCAAGAGCAATCATATCAACGTGTTAGAGAGTAGAGTATATAAGACCTGGGTCAAACATTGTGCAAAACATCACCATTCCTCTCGCATCCTAGGGCTTTTGGACTCCAGAGTAACTTTAGGAGCCACAGCCAAAGGTCGTTCCAGCAGCCCAGCATTGACTCATGTGTTGCAAGGGGCACTAGGGTATGTTCTAGGTGGCTGCCTTTATCCCGGGGGTCTACATATCATGTCTGAAAAGAACAGAAGTGACGGACCATCACGGAATCGTCCGGTTCCCCCGGCTTCAAAGCCGGCTCCCAGGTGGCTCACTTCTTTGCGAGCTGGAAACACTGATGATTTTGATTTAGTGGTGATGTCAGCATCTCTTGGGCGAAACGCAGCCCGTTGGCTGCGCTTGTTGCTATTGCTGGGAGGTGACATTGAGAGGAATCCAGGACCGCAGAAGACCCAACGATCGCCCCGTGGACCGCTCGACGCTGCGGTCGGGTTTGCACCAGCCACGAGTCGACGCATGGAAGATTGTGTCACTGGTTTCAAGCTCTGGGTAGATCAAACGTTAAGTTCAAGTTTTTCTTCGCTGGTTCAGTCACCTCATGGAATGGCGCTCGCTCTCCGAGCTTATGGCATGCACCTTTTTGAGCAAGGTTTTCCCAGATACTTGTATGTGTACGCCATCACTGGCATACAGAATCTACACCCACATGTTCGTCCATATATGAGCCCTGCCTGGCAAGTGGATCGGAGATGGCAATTGCATGAGCCTGGTGAGTGCCGTCCAGTGTTATCGGCACCTGTGCTTCGAGCCATTACGACTTTAGCCCTGTTGTGGGGTTGGAAAGTTTGGTTGGCCATTACGCTGATTGGGTTCTCAGGCATGTTGCACCCTGATGAGTTTTTGAACCTGGTCAGGCAAGATTTGGTTTTTCCCAGTGATGCGATGGTGGACAGTCGCGTCATGTATGTGCACCTGCGGAACCCAAAGACAGCCAGGTTCGCTAGACGACAGCACTGCCGTATAGACGATCCTTTGATGATTCAGTTTCTGGAATCAGTTTTTGGCCGTCTCAAACTTTCAGCCAAGCTATATGATGGGTCTGCCTACTCATATCGGCGACAGTGGGACTCTATAATGCAGAAGCTTGAAATTCCCTTTTCGCAGTCGCAGAAAGGGGTGACTCCCGGAGTCTTGAGAGGATCCGGAGCCACCCACATGTACCTTTGCACTGAAGATATTTCTAGAATTGCGTGGAGAGGTCGTTGGACAAAGTTGAAAACTGTTGAGTTTTACTTGCAAGAAGTAGCAGCCCAATTGCTACTTCATCGGCTCTCGACCTCGGCTCGGCGGCGAATAGAAATTTTTGCAAAGTACAGTGTCGATTTACTACTTTGGTTTGTGCGCTCCCATGCGGAGCCCAAGGACTTCAGAGGCGGAACAGCTTCACAGCCTCTTTCTGGAGACCAACTGCCTTGAGTGTCTGATCGATCATTGCAGTGTGAATCAGCAGCAAAATCTTGCTGTTGTCGGCCATCTCACGGCCGCTGGGAGAATCAGCTTAGCGCGAGGAAAAGTGAACTGCTTTGATGTGTCCTATCAATTCAGGTCATCTGCTGGTGCGCTATCTGGCTCCAAGCTTTCTCAGGGCCCAACCCTGTGTTTTGTTTCCCTCCCGACTGAGAACAGCTTCACAGCCTCTTTCTGGAGACCAACTGCCTTGAGTGTCTGATCGATCATTGCAGTGTGAATCAGCAGCAAAATCTTGCTGTTGTCGGCCATCTCACGGCCGCTGGGAGAATCAGCTTAGCGCGAGGAAAAGTGAACTGCTTTGATATATTTCTTTCAAACAAGGATGGAGAAATCACCTATCTATTTATCCAACACCAACCGAACAAATGTTAGGGCAATGAAGAGAGAAATAGATGTTTTGATGGACACCTATAAACTGAAGGTAGAGTTTCAAAAAGACAAGATATATCTTCAAGCGATTAAATCTTATGTAAAAAATCATTGGAAATATACTTATCACATTCTAAAGAACTTTCACGACCTCAATCTCATCATCCGTAGTAAGCGTCAAGGCTGTTGGTGGTTTCCTAATGTTGAACGGTCTTATATGTTTAGAAATAGGGAATTCAAGATAAAAGACATTTTGGAAATCTTCTTGTGTGAATACACTGAAGAACTCTTCAAAGGTTATGAGACTTACTGTAATCCAACAGAAATAAAAGAGCACCTACAAAAAGTGATAAATACTTAAAGAAAAAATACCTATATATAGTAAGAGAAAATGAGTAGAGCAAAAATTGAGGTTATAGATACAGGGAATATTGGTATATATGCTGACTTTGGTAGTGATAGTGAGGACGATGATTGGGAAAGAAAACAAATAGAAAAAGAAGATGAAGAGATTAGAGACTTTGTAAAGTGCCATCCTATGCCTTCACCAGATGATGAGGAAGGAGAAAAGTTTCGGAAGAAAGTAATTGATAGGATGAAAGAAGCAGAAGGAGTAAATGGAATGATAATATATTCATTCGTAAGATTTGATATAATGAAAAAAATGTATGAAAACCTCACTGATAAAAAAGTCATCATTGATTGTGGTAAGGAACTTAGCAGAGATGGAGAATTCAACGCTATGATTATCAACCTAACGCTTTTATCAATAGCAATGGATGAACTAAATGATACAAACAAACCTTGCTTAACACAAATGAGAGTGATTGAACACTGGTGGGATGGAATAGGAAAGTGGGAAGCATAAATGATTAATTCATAATATCTTAACAAAACATATTATGAAGTAATCACCCACCCAAACACAAACAAAAACCCCAACAGTCTAAACAATTATCCCCCTCATCTTAAACCAAACCATCAAGTGAAAGTTAGGGGCAAAATAGTCCCAAAACCCCCACCACATAAAACATCAAAGATAAGGAAAAAACATTGAACACAAACCTAAAAACCATAACAACCAACAATGAACGCTGGAATGTCCCAGCATCCCCCTTTTACCATTTTTTTCCCACAGTTCTGCGAGGACAAGACTGAGAGGGAGGGGCCACTGCCGGTGGCCAAGGCAAGCTTGGATGGTGCGAAGAGCACGGAGGGTTCTTCCAGACCCAGTGCATCTCGAAGTCAAGGCACAGCTGGTCCAAACCCTGTCACTCAATCAGCCAAGCAATTCGCAGATGCGTTCTCCAGGGAGGTTTTAAAAATCGACCGTGAGAGGGTGAACAAGAATACGAAGCCCAGGTTTCAGGAGAGTATTCGCATCATGCCAACAAGTGCATGGTCGAAGCTCTATGCGGCGTTCCCCGCCAGGGCCACAAGCCCTGTGAAACCTGAAGCTACAGCATCTACTCAATGTATTCAATCTATTCCATCCAAATCTGCAGAAGTCTCAGCTGCCACTGTACACAAGGCCTTGCACAGCATCGTGCCAGCACAGTGGTCCTCATTTCATCGGCATTGGACCTGCCAGAAAACTGTGGCCGAAATGATCGCCATCGTTGCCATCCCAGAGATCCGAAATTCAGATGCTGTGGCTGTTGCCACTGTGGCCAGTCTGGCCTCAGCATCTCTCGCCAAGATGGCTGCAGAAGCAGTCACCAAAGCCGTCACCAAGGAGATCTCAATGGTTTTCAGCAGTGCGAGTCCCGCCATGTGGTCTCCTTTGCATCGCAAGTGGTGTGGACATGAGGTTTTGAAGCAAAGCCTGAAGCAGAGTTTGAAGCCCTCGAAGGCTCCCAAGGCCATCCAGAAGTTGGCTTTGGCGAAGGATTACGGTCTCCTTCCTGGCCTCGCCTCGTCCATGTTGGATGCCGCCTTGAACATCGAGGTGAAGGCGATCACAAATGTTCTGAAGGCTGGGGATGTTTTTTGTCTCTTTTCATTTTCTTTTTGGAATTGCAGCGGAACAAACAGAGACTGTGGGAAGCATGACAGCATGACAGCATTGAAGGGAATGGCTGTACCTTTTGATAATGGGACGTGATTGCCATGATCGCCTGAGGCTGAAGAGGTTTCCAAAGCATTGGCGCCCATTGCGCCCATCGTGAAATGCAGTGTGGCTCCGGCCATCTACTCCAAATGGCACCGTCATTGGACTGGCGGCAGGGCCAGCTGAACCAGGCAGCTGACAGTGCTCCATTGGTCATTGGTTCATGACTTAAAACAGCCACGGTTTATGGATAATCTAACAGTTGTCGTAGCCATCCATGGTCCATGATGTTCATGAAACTGGATTGAAATGGTGGGAACTCCATTTGCTCCATATCCAACTTTTTTTATTTCATCACACTTCGTAAGTCGCGATAGCTGGCTCGGAGGCCGCAGACTCGGTGAGAGGCGCCGTTAGGATAGCTTTAATGTTTGATTCACCCAAGATGCACGGCACAATGATGACTTCAATCGAGAGTTCCCTCGATGATTTTGCTGACGCAGAATGTTCCTTTTTTTGTATCCTTTTGTTAGGAAAAACCAGACTTGCAGATACTTGCAGACTGTTTATAGGAGCATCCGCATATGTCGATATGTCGATGTATGACCGTATAGTAGATTATTCAAAACCAAACCGTTGAGCCAAGCTCAAAACATTGTTTTCACATGTTTTCCTAGTTTCTTCATATATTTTTAGAATAGATTATCTGTGTGTTTCCGATGGCAATAGGTCTCATTGCATTTTGTCGTTTCTGGGTTCTCCCCCAGTGTCGGAGTCTTTGTGCGAGCACTTCCTGTTGTTCGGATTCATGACTTGCCCTGTCGAGCGCAAACCTTCGGACAGATTTGGGCAATTCGTTGCTGCAAACCTTCGAAGAATGATGCAAAACAGGCGCCAAGTGAGGTCGCCATGACAGGGAAAGGAAGAATCCTGCTCCGAACTGGGAGCTGAATTGCTGTTTTTTTCAGCTTTGAAGTGGGATGCGCACACAGCAGAGCGATGAACAACTCAGTCATGGACTTTTGAAGTGGATGCTGTTTTGTCAGCTGTCGCCGCTGTCGCCAAGAAGTCTTTGTGCGAAAATCCTGCAGTACTGATCTATTTCAAAGTGACGGAGCAACAGGGCTAATGATTAGCACCTGATGCTACATATGTGATCTGGCGAAGGGGTCCTTTTGTTTTGATCCGACTCTTGTTTTTTTTCGTGGTCTTCTCTATGAACAGTCTGTTTCAGCGCTCGTGCCACCATGCCTGGTCGAAGTAATCTTGTAAGAAAATTCTCAAGTTTGGCCTTGTGGATGACGCCCAGATGACTTCCACTTTTGAGTGCGTTTGCATATTAGGCAATTTCAGACTGCGATGAGACATTTATCTTGTAATTTATGTAGCTGTCTACCTGGCTCCTTCGATATGAAGTCCACTGGGTGGGCTACTGTCATGACCCTTCTAGATCACAGGCCACAGAAGGCAAGATGCGTTGCTTCAGAATCTTGAGAGGATCTTCAGACTGAGAGAAACCTGAAACTTGTGAGTCTGGCATGGATCCTGCAAAATGCTAGCAGGATGGGCGTGCTGGCACAGCTTTTTGATTCTGCGTGTCACATCCACAATTGACAGCGATGAATATATAAATATGAATATTCTGTGTATTACATGTGTGTATATGTATATGTATATGTATGTGTATGTGTATGTGTATATGTATATGTATATGTATATGTATATATATATGTATATGTATATGTATATGTATATGTATATATGTATATATGTATAAATTGTAATTATATATGTATATATATATGTTCAATTGAAATAAGTAACCAGCTTAGGGTGCACTGCTGCGGGCGGACGTGTGGCTCAATATGAGCCGCATATCGCTTCTGATATATATATATGATATGTTATCATCATATATACACTATATATATATATACATATATATATATATAATTATAATGTGTTTTCATCACCGAAGGAAGTTGAGAAGTCAAACTTCCGACAATAATGGTCAGATGGAAACGCAGAGGTGGGAAGAGTCAGAGAAAGAGAAGAGGAGAGAAGATCAGAGAAGAAAAAGAGTCAGAAGAAAGAAGATGCAGGTGCGCGAAAAGGTAGAAAAGTGGCGACCTACTGGAAAAACGCAGTGAATCGCGACTTTTCTATCTTTCGCGCACCTGCATCTTCTTTCTTCTTACTCTTTCTCTTTTTGGTTTTCTTTCTTCTTCTCTTCTCTTCCCTGAGTCTTCCCATCTCTGCTTTTCATCTGTCCATGTTGTCGGAAGTTTGACTTCTAAACTTCCTCCGATTAACATGGTATTATGTGATGGCATAGACAAGGAGGTATATAGCAGCAGATTCAATCACGCACATATTGATATGTGGCCTGCAGTTTCTTGCGTAGCATGGCAGAGTTTGAGATCAAATGTGAGAGGGATGTCTTCAGCTTGTCGTTGGCAACATGGGAATCAGCCAGTACTTTCACTCCAACGAACCTGCATACATTACTCGCCTTTGGCAAACCCATAAATCTTGCAGGAGAAAAAACACATCATCCTCTCGGTTCCAAGCACTACAATAGAAAACCGTCAGCACCAACATTCGACTGCAAAGATCAATGCCCATCATGGCTACAGCAAGGAAGGATGACAGAAACTGAAAGCACCTGACCCGGACAGGATGACATGGCTGTCAAAAAATCAGACCCAAGGAGCCAGTCATTTTTTTGGGGTTGTTATTTAATCAACAGAGACTGTTGCTGATGTTTGAACGGACTACAAAGATTGTAAGAAACTCGGCACCTGAGGCTATGCAGATCGTCCAGGGCCTGAGGTGGTTCTTGCAGTGGCCTGCGACTTATATGGGGACATCGGGCAGATTTCGTGATTTGGCTACGCTCGGGTTGTCTCAGTGTTGGTATGTGGATCAGAATAGTTCCTCACATCGGTAAATGGGAGCCTGAGCAGAACTATCATATCTCGAGTATTGAAATATGCTGAAGAAATTAGACTAGCCGCACAGCATCTAAGTTGCCTGCAAAGTACCAACTAATTAACACTGGATCAATAAAAACCCCAGCGCATTAATAGGGAAATCTAATTCTCGAAATTTCTCATAGGAATTTTACGGAACTTCTCACGATTTTAGATGTAACCGGTTGGAACTTCCCAATGAACTGGGGGCATGAGGCCACAGCACTGGCGGAACGCATGGGCGGTGCTGCCCCTGTGGCAATGATTTGCTTGGATCCACAGGCACCGAAGCAACCAACGAAGCATGCCGAAGTCTGATGCAGAAACTTGGAGTCTGATGAGTCTGATGAGTCTCGAGTTCTTATGAATTCTTTGAAATCTTTTGGCAGCATGAACTGCATTTTCTTAACCTCAGGATAGAATCGGATAGAACCAAGATTTGAAGTGAATAGGGCAGTGCTTTTCACACACATTGGTAGGATACTTGGTGAGCATCGTGGCATCACTTTTCAGAATTTTTCAGATGGATTCGCTTTCTTTCGCAGGTCTTGGAGTATGGCCGCGAACTCATCGACAAGAAGGACCTTCATGGATTATTATCGTCTGATGTAAAAACCTTTTTGTCAAGGGCTTTTCAGACACCAGCCGCGCCACACGCGCCACACGCGATACCTGCCATTCTTTGCCATGAGTCCGTTGAGGAGTCGGCTGGCCGGATCTCTTTGCGCCAGGCGCTAGAGGATATACTTCAAGGCCACTGAGTCTGACCAGATCTTGGAATTGCAATGTTACAGTAATCTTAGGTGCTGGTCAATTTGTTGGGTCTGATTCTGCAAACCTTAGTATCTCAAGCTTGACTCCAGATCATTGCGAGATTCCGGGAAATGGAATCTGGTTATCCAAGTTTGGACATGTATTCGTTGTACTAGACAGCGTCATTTTATGGAACGAACATGCTACAAGTCCAAGTCCAACTGTCCAAATGATAAGGTCTTGTCCTCACCAGTTAAGGTTTGCAATCAATGCCTGAGATGCCAGGTCAAGGTAAGGACTCGAAGCTTCGGATTGAAGAGGGCGAACCGTTTCCAATGGCCTGGGGCATGGAACTGCCTGCCGTCGATGGCAGAATGACTAGAGCATGATGTGCTCGAAACAAGTCCTTCTGACAGCTGCTTTTGCCCAGCTCTTTGAAGGGTTAGTTTGCTCAGCGAAATAGAAAACTAAAAGATATGTTTCGATGTACAACTTCACAAATCTGAAGATTAACCTGGTCTTCAAAGAGAATATCACGATCAGCTATATTCTTGAGATTCTTGAGGGTAAGCGTAACCTCAAGCCTTTCAAAGGAACATGGTAATCATCAGATGGACGTGTAAATATTATTGAATGTAATGAGTAGTCTGAGCCAAGTTAGCCAAGTTTGCCTCAGGCATTGTTGGATTAGTATGGTGTGATTCCAGGGACTTTCCAGCATGGACTCCCCTGAATTCCATGGCTTGGCGGCCTTGGCTGAGCCAACATGGCTTCCCTCTGGCTGCTTTCCATGAGCTTCGTTGCTTTGGTACCTTGCCGAGGAGTGCCAACTTGAGCTTGGGAGCTTTTTGAGTTGACTGAATCAGATGTCCCAAACAGCCCTTGGTCAAACCATTGACTTTCAGTCAACAAGATCCTCCTGCCTTCTTATGTGTTTTCCAGCGAGTCTGAGCCTCAAACGCCAACCATGCCGGGAAGGTTCAAGATGAAACAAGACTAGATTTTTCCAAATTTCTCACATCCCATCCCCTCCCAAACTTGAAAGCAGAGATGACAGCTATGACGCTGAACATTTTCAGGCAAAGTCGTTCCGCGCGCGCTACGAGCCCGTTGCTCCAAAGAGAACTGCAGAGAGCTTCCACTGCACAACAAGTGCTGACCATCGTAGGTGCCTTGGCAGAGCTGCACCTGAAGTGCAGACCTCATCGGCATGGATGGTTCAATGGTTAATGGATGGTTCAATTGTTAATACCCCAGTATCGCAATGGTAAATGGGATAACAATCAACTAGGAGAATTGGCCAACTAGGCCCAATTTCTCAGGTCTTACGATCAGGTTCCTATCACCAACTCTGACCATCCGTCAGTCCATGACCAAGATTGGCTGGTTTGAGGAACACATTTCCAGATCCTTGATGCCCGCAATGTGAGCTTTGCATTTCAAAAGATTGCAGCCATGTATCTCGGTAGCAAGTGGAATCACACTTTCTACTTGGACCTGGATGCAGATTGAGGAGCCAATTTACCTTGGACTTGTTGGCTGTACAGACCCCGTAGCCGGTACAGGCTCGAAATGGCTCGAACTGATGGGATCCAGCTGAGGCAGGCCACGACCTTCGACAGCGACAAAAACTTCCAAAAACTCTTGGGATCTCTGGAGCGACTGGTGCCACAGCTTGACAGCAAGGTCTGGACGGTCTGGACATATGCCATTTTAGGAGATGGAACATATGGAACATATGTGGAGACTGTGGAGATATGATTGATGAGGTTGTTGCCACTTCTTGCTGCCTAAGCAGGAACCGTCAAATCAAACAGCTTTCAACATCCAGGGTTCAAATGACTCATTGCATGCGCTGCATGGTATGCGTCGACAGTGGGCTTTTTGCTACTACTATGATAAATTATGATAATATCTATTGCTGACACGAATAGCGCTATCAGTGACGCTTAGCGGAGGTGCGCTGTTTGCTAGTTGAAAACTACTCCAATTCCCGTCAAGTTTGATCGTCAAGGTCATTCTTGCAATTTTCACGCGGGCCTCGGCCCAACTGAATATAGTAAGTGGGATGCCACTGCCAAGAACGCGGTCAGCGCGGAAGGAACTTGCAAAGCTTTGCAGCAGCCTGAGCACTCTGCGAGTGAAGGGCGATGAGAGCGGGCCCTGGCCCTCTATCATCACGGAAGTGACCCACAGGCAGGAGGGGCAACAACCGGCAGGCATGTCTTGCTTCTATTCAGCACTTCACTTTTCCAAGTTCCTTAGATTCCAGAAACATCAAGAACTGTGATGCTCTTTTTCACGATTTCCTGTGAAATCGCTGAATTTTTGTGAAATTTCTTGGCCAATGTCTTGGCTTCGTGACGAGGCTCCATGCGTCGCAGCTCACCGAGCTGGACATCTGTGAGAGCCTCCGGGCCCTGGCGCGAGTGGATCGTGGCCTGCGAGCCTTTGAGGCAGCGGAATCCATGGAGGTCCGACTGATTGGCGATGGCAACTCGTATAGGACAAGAATTCGGAAAGAATAACTATGAAAAGGATATGGAAAGAATAACAAGGGAATCCTGGGACACTCCAAGTCCAACAATCACACAAATATCATATCATCAAATATCAAACCACTAATTTTTCATTTTTTTCCAAGATCTAGACGATGAGATGTTCAATCAAGGCTTCCTAAAGCATTTTTTGCCTGTCTCAGGTGGCTACCTGGATGAGTTTCCATGGAACCGTGATTGTTGCTTGGCCACGCTTGGCCACTGGAACCAGGATGCTAAGAATTCATCGTTTATCTTCGCAACTGTGGATGCCTGTTGGGAACATGGCTGATCTAAAGTATAGGCAGCACGCCATGATGAAAGTACATGACGAAACAAAAAGAGAGCCGTTTTTGTTTGCTGCCAAAGCCCTGTGAGACCTGTTCAAAAATCTCAAGCCTAGCTTGGCATCGTCATGCGTCACTGGACATTTCAATGAGGTGATGTGGGCGATGGCTACTGCACCCTGGCTTGTCAGACTTGTATGTTTCTGCCAAGGTTTGTTCATGCTGAAGAACGCTGCCTATTGACCTGGGAGAGCTGGCAGATTTCTGCAAGAGTTTCACTTTCCAACATCATGTGCAGGATGCTGTTGCAACCGCCCACCTGCCCAAGCCGTTCAAAATGGTTGTGTACCTCCATTTACTTGTTCTTTCCAGGTGATGATCCATTTCCCATAGGATTGCAGGCAGTTTTCCGTTAACAAATGGGAAGTTCCATCAGATTCCATCAGATTCCAAGGCAGCTTATCCGTTAAGCGCCGAGCTCCTGAACCACGTGCATTCGCAGCTCTCTAGCAGTGCTTCCGACGAGACTCTGAAGTTAATCGCCGTGGCAGCTGGAAAGGGTCAAAGCAGGGATACCGGACAGCTGATGACCCTGGTGGCAACTTGTTGGCAAGTAGGCTGTCTTTAAGATCTTTTACCTGGACCCAAACTAAAGTCTCTGATGTTAGACATTAAATAATATTGCAATATAAGGGCTGCCGCCCACTGCCGCAAATGGAAATCGAACTCTCGCTACAGTCTCGTGCGCTTTTTGTCGACCGCTTTCCCCGATGGAACCGCGAAACCGCGGAAACAGAGACCTCCTTCGGTGATCACGGACGGCCACTTTACCCGATAAAAACACAGGGTTTCGTGTCCGCGAGTGTTTTCAAGCCTGAATTCACGCGCTCCCGATCTCTCACACTTCCCAACTACTTGCATGATGATGTGGTTGCCATGATGATTGAGGTGATGATGTGGTTGCCATCATGCTGAGAGAGCTAGCTATGACAATCGTTCGTAATTCGGAAGTTTCCTAACTAGACTTCCTTTGGTCATGTTGAATCATTATTCATCATTTTTATATCATATATTCTGCGACATCATATAAATTCAGTGTTTCTTCCCAAAAGACGGGTCTTTTGACTGCTGCTCTTCAACGAGGCTGGCCTGGTGGAAGTGGCACATGGCGATGGCCGGGTGAACCCGTCACTGCTACGGACATTGCTCTGGGCTTCGGTGAAAGCATCAGCGGTGGGGGTGGCTGTCAGCCTGGAAACCCTAAAGGAGCTGGCTGACCAGGCGGCCGGACGGTGAGGGGGTGCAATTGGTTGTACGATCACAGATGCTACAAGACTTTAGGTATGCTGGATGTCTCATATTTGACATTTTTTGTCAGTGAAACTTCAGCTCTCATGAACTTTTTGGCGTCCCTACATCTCATCTGGGTCCGATTTTGTGGATGCGCCGCGCAAGGGCTGCCAGGGTCTCCCAGAAGCTGCTGCAGCGGACATCGTCAGTTTTGCATGGGCCGTGGCTTGTGTAGAAGGTTTGCGTATTGTGGCTGGAATTTGGCGCATACAGATGCACTATTCATGTGTTTTGTGAAGGATATTTTGCCTGGTAGAGGAATGCCTTTGAGTGCCATTGGAAGTCTATTGCGTGAGAAGGTTTTGTGTCTCAATTTCGATCCCATTTATCTTGCTCCAATTCGTTCATGAGGCAAGGCAATATAGTATGCTAGACAGAGATGAAGAGATCAGCCCAGGCAATCACAGCATGGACCATGTTCTGCAGGCGTTTGGGAACTAGGCTGCGTCTGGAATCAGTCAGATCACGAGATCATGCTATAACATGGTAGTCTCTGGATATCCAGGGTAGTAGAGCGTCAAATTTTCCCGCTGTGCCCAGCTTGCTGTTTCACTTGTTTTGATGGCGTTCAGATTCTTGAAGCTCCTGAAGCTTTCAAAAACTGTTAAATGTTCCCCAGTGCTAAATGCCATGTTTGGTTGGCAGGACGTTTCTTTAGAGGTTTTGCTAGCCTTTCAGGTAACTGATTTTTTCTTTTGCAGTCACTGAATAGTTACTACGTCAGAGTTGGTGTTCCTCAGATCATGGACAGTTTCTGCCAGGCTTCTTCTGCAGAGGTGCAGAGGGCCTTTTTTTTGGTTTGGAAAGAGACAAAAGGGAACACAGCCGAATACGTAATATTTGTACGTCATATTTGTATATAAAATTAGATAAATGTATAATATATATATATACATATATATATATATATACATATATATATATACATATATATACTTGCCACTGGCCGGAATCTGTATGACCAATTTTCTCGTGATGCAAAAGGCAAGGCAGGAGATGTGGGCCCTTCGTGTTTGATTTGTCATCTACTTGTGGCTGTGAAGATGGACGATTCTCAAGCCAATCTCATCTAAACTGTCCAAATTTTCCAAAATGGGCTGCTGTTTAAATTGGGACACCAACTTGCAGTGATTCCCACTGCATCCCTATCATTGTTCAATTTATAGTGATTTCAGGTGACCTTCCAAATCTCCACGGTAGGCGCTGAAACGAAGATATTTCGATGCACAGCATCTGGCCACGCTGCTGTGGGCACTCGCCACCGGCACTGGAAGCGCTGCCAGCGCCTCGGCGTTGGCACAGCGCCTGGCGCCGCACGTAGCGAAGCTGCCGGAGAAGCTGCTGCTGCGAAGCACCAAAGCTCAGTTGAAGCTGACGGCTGAGGCGGTGAACATGAACATGAATACAGAAAAGACATATGAGAATAGAACAAATGTAGAAAAACGGTCGGAAAATGAATCTTACTGTGCTTTAGAGATTTCTTTGATGGACAAATTCCGATCAGCGAAGCTGGTTGTGGTTTTCTAGCACCAGCAGGGTTCTTTGGAGGCAAAGCATCTCGACCGTGCCAGCAGTGTCCTTCTGGAGTCTATTTGCGATGAGCTTTTGCAGCCTGGTGCAGAATTCAGTAATTATTCAAAGCTGTCAAGTCTGTGAGATTGGTACGGATTGGCAAAGAGCACCTGCCGAGGCAGAGAACCTCCACTGAATCTGACGCAGAACAAGTCTCTCCAAGCACAGTTTCTTCAATAGCATGCGCTCTGGCACATTCTCCACATTCAGAGACCCAGAGAGACTTGGCGCATTGTGAACTAAGAGCATGGTAAGAGCCTAGTGGCCTAGTGTAATAATGTACGCAGCAATAAGCAGCGGCCAAACATGTTGGCAAACCAGAAACCACTGCACAACTGCAAAATCTTGGCTCTCTTCGTTGCCTGACAAGGCCTTCCACTTGCTCTTCAACATTCTTCAACCAACTAGGGTGGAAAGAGAAGAGGGATGCCCGCGATGCTTCCGTCCAAACAGACCAAACAGATGGCCCACTGCCAGGACTTTGTGCTACTTTGGAGCCAATCCTAGTGATGCAAGCAGGTTCGGCTATCGGTTTTTCGGCACATCGCTGTGTTCTAAATCAACTTGACCCAAAACGCCAGAGCACTGCTTGAAACACCCACAGTTGATTTGTCATGATTTGTTACTGCCTTGTCCTCTGCACTTGCAGGCTCCTTGCCCCCAAATCACTTAGTGCGGCTGGCTGTCGCTGCTGCCCAACTAGAAGAACCGCCGACCAAGCTGGTTGGTGCGCTGGTAGCTGCGGTAAGTACAAAGGCCAGGCAGCTACATCCGAAGGCAGGAATTGTGCTTTCTTGGCCACAATTTCTTGGCCACAATTGATCCGAGACATGAATAGATTGAATAGATATGGTATCATTTTAGCTCCCAATCTTTGCAGCTTAAGCCTCCAACCAAGGGAACTGAGGGGATCACAAGCCATTGAAAGCGTGACAGGACCTTCAGCGAGTAGCAAAGTCCTTAGCAGAGATGAAGGTGGCGGACTGCCAGGACGGACGTGCGGAAAAGGGAAATGTCAGGTTGTTCAGTCCATCACTTTTGCTTGCTGTGCCCTTGGAGCCATGGGCGCGCCTCCTGGCTTACCTCGATCATCACTTGAGCTTCCCGACTGTCGTTTGTTTATGTTCTATTTGATGAGATGAGCAGAATCGTCAAGTCAGAATGAGCAAGGGCTGCATCAGGGCAGACAGATTGCGAGTTTGAGATTTCGAGCTTTGAAGTTGTGCACCTGGAGGATTTGGCTGACACATGCAGCACAGGGTCAGAGCATGTGAGCAAACAAAAAGGCAGCATTGCATGGAGCGCTGACATGCTTGCAGAACCTGATGGAACACGATCGAAATTCATGATGCAAAGGGTAGCTGAAGAAGTCTTTGCAAAAAGGAGTCTCTTTCGAACTGGGTATTCGTGCACTGAGGTCAGGCTTGTGCGGGAAGACGCAGGTTGGGCGAGCATTCTGCACGAAACAAAGAACTGTGTTTTGACATTTGACTGGATGACCTTGGATCCGCGCATGTTCTTGGAAGCTGGTATCGCCTGGCATTGGTTTGGCTAAAGGAGTGAATTCAGCTCCCAATTGCAACATACAAGTATCTCAGAAATGGGTGGATAGATTTCGAGGAGATATTGGCATCAATCGAAGAATCTTATCTAGGGTATATCAACAACTTGTTCCGACCCCAGAGATCGTTCAACAGGAGGTACCCTACCTTCCAGCGTTTGCATTGTTAACTTTTGTTCGCAAGCGCATTTCTTCCCAATCTTCTCTGTTAGTGCCAGTAATGGTGTGCTCAAATGTGATGTTGCAGATTGTTGCAACATGATGTGTTGTGTATGTTTTACAATATTTTACAACCATACACAAGTGTCTCATTGTCACAGCCACCTGAAATCACTTGGCTATTCTTCGCTGTTGGAGCGATCCCGGTGCCGCCTCGCAGCTTGCCGTGGCTAACTCCAGGAATCGAAGAGATCACACTCATTCTCTTCGATGCAGTCATTTGAAATCATCACGAAATTGTCACTCAAGAATACGTCTTATCAATCTTGGTCAAGTTCTAAAATGTTCTACCAGCATCAGCATGGAGAAGTGATAATATGTGTGCATGCAAATGGTGGCTTTGGTTTGGATCCGGTTCTTCTATGAATGCTGGACCAGCTTATCTCATGCAGCTTCGTGCTTTTCGAACAGCTTGAGGCCAAGCCAGTGGCAAAACTTTCACCATGGGCCACCCTGGCTTGCTCTGTGTCATTGCAGGGAGTTTCTTTTGAATTATCGACCCCTGTTGTTACGGGGGGATGATCAAGATGGGGAAGTGGATCAGCCGGCTGTTTGCCGGCAATGCTTCTATTGGACGACTACCATGGAGATGAGGGGTATAGGGTTCAGTTCAGCGCATATAACAGTTTTTTCAATGTATCTTTTGACTTGAGACATCAGTACCCTGAATGTTTTAAATAGCCGCAACTGTTAGGAGTTACAAGCTGTTCCAGTTGAGATAAAGTTGATATATGGCTGGCGGCATTGGTTTCCGTCTTGGGGTGGGGATAGGGGTCTTGCCTCGGTACGGAGCTGTGCAAAGTGTGCATGAACTCTGAGCTGTGCTGAGTACAAGTATCCTATGGTATCCCCCTTCCCTGTTTACAATCAAGGATCAAAGCTGTACATATCTTAGCACCACACTTGTCCTCTTGACTTTCTGGGTGACCGGAAGCAATAGGACTTCAACCTGCTTCGATCCTAAACCTGAAGAGTGAGAGAACTTTTTCTTGCTATGCATCTGGGCAAATTGAACCCATTCAGGGGCAGGGCGAAATTAGTCTGAACCAAAATCAGTCCGAAAAGGAAACGTCACAAGTCAGTATCTACGCAAGACAAAGGCGCTCAATCTCATTCTGGAAACGCAGAAAGTACGCAAGGGAACGTCTGCACAAAGACCCCTCAGAGATGCCAACATCCAAGGACCAAATCTTGCTGAGAATAAACAAAATAAGTATCGGGTTCTTCGCTGTAGCTAGTCTATGTGCGGACCAGAGTTCATCAACTCGCCCGCCAGGGACGAATTGCAGTCGCACTGACGACGAGACTCCAGGCAGGTTGCGTTTCCTCCCGCAAGCCCATATTTGACCATTGTGGGTGCATGATCTGTGAGCCGTTATTCTTGCTGAGAATCAGCTCTTTTGGTTTTCGTTCATGCTAGCTGGTCGCTATTTGTTGCAGATGGTTTTTCCAGCGGGCAAAAGAGGAGTTTTGAGCAAGTACACCATTCAATCTCCTCTGTTGCTGATCGTTTTCTGCTTTCCCTTGGAGGATGATATCGGAAATACATTTGCTCGGGTATTCACAACACAAACTTCGACGATTCTTGTGCATGCGGTCTCAAGCGAGATTCTTGGCTGTAAGGTGTTCTCCTCAAAATGAGAAGCGCCAAACCCATTCCTGTCTGGGCCCAAACTTTGCTCAGGAGCAAAAGCAGGATGACTAATATTGTCACAGAGTGTTGCACTTTTGTTTCAAATAGTCGAGGAGTTGTACAATGATGCTACGTACCCTACAACGATGCTACGTACCCTTTGCATTGTTTCTCCATACGTTTCGCCCATCCGGTCGAAGGCCTCCAATCAACATGGATCAAGCTGAACATTGGAAGCGCAGCAGTGCTTCCCGGCAGAGGTCTATCTTCACATCTACAACTTGGGCTCTTCAGGGCAGATGTCCTTTGTGAACACCGCTCGAGGCACAGCAAGGAAGGACACAGAGAAAGTCAGTTGATGATATGTCCAAGCTGATTCCTGAAAAAGAATCATCACCAGCATCATCACGAGCAGCATCACCAGCATCATCACCAGCATCATCACCAGCATCATCACTAGCATCATTACCAGCATCACCAGCATCATCACCAGCATCACCACCAGCATCACCACCAGCATCATCCACAGCATCATTACCAGCATCATCACCAACATCACAACCAGCATCATCAGCATCATCACCAGCATCATCACCAGCATCATCAGCATCATCACCAGCATCATCACCAGCATCATCACCAGCATCATCAGCATCATCACCTGCATTATCACCTGCATCATCACCTGCATCATCACCTGCATCATCACCTGCATCATCACCTGCATCATCACCTGCATCATCACCTGCATCATCACCTGCATCATCACCAGCATCACCAGCACCGTCTTCTTCTTCTTCTTCTCATCATCATCATCATCATCATCATCGTCATCACCATCACCATCACCATCACCATCTCCATCACCATCATCACGAGCATGATCATGATCATTTGCATCAGCCAATGCCTGGTATGATTTCATCTAGAGATCTTCGGCAATAGTGACCTTGACAAACGTTTGGACGAGGTCTTGAAGTCTTTCGACAGTGGAGCATTTCACTGTGGAGTGGAGGTGACACTGGGGTTGAAATTTTAGTCCTATTTCCATTGCTAGTCTCAAACAAAATCAGTGAGAATCAAATTGATGAAAGTGAGAAACATGATGCATGTTAGACGAGTCATTCCGAATCCGCCACGTGGGCCACTGCGACACAGAGCAATGACCACGAGAGCTCTGGTTTGTATTTGAACATTTCCTCGCTGTTTTTTGGACACAGAAATGTTGGATGTTTGCGTGTAAAGATATGCTTTGAAAATTTGGAAGCAGCACCGCAAATTGGAGGTCTACGGTTTGGAATGGAGTTTCTCTGATATCTTGGAGGTCAATGCCGGAGACCAAGTCTTTGGCCTGCAATGACATGAGGGCACTGACGGCAAAGTTTTGTCGATGTCGGACTGCATGATGTGATACGAATTGATGTGTACTGAACCAATGTTGATGATCTTTTGATGTGGTGAGCTTCCCCAAATCTTAGTCACGCTGATTCCCTGGTTCCCCTTTTTTTGTGACGCACCCCATTGCAAAGCAGGGTGAGAGATCGCGGACTGGTGTGTTTAGTTCGTGGCCGAAGCAAAGTTGGGTCCTTGGAGTCAACCGAACCCCGCTTTGCCTTGGTCGTATTGTGGATGTGGACAACTTCTTTTTGAAAGGTTGAAAAGAAAGAAGAGCAAAGCAGCCCAAGTAATGGGGATAATGATCACAATCCATTAGTAATCCATGAATAATCCCTTGGACATGAGTATTGAATCACTATTATTTATGATCAGAATCCAGCCAGAGGTATTGCAGTAGGCACTTTCACCAACGCCAGTGTCCGTGCTGGCAGAGCAAAGGTCCTGGCCATCACTTTGTTGAAACCGCCGGAAAGCACAGCTGCTGTGAATTGGGACCTCAGTGGAGGTTTGGATGGGTCAAAAGGGATCAAATTACCAGATTATTACAGTACCATATTTGGGGGAATAGACATTCATTATCCGTAGGTTTCAAAAAGGCCAGCTTTAGACTTCTTCCATACGTCAATGCTGTGCTCCATAGCAGAATTTCCAAGGCTTGTGGAAGCTTCGTTTCTTCTGGTGTTGATTGAAGGTTTTGAAATTGTGGTGGGGCCTTCATTGATATTGATACCCCGAGCCCCAAGCATACCCCCAAGCCGCGGAGGTTCCAAAAGACATCCATGTGTAGGGAACAGAAGCTGATTGACTGACATCCTCTGAATGTGGTACATGCATGGCAAAATATGTAGACATGACATTACTTTCGCCACAACCAATAATAAGCCCAACCAGTCAGGTCAGTATGGGCTGCACCAACAAAACGGAGGCACTCAGGGTCCTGTTGTGATGATTTGAGCTCGTTTGCCTTAAGCTTTGTGTGGTCGTTAAATGAAGGCCAACCTTCCCCTTCGACTCGTATTTGGGATTGTTCACGCAGTGTGCGACGACGAACTCTGCCTGTTGTCAATTAATACACTTAGTAAGGCGAAAAGAAAGTCCTTTCTGGTGAGAGTAGAAGGCCGACCAGAATGGTGAAATTATGATGAGCAACATGTCACAATTTCACCCTGACCATGCAGAGTTTTGAGATAGAAGCAGACCAAATTACGGAGGACCTTTGCAGAGGCTCTTGGCAAGCAGCAACCTAATCACTTTCTTGTCAGAATTGACATGGTTTCCAAGCCCGAGCATCATGTCTTAGATCTTAGATCATCTTACTGTAGATTCACAGATAGTTTCATCCCTTTCAGACAGATCCGTGGGAGCAACAACATAGCGGTCCTGAGGTGCAAGTGCTGTACACTGTAGCGCAAATGGAGGCCAGAAGACTGAGAGGGCTCAGAGAGCTTGCTCTGTTTACTCAAGCGGTTTTAGTTGGGAATTAGCAGGGTTCATTGAACTAGACATTTGAGTCGCTTCACGACGAGTACCGCCCGCACCCAGGGAATAGGACAGAAAGGAAAGAAGCGGGCTCGTGGCAGCCGACTGGGGTCAAACTGGCCGTCCTAAGTTGGGCAGAGTACGAGCCAACTTGGCCCCAATTTGGGCCTAACTTGCTCTGAACTCGGGCCAGCTGGCGCCAACTTCAGCCCACTGGGGTCCAACGTGGTGCGACTTGGGAACGTTTGTGTGCCACTCGTATCACTCGCTGCTAAACTACCACGCCTCGGCACCTTCGGTGCGGGCGGATTTCTTATGAAACAGTTTTTTTTTCTGTCCGTTTTGTTGTCGCAAAAAACTTTCAGCAGCGGACTTTGAAGATGCCTGCGTGACTTGCTGTGATAATCCTTATCGTTGCCAGAGTTTTGTCAAGGCTGATTGGCCCATTTCTGAATACAACATTCTGCGGAAGAACTGTTTGGGCCTCAAGATCCTGGACGATCCTGGAAGACCGCGAGAAAACCCCAAACCGTGCCATCTTGGATACCACCTGAGGTGACACATGTTTTGTTTTCACTGTTTTTGTTTCGCATTTCCACAAAATGTGTGTGCAAAAAATCGCCGCCAGCTCTGGGATGTGGAGCTGGCGGGTGGCAGCCCTTTACCACGAACAACGTAAACATCGTAAACATATGTTTTTATTTTCTGCGACCGAAACCTTGTCTCAATTTCAAAATAGATAAATTGATCAAACGACCTACCATTTCTTATACTTTACCCGGATCGATCAAGCGGTTGCCAGTTTGCACTTCCACCAGGTTGCCACTTCGCTGATGCCTTGTGCAAAGAGCTCGGTTTGTATCTCAGCCTTTCACCAGTTGACTAGGCACCACGATTGGATGATTTAAACATGAATATATTGGCTGAATGGGTGGAAGCAGACAGGATATTCATGCAGATGCACTGAAACTGATTACAAACTATATATAGTGGGAACGTTTTAAATGTGGATTGTTTGATTTGAAACTACACAAAGACATACAAACACAATATGTTCCTTCTTCGTGTATGACGATTCTTCATGTTGTTCAAGCGAAACCTACTATGACAGCTGGTTGAGTTGGAGGGTCACAGATTCGATAGTTTTTGGGTCATCTGAGTCATCTGTGCAGCATGGAGAATTGTCTTCTTCCGGTTCCATGAGTTTCCATACCGCGTCGGACCGCGGCCACCGAGGTGTTGGTTCTGTTCCTCAGCGAGTGCTGAATCTGTCGAAAGCGGGTGTGACTTCCCAGGGCTTGTCCTGTCGACCAGAAGAAAACCTACAGTTTCTGATACAGACGATTAACAGATATCAAAGAATATAAAAAAATGACTTGACATTTGACTTCTCAAAGGATGTCAGAAATCTGAGCCCTGAATGCCTGGCATTGCTCACTGAAAAGCCGTCCAGGTGCCTCTGTTGTCGATGTCGCCCATGCAACATGCTGCAGCAGACCCAAGGCCACATGTGATTTTCAGAAATGCCGTTCTGAAGATCCCCAACCGGGTTGTTTCATTTTTCTTTTAGTATGGTTTTGGTTCGCCTCCAACCCTCTCCCCGCTTTTTTTTGGGCGCACCGGTCAAAGGTGATGCCAGCAATCTACAACAATGTCAACAATGTTCAATCATTTATTTCATCGCAGACAACTTTGGGGTAACTAGTTCGGCTGTAACCCCATCCCCCTGATTCTTCAGTGCTTGTTTATTTGCGCGGTTTAGTTTATTGAATTTGGTTACCTGGATGGTGAATATTTCGATTGTCTTTTGAGCTTATTGTATTTGAATGTTTTTGGTTACCTGGAACAGCGGCCGAGTAAAGAGCCGGGTCCTTGAATCGTGATGTGAAGTGCTCCCAATTTTTCCGTCGATGTCTTGGGAACAGATCCTGTGTAAACTTTAGTGTAAACAACCCCGACAAGTATTGTCCAGAGAGAATGCCTTTAAAAACCTTGGCTGGGATTTTATACTCAGAACTATTCGATGTACCAAGCAATTCTGATAGCACCTAAAACACGGAAGTAGAGCTTCACAGCTTCACCCACTGAACTGCGCTTCAGCCGCTTCAGGCATGCGGCGCTCTGAGCTGCTGCTATGGTGCCCCGGTGGAGAGGATGTATCAGGACGTGGCAGAAGTATGCAGAAGTGTGGAAGCCATCCCAGCTTTTTAAGACGTGCCAATTCTTTTTGGATCATTTTGGAAAGGCAATGGAACGTCAAAACGTCAATCTTCATCCGGGTCTGGACTGAGACTCGCAGACTTCATTCCGGAACATCGGACAGGAAGTTTACACCTCGCCGCGACACAAGGACCGGGGGCTGGGGATGTCTAAGTTTTCAGTGCAGAGTCCGTACTTTTGGTATAGTTGAAAAGTTCTTTTAATGAACAAAATAGGTTCCATCGATTTTGGGCCACTCCAGGATCATCACAAACGATTTTTTTGGTTTGAATACTGCTGTATATAATTAAGGAGTTCACAGGTTTTGCAGATGCATTTTCAAATCTATTTGAGTCACTTTGAGTCTATTACCGCTTTCACCACCGCATCCATGTTTTGGTGGTTGGGTGGTTTCACGTGAAGGATAAGGTTACGACGATGGAAGCCCTATAATCATTCTTAATTGCTGCTGTATGCAGCTGTTGTCAGTGATTGTTTCCGACGCTTGCGTGCATGTTGTCAATCAGATTCCCCCGTCAACCGTAGACTCAGGAAGTTGTCTCCTGGCAGGCCAAACTGGCATCACCAAAAAGGCTGCATCCCACGCATCCAGAGTTCCAGCTGACAGATCAAGACAGGCGAGCAGACCTTTTCAAAGTAGACTCACTAGACACTGTTCAGTTCCTATTCAGTTCCTATTCACTTGCTGTTGCAGTAAGTTACAATTTCTGAGTACTGACTGATCAAGGTACTGCAGGAGACTTATCAAGCTCTACAGTGACCTATCATTCTGCACGACAAGTCTTCTAATCGAATATGACCTAGATTCAATCGATGCACTGGGTAGCAGAATTTGCAGACTTCTTTGCACTCGAATCTCAGGGTGGTCAAAGAGCCTTTGCAACTTCAAAACACGCGGTTCTAGATTTCATACGCTTGAAAAGCGGTTACAAGCAATCCACTTGCACAGTATTTGATTCATAATATCCCAATCGCTCCAACTGAAGAGTGGGGTGTGGATGCCTTGCTCAGGATGGCCCATGAAGCTTTGATTGTGCCTGTGTCTTACAAGCACAAGTCAAGCATTCACCGGACATGATCAAGTCTAAGAGGCACTGATCCAACAGCATCCGCATGAACGACAACGGTTTAAAGGAAGATAACGGAACTCCTACAGTAAATGCAGGTGACGTGCTAGTTCTATCAGGGGGGAGAGAAACTGTGTTTGTATGAAGAAATCACTTGCACTTCGACCTCTCAACTGAAGCCTGTGTCTTTTGTTCCACATCTTGTTGGGCATGTTCGGCAACGCTCAAGAAGAGCCGATGCCACATATATTTCAATTAGTGTAGCCCTGGAATTTGATGGCAGATCGAGTCCTAGTGGTTAGACAATTCCTCAGAGAAGTCAAGTATATACCAATTTCAGTCAATTTCCAGGGCAGCAGTTTCACCTGGGCCTGGCCCGCTGTTGCGCGATGCTACGAAAAACCGTCGCCACCATGATAGACAAACAGGAGGCAACATATGCAGGTGGAAACAAGATTGGAGGTGGGTGATGGTCAGCGTGATCCAGCCCTGCCTGGTGAGTAACGCTCAGAACAAAGATGTGATAGGAATCGAAGCAACTCGAGTGTCCGCAAAGCAAAACCGGACTCGGGCTCTTGATCCATGAGTGACCTTTGCGCTGACAGTCACATTATCGCAGGTGCACCCCACGAATTTGCCGGGTATCCCAGTGTGAAGCTGGGCGTGACTTGCCCCTGCGCTTAAATGCCGCATCCTGGAACTAACGCTTGCAGGCTCTTGAGGGTCCTTTGTAGAGTAGGTAAGTCACTTCTGTGTTTTCCATTGTCCGATTTAAATCGATTTATGTAATGTACTTTCAAATGTCGCATTGTGTTTTCCATTCTTTTCCATTCTTTTCCATTCTTTTCCATCTTACCGCCTCTCCAGTCCTGTCACCTCGCATTGCGGCTGTTGAATTTCCTTTGAGGATCCTGTCTCCACAGAGGTCAATGAAGGGTCACACACCCAGCGAGGGTCCGAGGACGTTTTTCATGTTTTTTCCCTTTCATTTCATCAAAGAGATCCAGGAGTTGTTTGATCACTGAGTGTCAGAGAGGTTCTGCGTATATACTTGATTACAGTAGCTGCTCAGTAGCTGATGCAAGGAGATAAATGATGTAAGAGTCAGTTGATTTACGTAGATGCAACGGTAGAAATGCGCACGTGGCGCCTTCTCCCCTCACCACTTATTGCTGGAAAGCCAATCTCCGGTCGGTTGTATTTCGTTCATATGGCACAAAACAGGCAATCTGAAACAACCTGAAACAACGAAAAAGCTGAGGTCGGCCCCAAGTCTTTTGGGCAAGCGAAGCTGGTCTCGCTGGCAGGCACCGCGATCCTGTGGCCACTCTATGCCGCCTTAGCCCTTCCAGACAGATGACACAACTTGTGAAGTATCACCAGTACCAGTACCAGTACCAGCACTATTTCCAGTAGCATCACCACAAGCACGACCAGTACCAGCACCAGTGCCACACTCAGTAAGCACAAACACCATCACCATCATGATCACCATCAGCATCATCGCTGGCATAATCATCTGCATCACCGTCAGCATCATGCTGTAGTCATTGCTGCCGCCGCCGCCAGCATCAGCATGAGCATCAGCATCAGCATGAGCATCAGCATGAGCATGAGCATGAGCATGAGCATCAGCATGAGCATCAGCATGAGCATCAGCATGAGCATCAGCATGAGCATGAGCATCATCATCATCATCATCATCATCATCATCATCATCATCATCATCATCATCACCATCATCATCATCATCATCATCACCATCATCATCCATCATCATCATCATCATCATCATCATCATCATCACCATCATCATCATCACCATCATCATCATCATCATCATCATCATCATCTTCATCGTCATCATCATCATCATCACCATCATCATCATCATCATCACCATCACCATCACCATCACCATCACCATCACATCCCAACATTTCTCTCGCCAGCGTCGTTCAATGCTGACTTGAAACTGATCGAAAGATTGGATGGCTTCGTTTCTTTGATGCCAAAATGGTAACAAACAGCAAACCCAGAAAAGACGATACGTTTGAAGGTGATTGTTTCATGATCAAGTTGATTAACAACTGAAGCACAGACATTCTCCCATTTCATATGTCCGAAAACAGGGTGTCTGTCTCTCCTGCGGTCTCTGCAGGAGGAGGAGCAGCCAGAGGCCCCATTGAGCATTCCACGGAATACCCGGCGAAGGAGTGGACGGAGTGGACGGAGTGGACGGATTGGACGGAGTGGACGGAGTGGACCTAGTCCTCATGTCCTTGGGAGTAAACACATTTAAAGGAGTTTGACTCTGTAAGATCGCATCATTTGGAGAGTTTGATATTGCTTGAAGATGGCCTAATCATCCAAATAACTGCAGTGTTTTCAATTGCACCCATGTGTACTTGACCAGGGCCCCAAGTGTGTCATTGACCAAGACTTCAGATGATTGGAGCTGGCGAGGCGAGTTGTGAGTTCCGTTGGGGGGGCGGGTCTCTCAGAAACTCCCGATGCTCTTGGGAGGGTTTAATAGCCCAAGCTTTGCATTTGAATTTGCTGCCCGTGATGTGACAGACTGAACCTCCTTCCCGCGAAACTTCGCCTACAGCCCATGGAATTGAAACTTGCAGCCAGAGCTTTCTGACATAAGCAAAAGCACCAGACAGTCTATGTATTCCTTGCGGTCGTTTTTAGTTCAGCTATCCGTCCGACTGCCTGATCTGAATAGTGAGCACAAGGCCTTTTCTGTTTGTAGCAGCAACCCTGACTGGGCTACTCAGAAGAAGAACACAAAGCGGATCCCACTTGGTGTCATGGCAAAATGACCTCTTATCGCAATCAGCCTGGGATCTCCTGGTCTCCCCCACTGAACCATGTATATAATTGTATATATATATAATAGTTTTTGCGTCGCGCCAAGTGGGGAATGCAAGCTGCCAACTTTTCTTTTGTTTTGCGAGGCTCCAAAAAGTGGGAATGGGACAGCAGTACAGGCCATCGGGGAAAAAGTTCATTTAATTTGTTCTGATTCCGCGGACGTCGGAGGACATCGAAATTCACTTACAAACAGACTGTATTGAATTCCAGTAAGAACAAGCTTCCTGGAGAGATGTCCATTCACAAACGGAAGTCTTGCATTGTTCTTGGCATTGTGGAGGGCAGCACGTTGTGTCTAGTACCCTTGAGACGGAAACTGCAGCTTCTGACAGATTGGTCCTTGAGCCACAAGAAAAATGACGAGGACTATAAAGGTGCTCTCCTGCTTGATTGCAGTGCCAATTGCGATGTCACCAGTACTTCTTTTTGAAGCTCAGTGACAACTAGTGACGGGGACTTGAGATGTCAGCCTCCTTGTTGACAGCTTGCCTTTGCACTCTTACCCTGAGCAGATTGGTCCAGCTGGGACAAAGACTACTATGACTATGACTACGGCAACTTCGGCAGAGGCGATGTCAATTTACACGCCGATATCTCCCGATTTGTTTATTTTCAAAGAGAAATCACAAGGCTGGAGGGATATCACAGTATATTGTAGAACATTGTAGAACCGTTGATCGGTTTGCCTACTGTGTCATGAAAACTGGTTGACGAAAGGAAAGTCCAGTGACTGATTGCGGGGAATGACCTCCAAAACGGTCCTAAACCGCCTGCGGTTGATGATGTTGGAATATGTTGATGTTGCAGCCGTTGCAGCATATTTCAGCGAGGCAAGTGGTCCAAGTCCAAGCACAGATCTGGCCGGCGCCTTGGTGGTCCTTTGGCGACCGGGGCTTCAAATTAAACCTGCCGAAAACACTCAGGTTCGAGTTGGAGCGAAAAGGAGGAGCTGGAAACTCTGGGCAAGAGCTCGAATCATTCTCTTGTGGCTATATTTATGGATGAGTTTATTGATGTTTACTGGAAGATTTTTGGAACGCTTATATATTCTCCTGTTTCATTTCCGGTGGATGCCTGGTGGTTTTTCAGGAGACTGTAGCCTCCAGCTCAGCTCCTGCACAAGCGACTGCGAATGGAGTGATGCTCTATGTGGCAGCCTTAATCATTTGATGCTCAGGAAGTTCGACAGACTGGAACCAGTTTTGGCATTTTTTTTGGGAACGGGCTGCCTGTGTGTTGCCGCAAGAGGTGGTAGATGGCGTCGGAAACTTAGATTTGGACCGGCGTCAGCGACTTGTTTCCCGCCATCAGAACTTGAAAATGCAGAGCAAATACGAAGCAAGGTGATCCAACATATCATAACATATCATCCTCCAATCCTCCACGACTCTATTCATCCACCTAGCCAGGTGCCCATCGTCAGCGTCGGCAAAGGAACCGACTTTGCCGGGCTCTCGATGTATGACAAGATCGGGGGTCAAAGCCGCCCTCAGATGCTCTTCGTGGTCTCATGGTTCATTCTGAATGATTTTGATGCACGTTGTTCTATGCACTTTAAATGCGAAGTCCTTACTCACACCCCTGTTGTAATGTGCTGCCTTCCGAATCTTTTACTGCTCAGCTCTGCGACTTGCCTTTGAACTGTGCACCCCGCATGCCAGTTTAGCGTTGAACAGCATGTTGTGGACACAAACACGTTCTCCGCCACTTCCCACCGCTTCCCACCTGAGGAGTCCAATGCAGCACCGCTCTTGCAAGCAATTTTACAGGCCCATTCGAAGGCGCCAGACAGAATCATCAGAGTTATTGAGGTTAGACTGTTAACTGAAGAAATGACGTAACGCGTCACACTAGAAATAAGTCTAACCCCAGTTTCTCCGACGTTATTTTATGTTATTTTAACATTTTCTGCACTGACTATGATTCGCAACAGCACTTCAAAGGGTCAAATTCCGTGGCAGGAAGCTTTCTTTGATCAATGTCCAGCATCAAAGGAGCATGTCTTGCCACTTGCAGATTCCACAATTTTTGTATTTTTTTTTGTGTGACGGCTGCTCGGCTCTGATTCTGAGACTGGGCATTAAATTTGATGCAATCTTAGTCATGATTCATGAATTTCTCTAGAAATAGTTGAGCATGCTGAACTGAACGAGAGAAAAGATGTTGGAAAGACATTAAGACCAGAGTTGGGCATGAATCACTAACGGCTCCAGCAACCAGACTGACCTTTCATTTCTCTGATTTGGCCGTTTCCGTAGCGCAAGCCATGTCTGTGGCCATCGAAGTGTCCTTGCTGAGTGGTGAGAGTGTTCAGGTTGAAGTCGAACCAACTCACCGGGTCCATCAGCTGAGGAGGGGCGAAACATGTGGAAATAGATTCCAAAGACACTAAGACGTGCACACACAATTTCAAACAAACAAACAAACAAACAAACAAACAAACAAATAAATAAATAAATAAATAAATAAATATACATGCATACATACATACCATAACAAAACATAACATTACATTACATTATATTACATTACATAACATTACATTACATTATATTACATTACATAACATTACATAACATTACATATCATTACATAACATTACATAACATTACATAACATTATATTACATTACATAACATTACATTACATTACATTATATTACATAACATTACATATCATTACAGAACATTACATCACATTACATAACATTACATCACATTACATAACATAACATAACATAACATAACATAACATAACATGACATACATACATGCATGGAAAAAGAAGTGCTTGGCGTCCTCTCAACAGCTATGAATTACAGCCACTAGTGCTGTGAGGTTAATTGCACAGAGACTCCAACAAGATGGTTTTCATCAGGTTTCCGCCAACACAAACCGCTTGCTGCATGAAGTGTTTGGCCAGGCAGAAAGCACAGACGCAGCTTCAACTTGGGATTGAGTGTCTTGGCTTCGCCATCTTGTGAATCTCTAGCTTGAGCAAAGAGCCTTAGGCAGCCGCGCCATCATGCAGCTCATCATCATTTCCAATGTATTTGTGGATAGACACAGTATGCTGCTTTCTACAAGAAAAAACAACGGCAACAGGATGTTTTCTTTTTGCAGACGTTCTCCTTGGTGCCTTCCAGGTCCTTGCTGACTGCTTCTGGTCAGACTCTGTGCGATCTCGACTGCATTGCAGAGACCAATCTGAAGGACGGTGACATTTTGACTGCTGTGTGCAGAAGAGGACAGCTGATCTCTGGCCCCGAATCCTTGGCTTCACGGCAGAATCTCCTTTGTTCAGTCAGGGGGCGTTTGGAGATTTTGGGAAAAGGCTTTCAAAACTTCAACGCCATTCCGTCGTCGTATTTTGATTATTTTTGATTGTTCAAGAGTCAAGAGACTCCATTTTCTGCATCTCACAGCCAAGGCTTTCGCCTATCGGCGAAGCGATGGCTCCGTGCTGACTTGGGGCAATGAAGCCTGTGGCGGAAGCAGCAAACGCGTGCGTGACCAATTGGTGGATGTGGAGCAGATCCTTGGCGCAAGACCTGGATGATCGATGATAATTGGTCTTATTTTTCACACCATTTTACTTTCTAGGCCAAATAGGCCAAATAGATCCAAATAGGCACTTGACAATCATGGTAGAGCATGATAGAGCACTCAGCCTTTTGGTAGATGCTGCACGACTAGGATCGCTGCGAACAACTTCGCGTTTGCTGCGCGGCTTTCAGATGGAAGCGTTGTAACATGGGGAGAAGCTGGAAAGGGCGGCAATTCTCGACATGTTCGAGCTGAGCTGACATCTGTTGTTCACCTGGAAGGAAGTACTGCAGACTTTGCTGCTCTGCGGGCAGACGGGCGAATCGTTTGCTGGGGATCAATGGCACCGGACCCGGTGGCAGAGAGCTTGTTGGACACCAAGCAGTTGATCGCCAACTCCAGTGCTTTCGCTGCCCTTAGCAAAGATGGCCATGTGGCGTGTTGGGGCTTGCGAACTTCAGGGGGATACATCCCGACAGAAATTGCCGAACAGTTAGTTGATGTGCGACAACTGCACGCCGGCAGGAACTGTTTCATAGCTACGAGGAAGGATGGAGCTGCCGTGGTGTGGGGTGATTTTCAATTGGACAGAGATGTTCCATCGATGGCTGACGAGTTCAGAGATATTTTGGAGGTGGCATCCACTGGCTATGCGATAGCTCTTCTCCGTGCCGATGGCAGGGTGCTTTTGCTGGGTTCTCTTGGAGCAGAGCAGGAAGCCATTGAGTTGGAAGAGAATCATGGCTGAAGAGATTTGTAGGCCTCACTTTCTCATGACTAGGATCTTCAAAAATATAGTATTGGCATACTACTGGCATCAGAAAAGAAGAACACCACTTTGGAGTTGGTTTTGTGTATCCTGGACATCCACTATTCGATAAGCCGAGGCAGCTGACAGACGTGCAAAAAATCCGTGCAACTTGTGGGGCCTTCGCAGCACTGCGCCAGAGTGGGAGCGTTGTCACGTGGGGTCATAAGACGCAAGGACAGGGACGGGATCCATTGCATGATGGTGCCAAAATGAAGGTGGGCTGAATTCGAGGCTAAAGGAAATCCGATTGAAATGCCAGGTAGCAGAAAAATGCAGATTGCAAAGATCACTTTGGGCGACTTCCGTGCACACCAACAGCTTCGTGTTTCCCTGCCTCAGGAGGTGACAGCCGTAAAGTGCAGGAACAGCTGCAGCACGTCCAGGACATGGTGGGCACGAACTTTCTAGCCGTTGTTATTCGTTGTTTCTGATTCATCCTGATTCATCCTGATTCATGATATTCATGTCCCATCATGTGCCCATTGTTTGTTCACCAATTGCACTGCTGAAAGCTCTCGATTGATCTCGATTTGATGTTTAGAACTTGATGAACTTGGATGTCCAGGACATTTACAGCACCAATGATGCTTTTGCTGCAATCAAGTCTGATGGCACTATTGTTGCCTGGGGTGATGGGCGCAATGGTGGTGATTCCTCGGCCGTTCAGGACACAGGGCTTGAAATGGAAGCAACTTGTGCCCCTATGCATCCTATGTGAAATTGACCTTGAACACCTGTGCTATTTTGTTTTTGTCGAAGTATGAAATTATTGTTGGTACACTTTCGGGTGGTCTGCATTTTGTGATGAGCCACTCCGCCTTTTGGAGAAGTTTCTGCAGCAGCTACAATCTCATGAATTTTCAAGCTGCCTGTCATGCATCAGCATATTCTCCTGTTCAAGCACAAGCCTTTCAAATACGATCAATACACCTTGGCGCCAACTTGAGAAAGAGCTTTCTCCGAATTATTCTCAAGTCACCAGACAACAGAGAAAAGTGGTGACGACAACTTGAAAGTCCCAGACTTTGGCCCACTTTCAGGAGCAGCTCTGTCAAATTCAGCAAGTCGCAGGCGTGATGTGGAGATGGAGCTCTGCAGGGTCATTGATCCAATGTTTGTAGGATAGGGAACTCTTCAATTGTGTACACATATGTACACAATATCTGGAAAGGATTGGAATGGGCTAAACATTTTTGAATGATCATTATCTTTCAGCTGTTGTCCATCTACCCAGAATCTAACGAATTGGGCACCCATTTTTTCATATTTTTTTCTGTGGCCAGGCTCTTTCGCCGCCTTTGCCGCCTTGCGTGAAGATGGGGAATTGATTACCTGGGGCAACCCTGGTGGGGGAGGCGATATCCACATGAACGACTTAGAGGACTGAGACATGAAGCGATGAAGCGAAAATGTTCCACCTGTCCCCCTGGTCCGACAGAACTTGGGGATTTGTGCAGTCTGTGCAGTGTTTGGGAGCCAAAGAAACGTTCCGCACAGCACCGTTCTGAACTTCGCGCTTTTTGGAATCATTCGGATGTTGGAGAGATGAGTGCCATTGGAAGTCGGCGATTGATATTGATTTCTGTGATTTTCTCTCAATAGAGCGGGAAAATTCAGCGCAAAAGCATAGCGGTTCTTCTCACAGTCGTCCGACATTTGTGTTTGATAAGTTTGATAAGTTTGATATTCAGTCCTGACAACCGTGATGAGCTGATCGCAAAGCTTACCCTTCGAGTTTGCCAAGTTGCACATGTTGGTTTTGCGAGAGACGAGTCATCACGGGGGCCAGGCGGAGTGTCTGTACGAAAACTGCGACAAACTTCCAGAGGCCCGGAAGTGCAGGTGGTTTTCAGAATGATGTTCAAGCAGTGGTGGGTATAGACTTTCAAATTGACTTTGCGGCTCACCAAGAAATTTTGCGCAAAGGTGGTCTGCCTACAGAACGTGTGAGTCAGTGCAAATTCAATATGTTTCAGGCGAAGCGCATCGCAAAGGAAGCCAAAGAGAGAAAGATTGTAAGTGCCCCAGTTTGAAGAGAGACCACTGGGTCACGTGCGATGCGCAAAGGAAAGTCCTGGCGTTTTCGGTTTTTAATATCTGCCTGCAACTGCCAGAGTAAGAAATGACAAGACTAGACAGAGGCAGCATCACAAGGAACTAGCCCTCTTGTCGCAAGCAGTTTTCCCACCAGGTGTCCTACCATAGCTGTCAGCACGGCGCCAGGTTTCTGCTCGTGCCGAAGTCAGCTTTGTACGGCCAAGAGGCAGTGAGGCGCCTGTCAAACATTGTGAAACATGCTAAAACGCTTCCGGTGATGAAGAATTTCACTGCTGGACTTGGCCTTTAGCTTACTGATCTTGCGCTTTGATTTCTCTGTATCACTCACCATCTTTCATGCATGATATCTTCATGAAGTACATCGCAAGTATGGGCTGTGTACGACTTCTACATTAAGAGCCCATGTGTTAAATAATCTCAAATATCAGAACCCCAAGGCAAATGCAGGCTGGGGTGAAAATACCAGCAGATTGTGCATTCTGGACTTCTCATGCACACAGAGACAAGGTTATTCATTCAGCATCATTCAGCAAAGCCTCGGCTCTGAAATTAGGATGTTACGTACAAACGGTGCTGGAAGCCAACGTGCCATCGCGTAGACTTCTTGACTTTTTGCGTTCATTCTGTTCCGGCAGTCCCCAATAGCTGGCGGTCTACAGGGCAAACGATCGTTGATGTTGGCAGGGTGACTCAGGATATTGACAGGCACGCTATCAGTGACTATCAGACATCTTTGATCTCCATCCCATTGATCGACTTGGCTCAAGCCCTTAAAGACCCGCTCCTTCACTCGCTTCTCTTGTCAAACTGACCTATTACAGTTTCCAAGTCATGGCCCTTCGCACCGTGTCTCTGTTGCTTCTGGTGGTAGTTGGCCTCGCTCATGAGCCAGAACCAGCGAAGCCTGACGCGACACCTGCAACAGTTGGGCAAACGAAACAAGCTCCGCACGGAGGAATTTTGTCTATTGCAAATGCGGATTCACGTGTGTGAAGCAGATGGGATCATGGTGTATATCTTTGACCTCGGCCAGTCCTGTGGAATTCGCTGATGCCCAGGCCACTTGCGAGGAAGCCAGGAAACTGCGACCACGGAGACTCCAATCCAGGAGAACCATGAGACAGAGCCTCCACGGAGAATGGGGACAAGTGGGAAAGGTGCCAATGTGTGAGGTAGCAGCATGATGCAGCATGCTCTACTGCAAATGCGGAAAGAAGTGCGCATATGGTCGGCAGTTGGGTCTCTACTGCACCCTTGCTACTGCTTCCACTATGCCTACAGCGCGCGGCGAGACTGTGCGGCAGCCAAGCAATTGGAGTCGTTCTCGCACAGTCTCGGGAGTAGATCATGAATGATAATGACATACCATGGCTGCCCTTGCAAGGGTCCTCCTAGCGGGCGAGGAGGACCCTTGCAAGGCTTGTAGAGATAGCTCACCAAAGTGGTGACTGCAACGTTTGAAGAAAAAAGTGCAATGTTGACAGTGATTGTGCCGACACGACTCCTTGCCAAACCTTTCAATCTGACTACTTAGGATTGACACGGCATGCTTGATCCAGCCACATCTTCGCACAGTGAACAGCTGACACAGCGCTTCCGACCAAGGCATTGGTTTTCGCTCTTGCCAAACAGAGAAGCTGCTTCGATCGTTGCAGCTGCCTCAGTGGAATGATGCCATGGAGAATGGTCAGTTCCCACTGGCAGAGCTTTTTATCTTATGTTCTATCACCTTCTATTGAGGTCAACGAGATTTCAATACATTGATACACTGTTGATGATGTGTTGATGATTAACCATTGCTTTGGTGGAAGCCCATTGCCAAAATAAAAGAGCCACTGTCCGGTCCAGAGAGCTCTGCATTAGGCGTGACATTTCTTCGCGCGTACAGCCTTGATGACGACTTCAAGAGGCTGCTTGCTTTTTGAAATTTCTCCGAAACACATGTCCAAGTTGAGAGTCCCTTTGCTCCTGCAATGACAGTGCACAACATGAAAGGAATTTGTGGTTACGAAGTTTACGGCTCTTGTTGTCACACTCAAGAATTTTCCTAGTTGAACATTTTCATCACAACCTGGTCACAACTTTGTTTGCCTGGATCTCCTTCGTCACTTGCCGCACTCCAAGGCTGATGGCTGATTCAGGCCTTTCTGATTGAGCTGTTTGAGCTCATTTCACTTGGTCTGAGGCTCAGTCATTCGGTTCATGTCCAAGGTCACTGTAACCCCATCAGAGACAGGCTGGCTACCCCAAACAGCGATTGACAAGGTTCCTACTCATCAGCCAGTAATGTGGAAGTCAGCTAGCAAAGAGACATTCGTCTGCAAGTATCCTGAGCAGACAGTCCTTGCATTTTCAGACATTTTCTCAGGTGAGATCCTGCTTAGCCAAAGTCAGCTGAATCGCAAGTGGCAAAAGCGCTTATTCCATCTTGTTCCATTGAATGGCTTGTGTCAGGTCCCAACGCAGAAAAGGAGTCTTATGACCTGAAAAATGTTATTTGGTTGATTCTTGTCGAATCATATTGAGACTGGTCCTGCTGCTTCAACGAGAGCAAGGACATTTTCATTTCCTAAGCAACATTATTTCTTTAAGCCATTTCCTTTGCCTACTTGGCGCATAGCATAGCCGGACATTCTACTTGCCCTGGATTACATCTGGAGTCTGAAGGGACACCTTCAGCACGCCACATGCCACAGCACTTTTTGAAAAGTGATGAGAACTCATCGGATCTGGATTCATCTTCAAGAGAGCTGAAGCAGCCCGATCCAATGTCTGGGTTTCTAGTTGCTCAAGCAGTTTTAGCAAGAATATGAGATGACTGGATCTGCAATTGAGTCCACCCCCACCACAGAGCATCTTGCGGTCAAGACCCAAGAAACGCGCCTTTGGTGAACATCATACCTTCATACCTTGGCGTTCGGATCTTTTTTTGAACTATGGATGCCCGCATTGACCCTACGCCCAGTCAACAATGAGCCCATTGCAGGCAATCGCAGGGGGCATTTCTCGTTGATATGTTGCTGTTTGATGCTGTTTGTACCTCAGAAGTGAACCTGGCCTCACAACCCGGCTGTGTGCTGGGACGCGGCGAATGGTGACAGTGGACCTTTGCCCCGTAGTTTGATGGCTGGAGTGGTGGTCTTCCACTCACAGGCCAGATCCTTTATTGCCGTTCCACTTCAGCCACGTCACCTTGTATGTTATCCTATTCCCATGTTGGACCACCTGGTCATATCCTTGCAGTTCTTTTATATAAACTACATGTATATAGGTCTATAATTATGTAATGTATGTATAATATATATAATATATATATTATATATATATTATATGTATATATATATATATTCATGCTATATGATTTGCATGTCATGTCCAGACTAGACCAAAGTCCATCCACCAGTCAACCACCTCCACGTGACGAACAGGGACACGTTGGAGTTCATGAAAATCACGATCAATGGGACTTGGAGGCCAGCTGCTTCTTGGAGCAGCTTTGGGGTTGTTGAATCTTGATTCGATCTTGACTACCAGAATATGGAGGTAACTCCAAATCATCCATTTTAGATTGGGAGTTTCCATGAAATAAGCCATCCATTTTGGAGTACCTCCATTTATGGAAACCCCCATATGGGTTTTGTATGAATCCCTATGAATCTGCAACAGATTTCGAATATTGCGGCCTTTACTTTCAGACTAATCCCAGACGATCAGGTCCTGACGGCGGCTGCCCACTGGGCCCTGCAGCTCATGGGGAAGTGCATGCGATCTTGGTGTGGCGTCCCAGGGGCGGGCAACGCTGTAGGGTGCTGCGCTAAAATTTGACTTCTTGATGGACACAGAGTTGGAATTCTTGGAAGTTATTAGAAGTTCATGGAAGTTGTTACAGAAGTTCATGGAAATTGTTACAGAAGTTCATGGAAGTTGGAAGGCGTGGGTTCCCTGAGAATCCTTTGTGTTTGTGCAATGGTGGACCATATGGTAGGTGAGGACTAAATCTTTGCTACGGGGATTGTGAATGTTGGTGAATCGTCAGCCATTGGGATGCAATCGGGATACATCAGGTCCATCAGAGCAGTAACAAAACACATCATGACAGGTCTGCCGCTATGCCGCTATTTCTTTCATCGCTTCCTGCAGCATTGAAGCAGTAGGAAAGAGATGTCGATTGTGGAACAGTAGTCCTTATAGGACTTGGCCTCCGCAGACCAACTTAGAATGTGTAAGACGACCAAGAAACATCAAGAACCCCTTCAGCACGGCAAGATTGAAGTGCATTTAAATATATTTCACAGACTTCATTCCTTGGCCCCTTGGCATCCCAAAAGATGCATTTTGCTCACAGCTCACCCAATCAGTCTCCTTCAATTCGGGGAACCACGAGCCCGTTGCCGGTGCCCCCCGTGCCCCCGGTGCCCCTGCCATGGCGAGAGTGAGCCTCTTTGGTGCCACGGGCGGCACCGGCCTGGAGATTTTGACTCGTTTGCTGAGTCGACCCGAGGTCTCTGAGGTGCGCTGCGTGGTGCGCAGTCCAGAGAAGCTTCCAGAGGACGGGTATCCCCTGCAGATCAAACGTGGTAACTACCTGGTAACTACCTGGTAACTACCTGGTAACTACCTGGTAAAGCATGGTGGCTTCATATGCAAGTTGCTGACAACTCAGAATGGAGTGGACTTCATGACCTTTTGCTGGGAAGTGTAAATTGTTTGTGATATATTATGGTATATTGATGTATATTGCACTTGTTGTCGTTATCTCTTTGATGCGTCACAGTGTTTGACACACGACTTGACTACTCTGCTCACTGTTCCAAACTTTTTGCAACCAACACACTGAAATTCGCTGCATCCAGGAGGGGGGTATTCTTCCACAATGAATTTCTTGTGATGCTTTTGGATATTCAGTTTTGCTGCCTGTTTTTTTTCTTTCTCTTGCTTCGATACCACAACAAACCAATGGAGGAAGTTCGGAAAAATCCTGCGCTGAAGCTAATCCAGGGTTCTTCCACAGATGATGCTGCCGTGCAAGAAGCGTGTCTTGATACAGAAGCTGTGATCCTTGGCGTTGCAACTGCACCTGTTTGGCCTGTTTCTTTCCTGATGCTCGAATGGTGTGCATCAGCTCCATTGGTGTGGGCGACCACTATCAGCATTGCAGCCTTTTTGCCAAGTTCTTTGCTTCATGGATCATTCCTGAAGCATTGGCAGATAAGCACCTCCAAGAAGAGATGGTCAGAAAACTGAAGAATTGGGTGGTGGTAAGACCCGGAGGCTTAATTGATGCGCCAGCAAAGTGATATTGGCACGCAGCAGAAGATGCATGTGGCTTTTATCCCACCATTCCTAGGGCAGATGTGGCAAGTTTTGTGATGAACGAATGTTTGCCTCCGCAGAGCAGTTGGCTCCGTCGTAATGTGGCCTTGGTCCACTCATAAGCCTCGCGGCTGGTTTGGATCCCAATCGTGACTGCTGCTAAGCTGGCCTCGTACAGAAAGATTTAAAGGTCTTGAAGCAGATGCGAGTGGTTCTAAAGTTTGCAACCAGCTGGAGATAGATGGGGGTGTTTGGACACATCCAAGCTGCTGGTGTATTATAGATCCACATATTATACAGAAACAAAACCAAGTTTGGGATAATGAGGTTTGATTTCACTACAGTAGCCATTATATAATCTGGATTTCGCAAATGAGTCTGTGCTACTTCCGCAACTCTGATCCACACCGGCCATCCAAACATCAAGGGATATGATCCAGGCCTCACCATTTGTGCCGACGTGGAGGGTAATGAGTAAAATGCCATCCTTGCCGCAAGATTCCAACTAGCCAAAGCTGCTCTTTCATAACGAAACACAGAGATTTTCCTCCCAAAAGGATGGCAATTTGGGTTTCCCTTGCAGTTCACATCCAGTGATAATCAGGCACATTTGGGATAATCGACCTGCCAAGGTCGGACCTCCTTGTACATCGCCGTCGTACGCGTTTGCGCGGCAGGTATTGCATGGAGATGATTCCCTCGGCTCACAGGAGGGGCATCTGAAGCAGACGGATCAGACGGTACTATGCAGATTTATGGAAGATTTCTGGACCATAATTAGATTTTCATAGCTTCGATGCAGGCAATGAGGGTGCCTGATGAGTTGCAGGACAATTCAATTGACACCTTGTGCGCAGGAGGGCGCTTCAATGTTGGAAACTAGCTACAATGGGCCAGGCGGCTTGTTTTGGACTGCTGATGTCAATCAATTTGATCCTGTGTGGCGGAGCGGGTTCGCATTTTGTGATTGCTTAGGGCTTAGGAAGACATTCCGACGGCGAAGCATGACCAGATGGCACTGCAAAGAGACCTTCTGGAGGTGCACAGCCGACTTGTTGCTGATCGTCAGAAGTTTCGAGTCCTTCGCAGCTGGCAATGGGCTGGCAGGACTGTCCCTCTGGTGAGTTGTCAGCATGACTCACTCATGGTGTTATTTTGTTTGATTCTGGATTCATACCTATGCCATCCTATTATGCCAATGTTGTGGTATCATGTATCATCAAGTATGAACATGATTGCAGAGAATTCCTTGGTTCCATTTGGTTTCGAATGGGTGACAGCCAAACTGGGTTTGTGGAATTCCTTGAAGGGCGAGCTGGTAAATTCAAGTGACCTGCATGTACTTGTTCCAGGCAAAGTTGCAGTGTGCGCATTCTGGTGCGAAAGAATGGACTGCTACAGTGTCAGAAGGTCTTGCATTTGTGGAAGAGGGCTACAGTCTGCTGCCGAGACTTTGCACGCCGTCAGGTCTCAAGTTGTACAAGGTCTTGATAATTCTTGATAGATTTTGAGGAACATTTGATCTGCCAGAAGAGACTGAAAAGACTACAAATCTGCTGCATCCCAGTGAGTCTAAGCTGAGGCCCGCCTTTTGAGATGTCGAAGGTTGGGACGGACATGGCAAACACACTGTTTAGGGTCGGCTTTGCACGCACATTGGGCCTTCATGGTTGCATCCTGGACATTGCGCATTCGGTGCTGAACTCTTTCCCCACCATGTTGGGAAACCATGTATATAGATATTGATATTGATATTGATATTGAGTACTAGTTGTTGGTTTCAGATATTGGTTTGATTTCAACCACGTTTCGGATGAAGATCCAGAAGTGACTTTCCATCGCAAGAGCGTGGCTGAAACCGAACATCTAAAACCACCATCACGTCTTCTCCCCTCAGAGGGACTCTGTCTCGCAAGGATCCTTGCAATTCAGCGATGCCGAACAATGGTTTTATGCTCAGAAACCCTCACTACCGACCTACTCACTAGTTGGTTGAGAGGCCAAAATGCTTTCTCACCTTGCAGGTAGCTATCTCATCTCAGCTACCCTCCCAACATCTTCCCACTCTGTGTTCCAATCCAATGCCATACAGAACTCAACTCACCTCCTTCTCTGGTTCCGTCACACATCTTAAGAAGTGAACATAAAGCGACCACCGAGGTCAAAACCTGTGGCAAGGTGCCAGCAAATGAATGCATGACAGCTTTGGCGTTCAAGCTGTTCAAATTGTTCAAGTTGTTCTCGTGAAAAGCGAAGGGAATTGCATGACAATTGCATGACAATTTGGAAACAAATCGATTGGAGCCGAAGGGGTCAAGCGGTTCAAGCGGTTCAAGCGGTTCAAGCGGTTTAGCACGATAACGCGCCAGAATCAGCCCCAGCCCCAAGCGCTTACCCCCCCACCAAGCCGCCCTCGCCCCTCGAGGCACTTTCCGCCTGGCGCTTGCAAGCTGCCGCGCTCGCGGCGCGGCGCTGCTGGGAGGACAGCCGCTGTCGCATGCATCAGGAGGCAGCACTCAACGCCTGGCGGCAGCTGTGTTCTCAAAGACTTTGGGGAAGGAGAGACTGCCATCGATTCTCAGGTAAAGACGGTAAAGATGAGTCAGATGATACAGGTAAAGATGGGAATGACTTGACATCACGGTTTTATTTGTTTCATTTTGTTTCTATTTTATCTACATTTTCAGTGTCTTCTTCCTCTTTACAATGTCTTTGTAATGCCCCTTTCAGCTGGAGGATGCGACTCGAGATGCGCAGGGAGCATGCTTTGATGCTATGGCTTTTTGGGGAATGGAAATGGCAGGTGGCAGCGGAGCTTGCTTTGAGACGCTGGGTCTGGAGAGCCAGAAGTCAAGCAGAGGAAGATGAAAGGCACAGAGAGGCGAGAGATAGGCAACAAAACCAAGTTTAGAGGATTTCAACACACATTTGAAGCGGGAATTTTGAAACCGGCAGTCCAGCAATCTTGTGGCTTACGCACATTTTTCTTCATTGTAGAATCGATTGAAGCATGATCTACAATAATGATGTCTTCCGATTGTTTTCACTTTGAGAGGCCAACGAGACCCATGGGGAATCTCTTGCATTCCAAAACTGGAAATGGTGGACACTGCACCAAAAGGAAGTCTTGCAAGACTCCGAGACACAGATTCAACTCCTGCACATCAGCTTTGCTTGCTGGTCTCGCAATCTGAAAGTCTCCAAATTTCGGCTGAGACTTGAGGTGAAACAAACCACGTGCCTATTGCGCGCCACATGGCATGCCTGGAGACAACACCGACTCAGCATGCAGACAGCCTTAAGATGCAGCATTCACAAGAACCTGCTGAAGTTGGTTGCGGAAGCCTTTGAAATGTGGCAGATCGCCTCCGTGTCAGGTCTTGCTTTGCCGGATCCACTTGGGGAAACATCTCTCGATTTGTTGGAAGTGTCAGCTAGCACCCAACATGCTCAGAGTGGGAAGGACACGGAGGCCCCAGATGATGTGAATCGGACTTTGTCGGATTTGAGCGGCCTCACCTTTACAGAGGGAAGTCCAATCTTGCCGCTTGCGTTTGAGTCAAGCCCTGAAGATGTGCTGAAAGGATACAGCCAGTGGATCCCGAACTCAGCTTCAAGCGCCAAGGAGATCCAAGAGATCGTGGGCGAAAGGCTTCAGGAGCTTCGAAAAGTGCCTCAAGCATTCCAAGAATCTGCAACTTGTACCAGTCCTCCCATCTCAAGTCCTCAAGGTTCTCAAGGTCCTCAAGCAACGGCTTTCAGGGTACCTGTGGCTCCGGTGGCTTTTCTTGCAAGCCCGCTGCGATCTCGTCAACCAAGCCCAGTCCACACACCGCAAGGCTCGGGAAGCCAGTGGAGCGAAGCCAGTGTGCCAGCAGTCCCATCTTTGGTCAAGCGGCAAAAACAATGGCAAAGTGACATCTTTAGAGCATGGCTTGGACGGGCTCGCCTGAAGACCAAAACCTTAGCGATTGATCCTTGGCGGCAGATTTGACACGGTCGAATTTGTAGTTGTAGAATGTTGTAGATTGTAGCTCTTCAATGCGCCAATCTCTCACCACCAGCACTTGCCAGGAAGAATGTTTGAAGTCCAGGGCTACTTGTCGTCACCATCTGGCTTGGCATCAGTTTTGGGTTGTTCAAATCCATCACAGAAAAGCACTTTGCAAAAGGTGCCTGATGCAGTGGTACTTGGTCCAACAGATGCAACATGGCTGCACGAACACGTGACAAGCAAGGGGTTACCCAACACCTGTGAGTCTTACAACTGCCTAGCATGTTTTATGGGCAGCTCCCCACATCGAGGTATGTTTCAAGGATTCAATCGTTGACGCAGAAGACGCTTCTCAATGAGCTCAGTCTTTGGTGGCGTCGCTGGCAAGACAGGCAGCTGTTGTCAGCTACCTTGGCAGATTGTCAGCTGCTCAGATCTTGCACTGGCCATGGCCCCAAAGGACATGCCATCCACAGCACAGGAGATCACAGAAGACAGCCCATGCTCACGTTGGCTTATGCAAATAGTTGGTGGTGAAACATTTGGTTTTCAAAGCTGCCAAGGTCAGTATCATAGGTCCTTGCAGAGCTTCAGCAAGCGGCTATTGGCAGAATGGCAGCGCAGACGAAGACTGCGGAAAAGGTGTCAATCAATGGGATTGAAGCAACAAAAAAAATTGAACCTTGGCAAGAAGATCAGGATCATCCTGTACCCCCTACCCACTTTCTGGTGCCAAGTTTGACTGAGCGAATGAGACTGTTCTCGCTGGGAAACGGGGAAAGAACTCGTTGCATTTTTTTCATTCGTGCCAAGGCTGGTCCATGCCTGCAGGGTATGGAAGAGCCGTTGTGAACAGCGACGCAGAGGATTGGCCATCTTCCACGGGAGGATGTTGCACTTGGCCGCCAAGACATGGATGGCCTGGTGCGACTACAGATCCTTCATGCTGAGCAAACTAACTTCTGCTGAGCGCATGGCGGTTGCTTTGCAACGCTGCGTTGTTCCTTGGTCAAATTGTTTGGGACTTGGGAGAGGACCTTCAGCCCTCGGAACTCGGATAGTTGTCGACGACACCAGCGATTGTTTGGGGTGAGATTGGGTGAGATGAGGCATTTTTGAGGGGCCCTACTTTAGTCTCGAATGATGTCAGCAAAATTAGCTGCCAGCTCCTTGGGATTTGATCGCGTGAAATTTGACAACGGTTTTTTTCCTCTACGACTCTACTTGTTTATTCTGGTTCAAATCCGTGCAGGGGAGAGTGCCCTCCATACAGTTGGCTGATAGAGGATGTGATAATCACCTGACTTTTGTGCAGGATCCTCTGAGTGAATATGGATAATATGTATGTATGTATATATATATGATATATATATATAATACTGTAATAATAATAATAATAACAATAATAATAATAACAACAATAATAATAATAATAAATAATAATAATAATAATAATAATAATAATAATAATAATAATAATAATATATATAATATACTATATGTATATATATATAATGGAGATATTAGAGAGGGTGCTGGGGAGGTATCTCATCTTCCCATCATGGTGTTTATGGCGATGATGATTTGCTTGATGATGATGATGATGATGATGATGATGATATATATATATATATGGTATATAGTATGTGATGGTGTCTTTCATTGTTTTTTTTCCATCCCAAAAAGGATGTCCAAATGTTTTGCCCAGGGGTCAACACTGGGACGCCGAGCGGCTTTACAGCGTTGGGCTCTCCACAGTCGCCAGCCGGGGCTGGGGCCACCGGCGCCAGAGATCTTTGTGCAGAAACGAATGCGCAAAGTGTAGCTGAAGCTGGTGGAGCTGGTGGAGTGTGTCGATGTATGGCGTAATGGAAATGTGATCCGTTCAGATTTGTACTGTCATGACGAATATCTCAAGGTTTTGAATCCTGCTTCTACCAGAATATTTGACCACAATATAAAAAGACATAGTTATATTAAATATGTATGTCGCTATATATTTGTTTGCCCAGAAGAATGGATCTCTTTTACGAAAGCCAGCCGATAGGCTAGGCAAAGTTGTTTTTGCGAACGAAGTGAGAATAGGGTGTGGGGAGTGGAGGTTGCCCAGGTGGACCAACATCTCGATATTGGGTGGTGATTAGGGTCGCCAATTGGATTTTTTTAGGGGGGCATGTGCCACTAGGCAATTTGGTGACGGTGGGGTTCGATTCTCCTTAGGTCCCTTGAAAACGGAAGGAAAAAGGTAGGACAAAACCAAGGAAAATGAAGGAACATCGTTAAAAACAGGGGGAACATGGAGGAAAATGGAGGACAATTGTGAAAAAAACAATTAATTTGGAGGAAAAAAATGAATGGCAAGCTTGGAAAAACCAAGGAAATCGAGGAAACGGTTGGGAAAATGAGGAAATTGCAGGAAGGAAACTCTGAAAAAACCATAGGAACGCAGGAAAAGGTTTGAAAAAAAGGCATGAAATGGAGGCAAGGCAAAGCTTTGAAAAAGCTAGGAACATAGAGGCAAGCATATGGAAAAACTAAGGATCCGAAGCTCAACGGAGAGCAGCGTCCGTTGGGGTTCGGAGCAAGACGGCTTGCAAGGGGATGAGGAGTGATGCCGAGGAAGGAGTGGCGAAGGGTTGCAAATGGAGGAAAATGGAGGAAAATGTTGAAAAACAATTAATCTGGAGGAAAAAATGAATGGCAAGCTTGGAAAAACCAAGGAAAATTGAGGAAATCGTTGGGAAAATGAAGAAATTGCAGGAAGGAAACTCTGGAAAAACCATAGGAACGCAGGAAAAGGTTTGAAGAAAAGGTATGAAATGGAGGAAAGGCAAAGCTTTGAAAAAGCTAGGAACATAGAGGCAAGCATATTGAAAAAAATAAGGATCCGAAGCTCAACGGAGAGCAGCGTCCGTTGGGGTTCGGAGCAAGACAGTTTGCAAGGGGATGAGGAGTGATGCCGAGGAAGGACTGGCGAAGGGTTGCAAAGCAAGGACAAGTGTGACAAAAAAGGAGCATGCAGGCAAGTTGTGTCATATTACGAAAACCGGCCGGTAGGTTAGGCAAAGTTGTTTTCCCGAACGAAGTGAGTATAGGGCGTGTGGGGGGGGGTGGTTGCCCAGGTGCACCGAAATCTCGATATTGGGTGGTGATTAGGGTCGCCAATTGGATTTTTTTAGGGGGGCATGTGCCACTAGGCAATTAGGTGACGGTGGGGTTCGATTCTCCTTAGGTCCCTTGAAAACGGAAGGAAAAAGGTAGGACAAAACCAAGGAAAATGAAGGAAAATCGTTAAAAACAGGGGGAACATGGAGGAAAATGGAGGACAATTGTGAAAAAACAATTAATTTGGAGGAAAAAAATGAATGGCAAGCTTGGAAAAACCAAGGAAATCGAGGAAACGGTTGGGAAAATGAGGAAATTGCAGGAAGGAAGCTCTGGAAAAACCATAGGAACGCAGGAAAAGGTTTGAAAAAAAGGTATGAAATGGAGGAAAGGCAAAGCTTTGAAAAAGCTAGGAACATAGAGGCAAGCATATTGAAAAAAATAAGGGTCCGAAGCTCAACGGAGAGCAGCGTCCGTTGGGGTTCGGGGCAAGACGGTTTGCAAGGGGATGAGGGAAGAGTTTCTGGGTGAAGAGTCTCTGGGTGAAAAGTATATGGGTGAAAAGTATATGGGGGAAAAGTCTGTGGGTGAGAAGTATATGGTTGACCCGTCTGTGGGTGAAAAGTATATGGGTGAAAAGTATGTGCAAGAAGAGTTTCTGGGTGAAGAGTCCCTGGGTGAAAGGTCTGCGTGTAGTCAGATATAGTCAGTGTTTGGGGAGAGTGGGATGCTTGCATATTGCAACCAGTTCGGTCAATCGGTAGATCTCTTCAGCAGCAATATCAGTGGCAGCCGTTTTGCCAGAATTGTGGCACGATAATGAAAAGTCTGTGCAAGAAGAGTTTCTGGGTGAAGAGTCCCTGGGTGAAAATTATAAGGGTGAAAGGTTTGTGCAAGAAGAGTTTCTGGGTGAAGAGTCTCTGGGTGAAAAGTATATGAGTGAAAAGTATGTGCAGGAAGAGTTTCTGGGTGAAGGGTCTCTGGGTGAAAAGTATATGGATGAAAGTATGTGAAAGAAGAGTTTCTGGGTGAAGAGTCTCTGGGTGAAAAGTATATGGGTGAAACGTATGTGCAAGAAGAGTTTCTGGGTGAAGAGTCCCTGGGTGAAAAGTATATGGGTCAAAGGTTTGTGCAAGAAGAGTTTCTGGGTGAAGAGTCTCTGGGTGAAAAGTATGGTGCAAGAAGAGTTTCTGCGTGAAGGGTCTCTGGGTGAAAAGTATGTGCAAGAAGAGTTTCTGGGTGAAGAGTCCCTGGATGAAAAGTATATGGGTGAAAAGTATGTTCAAGAAGAGTTTCTGGGTGAAGAGTCTCTGGGTGAAAAGTATATGGGTGAAACGTATGTGCAAGAAGAGTTTCTGGGTGAAGAGTCTCTGGGTGAAAAGTATATGGGTGAAAAGTATGTGCAAGGCGAGTTTCTGGGTGAAGAGTCTCTGGGTGAAAAATAGGGGTAAAAGTATGTGCAAGAAGAGTTTCTGGGTGAAGAGTCTCTGGGTGAAAAGTATGTGCAAGAAGAGTTTCTGGGTGAAGAGTCTCTGGGTGAAAGGATATGGGTGGAAGGTTTGTGCAAGAAGAGTATCTGGGTGAAGAGTATCTGGTTGAAAAGTGTATGGGTGAAACGTATGTGCAAGAAGAGTTTCTGGGTGAAGAGTCTCTGGGTGAAAAGTATATGGGTGAAATGTATGTGCAAGAAGAGTTTCTGGGTGAAGAGTCTCTGGGTGAAAAGTATATGGGTGAACGGTTTGTGCAAGAAGAGTTTCTGGGTGAAGGGTCTCTGGGTGAAAAGTATATGGGTGAAAAGTATGTGCAAGAAGAGTTTCTGGGTGAAGAGTCCCTGGGTGAAAAGTATGTGCAAGAAGAGTTTCTGGGTGAAGAGTCTCTGGGTGTAAATGATATGGGTGAAAGGTTTGTGCAAGAAGAGTTTCTGGGTGAAGAGTCTCTGGGTGAAAAGTATATGGGTGAAAAGTATGTGCAAGAAGAGTTTCTGGGTGAAGAGTCTCTGGGTGAAAGGATATGGGTGAAAAGTATGTGCAAGAAGAGTTTCTGGGTGGTGAGTCTCTGGGTGAAAAGTATATGGGTGAAAAGCATGTGCAAGAAGAGTTTCTGGGTGAAGAGTCTCTGGGTGAAAAGTATGTGCAAGAAGAGTTTCTGGGTGAAGAGTCCCTGGGCGAAACGTATATGGGCGAAAAGTATGTGCAAGAAGAGTTTCTGGGTGAAGAGTCTCTGGGTGAAAAGTATATGGGTGAAAGGTTGTGTGCAAGAAAGAGTTTTCTTTTCTGGTGAAGAGTCCCTGGTGAAAAGTATATGGGTGAAAAAGTATGTGCAAAGGCGAGTTTTCTAGGGTGAAGAGTCTCTGTGTAAAAATAACTGTAAAAGTATTGCAAAGAGAGTTTCTTCTGGGTGCAAAGGTATATGGGTGAAATGTATGTGGCAAGACGAGTTTCTGGTGAAAGTCCTCTGGGTGAAAAGTATGGGTGAAATGTATGTGCAAGAAGAGTTTCTGGGTGAAGAGTCTCTGGGTGAAAAGTATATGGGTGAAAGGTTTGTGCAAGAAGAGTTTCTGGGTGAAGAGTCTCTGGGTGAAAAGTATATGGGTGAAATGTATGTGCAAGAAGAGTTTCTGGGTGAAGAGCCTCTGGGTGAAACGTATGTGCAAGAAGAGTTTCTGGGTGAAGAGTCCCTGGGTGAAAAGTATATGGGCGAAAGGTTTGTGCAACAAGAGTTTCTAGGTGAAGAGTCTCTGGGTGAAAAGTATATGGGTGAAATGTATGTGCAAGAAGAGTTTCTGGGTGAAATGTATGTGCAAGAAGAGTTTCTGGGTGAAGAGTCCCTGGGTGAAGAGTATATGGGCGAAAAGTATGTGCAAGAAGAGTTTCTGGGTGAAGAGTCTCTGGGTGAAAAATACGGGTAAAAGTATGTGCAAGAAGAGTTTCTGGGTGAAGAGTCTCTGGGTGAAAAGTATGTGGGTGAAATGTATGTGCAAGAAGAGTTTCTGGGTGAAGAGTCTCTGGGTGAAACGTATGTGCAAGAAGAGTTTCTGGGTGAAGAGTCCCTGGGTGAAAAGTATATGGGCGAAAGGTTTGTGCAACAAGAGTTTCTAGGTGAAGAGTCTCTGGGTGAAAAGTATATGGGTGAAATGTATGTGCAAGAAGAGTTTCTGGGTGAAATGTATGTGCAAGAAGAGTTTCTGGGTGAAGAGTCCCTGGGTGAAGAGTATATGGGTGAAAAGTATGTGCAAGAAGAGTTTCTGGGTGAAGAGTCTCTGGGTGAAAAATACGGGTAAAAGTATGTGCAAGAAGAGTTTCTGGGTGAAGAGTCTCTGGGTGAAAAGTATGTGGGTGAAATGTATGTGCAAGAAGAGTTTCTGGGTGAAGAGTCTCTGGGTGAAAATTATATGGGTGAAAGGTTTGTGCAAGAAGAGTTTCTGGGTGAAAAGTCATTGGGGGAAAATAGGGGTAAATGGGATGCTGGCTTTCGTTCCCCGTTTCTCAGGTGATGTTTTTGGTTTTGTAAGCATGGGACCGTAGGAGTCCATAGTGAGGAGACAGATCCGAGGCAGCTGCTGGCTCATTTGGCGCACTGCGTGGCGAGGTGGAGACAACAGCTGCTACATCGCGTCATGCGCTCTTGGTGGAAGGTGCCGGCAGTTTTCTGCGAGGAGCGTGATGTCGACATGCGGCCTTCATGACCTTCATGGGTCAAACTCAAGTTTCTAGACGTGAAGAACAGATATTGAGTGCATTTAGCATCATTTAACTATTGCGTACAGCCAGAAGCTGTGTTTGGGGGCCTTCATTTAGGTGGTGGCATTGAAGGTGTGGAGATTTTGTGTAAAACCCAAGGGGAACGAACCTGCTGCCAGGTGCCGCTCAGGCGACTGTTGCTAGAGAGGCTGAACGCAAAGAGTATGCAGGACTAGTCAGAAGACGAGCAACAGCTGTAGCTCTTTGGGGACCATTGGACACTTATGGATGTTTGATCATCTGTTTGACCGTCCCTTCAGACAATTGCAAAGGGAAAAACGACTGTCAAACACAGAAGTTGGGAAGCTTTGTTTTAGAACTATGACAATGCTCAGATTTTTTCCTTGCAAAGAAAGTCCTGCCAGTCAAAGCGAACCGACACCATGATGTCCCACGTTCTGAAACCGGCAATAACTAATGTAACTAATGCGAAATGGGGCTGCAAACTGCAGTTGGTTCCAGGATCTCCTCATCACCCTGGAGACATGGAGAGTTGCAGTGCAGCGGATCAAGTCCTTCAGGCCGTCGCATACGGCCATCCTACATAAACAAGTACACGGTACAGTACACGTATAATATGTGTATATATATTATATATATCATGTAATATATATATATACACATCATTTTGGTATTTACTTCTGTTGGATTCTGTACTGTAGCTAGGGACTGATACTGCGAAAAGACCAATGTGAATTGAACACTCCGAGAAAAGCGGTGATGAACCAGGCAGAAAGTGATGCGACACGCCCTCCACCGCTGGCACAGCTGGCGAGGCATATGACTTACAGCTTCAGCATGTGTTGGAAGTGTTGGAAAACGCTTGTGCGAGAAGCCAAGCACTGGCCAAGATCCCATGAACTACATAGGAAGCCAAGCAGTCTCCAGATGTGCCTGCAGGATTCTGGAACGAGAAGTTGACAATTCACGATTGTACAACCAAACTACTGGGCTTCTGTGGCCCTCCGGAACATCTGAATGTTGATATTTATATAGTCTTCAAATTCTTGAAGATTCTTCAAGCATCCAGGCTTGCAAAGGGCCGGCCGCAAGGCACAGAAGGTGCCTGAGCAGCTTGCAAACTGACCCACCAGCTTTTTAACTTTCAAGTTTTTTCAAGGATCCAATTTGTATTGTGATCGTACTACTGCCAGAGGAAAACTGAGAAATCTAGGGCTTGCTTGTGGGGATGGTTCCTTGTAGACCGCTCATATTGATATTCGAGATTATCTTCAAGATGTTTATCCCCGAAGCGGTCATTGCTTTCAGAACCGTGCTTGATCCAGTATCTTCAAAGGGAAGTCGTCCAGACATTCCAACTACATCCATCGGTTTCGGACAGCCTCTGTATAGCCAGGTCTGCCATTCAGGCACCCAATCTTTAGCCTTGCGCTGCTGGCATTATCTACGCTTAGCTCGAAGGCACGGCAGCTTGAGACGACGTGAGCAAAAAGCCAATGCCATGGTGGCATGGCGCGCAGCTGTCTGAGTCTCAGCTTTCAAACAGCAATGGATGGCGATGGTAGGATGGCATTCTGCTTCTGGCGACCATCTCTTTGAAGGCAAACAATTTGCTTGCCGTTGACGAGAGATTGAGGTCTGTGGGAATCTTTATCTATGACCATCTATGACCTATGGGCCTATGAATACTATTGAATACTATGACTCTGAAGCTCCAACCCAGTTGCATCCATCGAATATCTGAGGTCAAGACCACCGGGCAGCAACGCCTGTTGATGCGCGTGTTTTTGCGCGAGTGGCGTAACATGCTTGGCAAGGCAGGGAGCTTTTGAGGAGCCTTTTTCTTAAAGGAGCATTTGTAATTCTATCCCTCAAATATCAAATTTGATTAGATTCTGATATCCCATGAGATATCCCTAATGAAATGAATAGATCCATAGAGATCCAATGCGCAAAACCAGGGTTTCGAGATGGGCCAGGTCCAGCAGCTTCGCAGCCGTCAAGTACTCTGCGCCTGGCATGGCATCGCCATCTCAAGAGGATATCAAAGGAGCTGGTCGCCACAGCTGTGGCTATTGATCCGCTTAATGGTGGGCAACATATCTACCACTAGCAAGGTACAATTTGTTGTTTCTTATAATCATGATAATCAAAGATCAATATGTCAAGAGGTCAACTTCTAGTTGGCAATGTGGCAAAGAGTCAGCGCATGGGGGGCTGTGATGACCATTTTTCCGTCCAGGAGGCTATTCCAACAATGGCGACGTGGAATTCTGGAGCTCCGGCTTGGAGCTGAGAAGCGACTGGCATCATGAGGTTGCCATGTCAGATGTCACCGTTTTTTTTTGAACTATTGTTTCTTCAGCTCAAGCGCACTTCATGTGATTGGATTGGCTGATGGGCTGTGCCAGGTGGCGAAGACTTTCGAAGTCGTTCAGTCGCTGGTGTTCGTACCATTCTGCGGTGACCTCAATGGATTGTCGACGGATGTCTGATGATTGCTGGATCTGTGCGTTGGTTGTGCCTATTCTGTTCGTCCAGCAGACTCACTCTTCATCGCTCTTCAAGACGAAGCAGATTATGCTGATTTTTTTTTGTGTTTTTTTTGAATTGCGTGAGCTGTCTGCCAGCCAAGGCCTTCTTGAACGCAGCGGAAATGGCGTCAATTTCAAGGCCAGGAATCAGATGCTTGTGGCCAGTTCATGGATTTCCCAAGAAAGAGCCAGTTGTGAAGCTTCTGAACAAGATTTGCTTGATTGGTTAGAAGGGAACGTCGTTGATGGAACACCCAAGCCTCTCAAACGCATCGGAAGGCATAGATTAATTGAGGCTTTTAAAGAGCGCCAGTCCGCTCAGAATAGCGAAAGTACATGAACTGAGAGATCCACAATACACAGCGCCAGAAACATCCTGCTTTCGGCTTAAGTAGGACTGCCTTGCTGAAAGAGTCGTGGTCATTCTGGACGCAAGCAGTGAGCTCTGACCTTATGGAGACCTTATGGAGACCTCATGGAGTCTACGGCCATGACTCCGATGCAAAGTGTGCAGTCGCCGGAGTTGCTCAGGTCGTTGGCGTGCGAAGCAGAGGGTTGAGGCGAAGTGCCGAAGTCGTCGAGTGCACAAGGCCACGCAGCTGGTGCATGTGCGTAGACAACCAACATCCGAATGCAATGGAATGCTGTCCAGGCAAAATAGCAATGCTAAGGGTTGTGATTTGATAGTAGTAATGGTTGCAGCAATTGTGGAATAGATGATAACACATGTAATGACGACAGTGTTGGTGCTGAACGTATTATGATCGAAGTTTTTAGAAGTCAAACTTCCGACAACATGGACAGATGGAAAAGGAGAGGTGGGAAGAGTTAGAGAAAGAGAAGAGAAGAAGAGAGAAGATCAGAGAAGAAAAAGAGTCAAGAGAAAGAGTCAGAAGAAAGAAGATGCAGGTGCGCGAAAAGATAGAAAAGTCGCGATTCACCGTGTTTTTCCAATGATTTGTGGCTCCGGAGGGTCGAAAAGTAGGCTCGCTAAAGCGGCGGGTGCGGAGCCATCTGGCCAGATGAGAGGTGAAAAAATGACGCCATTGTGGCGCGAAGCACATTTCGAAGTCAAAAGTGTTAAAGACTGATGGTCTCGGACCACTTTTTGAAGTTGAAATGTCGAAAAAGTGCACGCCATTGTGGCGCGAAGCACGTATCGAAGCCAAAAGTGTAAAAACTGACGTGTTCGGAGCACTTTTGGACGTTCAGATGTTGTTCCGCATGGCAGGCGCAAGGGATTCTGCACCTTGTCAAAGGTGAGCAAAACGTTGGGGTCTTGTAGCATGTCCAAAAACGATGGCATTCGGGGGCCACTTGAAGAGGATGTGGAAAGATGTATTTCGCGTGGCAGGCGCAGTGATTACAAGAGACATGTTCATCAGAGCTGTTAGGAGGTCCGGGCGTTGATTTCCTGAGAGGGGTTGAATTTTGGAGCATCAGATCTGTAGGTTTTCTAAGATGATTTTGCGTGACAGGTGCAGCACTTCGTATGACTTGGCATCACTTTTTCGTGGCAGGCGCAATACTTTATATAAGATGGAGCGGAAAAATCGCAAACCGCATTGGTACAAGGCCGTCAGCTCTGCACTCAACTGTCCATTTTTGAAGGAAGTCTCCCAGAATTGCTTCGTCTTTGCCCTTGTCAACTTCGAAAATTGAGGAAGTCTCACAGAATTCTTTCACTTTTGGCGTTGTCAAGTTGAGAAATGGAGGAAGTCTCGCAGAATTGCTGTGTTTTTGATGTTGTTAAGTTCAAAAGCTGAGGAAGTCTCGCGAATTGCTGCGTTTTCAAGCTTGCAGATAGACAGGTAGACAGACAGACAGACAGACAGACAGACAGACAGACAGACAGACAGACAGACAGACAGACAGATAGACAACTACAACTACCACTACACTACACTACTGCTACAGCTACAAATACAAAGAATACTACGTTACATCACACTACACTAATTACACTACACTACATTACACTACACCACACTACGCTACACTACACTAATTACACTACACTACGCTACACTACACCACGCCACACCACACGACACGACACGACACTACACTACACTACACCACTACTACACCACACCACACCACACCACGCCACGCCACGCCACGCCACGCCACGCCACGCCACACGACACGACACGACACGACACGACACGACACGACACGACACGACACTACACTACACTAACTACATCTGATTACACTGCACTACACCAATTACACTATAAAAACAACAACTACTACCACAGCTACAACTACAATTACAGCTACACTACGTTGCACTACGCTACACTAATTACACTGCAGTACACTACAGCTACAACTACAACTACACTACATTACGCAACGCTACGCTACACTGATTACATTGCTTTACGCTACAATTACAACTACAACTGCAACTGAAACTACAACTACAACTACCACTACATTACACCACACTACACCTACAGCTACAGCTACAACTACAACCACACTACTTTACACTACACTACACTAGGCTACACTACACTATACCACGCTACAGTACACAACACTACACTACACTACACTAAGTACACAACACCACGCCTACAACTGCACCTGCGCCTGCAACTACACTAACTACACTACATTGGAACTACAACTCCGTTTCACTACACCACAACTGCAACTACAACTGCGCTACACCAGGCTACATCCAGCATTTGTGGTGAGGTGACCACTGCAACCATTGCAATCACCCCAAAAAACACAACTCCAACCACCTGTCGGTCCATCAGTGGATTCGCCCAGCCATCCGTGATTCACAACAACCAACCTTTCCTATAGGTTCCCTATTTTTGAAACGTCCGCCACCGCCTTGCGCGGCACTACTGGTAATGATAAATTGTCACACTGGTTGTAAAGATCAATAACAAAGAAATGCCCAACAATCAAAAAGACCATTCTATTTTTCATGGATACATGGCATTCAACACATTCTGACTCCAGGGCAACTATCGATACCATGTGTTGAAACGCTGCAGATGTTGGCTGCGTGGACATCTCTCCATCGCGCCACTTTGCTGGGGCACCATGCTGTCGCACGTCATGTGCCCAGCTGGGCCTTGTGGCGACTCGGAGCCGGGGCCTCGAAACGGGCACCCTGTGAGTTGCAGGATATTTTGAAACCGTGGATGTTGTTGGAACTTGTAAATGTCTATGGTAAAACAATGTAAAACAATGTAAAACAATGTAACACAATGTAACACAATGTAAAACAATGTAAAACAATGTAAAACAATGTAAAACAATGTAAAACAATGTAAAACAATGTAAAACAATGTAAAACAATGTAAAACAATGTCAAACAATGTCAAACTATGTAAAACAATGTCAAACAATGCCAAAGAATGTAACACAATGTAAAACAATGTCAAACAATGTCAAACAATGTAGAACAATGTAAAACAATGTAAATCAATGTAAAACAATGTAAAGGAATGCAAACCAATGTAAAACAACGTAAAACATTGTAAAACAATGTAAAACAATGTAAAACAATGTCAAACAATGTGAAACAATGTCAAGCAATGTCAAACAATGTCAAACAATGCAACACAATGTAAAACAATGTAAAACAATGTAAAACAATGTAAAACAATGTAAAACAATGTCAAGCAATGTAAACCAATGTAAACCAATGTAAGACATTGTGAGACAATGTAAAATAATGTAAAACAATGTAAAACAATGTAAAACAATGTAAAACAATGTAAAGCAACGCAAAGCAATGCAAAACTGCAAAACAATGTAAAACAATGCAAAACAATGTAAAACAATGTAAAGCAATGTAAAACAATGCAAAACAATGTAAAACAATGTAAAACAATGTAAAACAATGTAAAACAATGTAACACAATGTAACACAATGTGACACAATGTGACACAATGTAAAACAATGTAAAACAATGTAAAACAATGTAAAACAATGCAAAGCAATATAAAACAATGTAGAACAATGTAAAATAATGCAACACAATGTAAAACAAGGTAAAACAATATAAGACAATGTGAAACAATGTAACACAATGCAACACAATGTAAAACAATGTAAAGCAATGTAAACAATGTCAAGCAATGTAAAACAATGTAAAACAATGTAAAGCAACGTAAAACATTGTAAAACAATGTCAAACAATGTAAAACAATGTAAAACAATGTCAAACAATGTCAAACAATGCCAAACAATGTCAAACAATGTCAAACAATGTCAAACAATGTAAAACAATGTAAAACAATGTAAAGCAATGTAAAACAATGTAAAACAATGCAAAACAATGTAAAGCAATGTAAACCAATGTAAAACAATGTAAAGCAGTGTCAAACAATGTAAAACAATGTAAAACAATGTAACACAATGTAAAACAATGTAAAACAATGTAAAACAATGTAAAACAATGTAAAACAATGTAAAACAATGTAAAACAATGTAACACAATGTAAAACAATGTAAAACAATGTCAAACAATGTAAAATGTAAAACAATGTAAAACAATGTAAAACGATGTAAAACAATGTAAAACAATGTAAAACAATGTAAAACAATGTCAAGCAATGTAAAACAATGTAAAACAATGTCAAACAATGTCAAGCAATGTCAAACAATGTCAAACAATGTAAAACAATGTCAAGCAATGTCAAACAATGTCAAACAATGTCAAACAATGTCAAACAATGTCAAACAATGTCAAACAATGTCAAACAATGTAAAACAATGTAAAACAATGTAAAACAATGTAAAACAATGTAAAACAATGTAAAACAATGTAAAACAAGGTAAACCAATGTAAACCAATGTAAACCAATGTAAGACAATGTAAAACAATGTAAAACAATGTAAAACAATGTAAAACAATGTAAAACAACGTAAAGCAATGTAACACAATGTAAAACAATGTAAAACAATGTAAAACAATGTAAAACAATGTAAAACAATGTAAAACAATGTAAAACAATGCAAAACACCCAAAAAAACCCAACAACAGGGACTGTTGGGTTTCAATCTGCCAACGACCGGAACCGGACCGGACCGCTGGAACCCTGGAACCCTGGAACCCTGGAACCTTGGAACCTGCTGTTGGGTTCCTCTTGATTCAAAATTACCTAACATATCATGTTGAAAACATCCAAAAACTGCGGTTCTTGGGACATTCTGTTGGAGGTCACAATTTCAAGGGTCCAGAAGATCGATCTGCAAAAGACCATGCACCTGTGGAGAGCCGGGCTGGTGGCAGCCGGGTACTTAGCTACATCTTAGCTGTTCAAACAAGACGCATGAATCACTTTGAAATACACTGGATCCATTCTGATGTATTCGATGGTGATTTGATAGGATTTTTATATCAGATGATAAAGTTCGAACCACGGTCCTTACAGCAAGAGTTATCACCTCCGCTGAACATGAGAGTCACCAGTTGTGAGCAGGTTCAGCTCCAGCGGCAGAACCACTTCTTCCGTGCTTGGCATGTGTTCCTGCGATCACAGTGCCGATGCACTGCACTGAAGAGGTGCGACGGCCCGGTGCAAGCTGCATAGTGCTGGAGAGCCGCGGAGAATTTAACAGTTCATATCACTTCATACTTTGAACTTAGAGTAGAATTTAGTGGTATATCCAAGATACACATGAAGCTGTGATTGCAGGAGGTGAGATGTTTTTGATCCATTCTGAAGCTGCTCCCTGTTGGTCATTGAATGTCATTGATGGGATGACCAGCAGGTCCGTTCTGGCCATGTGGATGACCTTGGTGGATGAATCAAGGCATGATGTTCCTGGTGAGATAAAAGAGGACTGGAAAACTCCAGGACCAGCAACTCCAGCGCAACGGACTTATGTGTGTATGTATATATACGTATATATATATATACATACATATATACATATATACATATATACATATATACATATATACATATATACATATATACATATTATATATATATATATCTTTATACATATATTGGGTCATATGTAAGAAGAATGCATTCCTTCCAAACAGGAACCATGGGAGCAGTAACCTACCAATCCTTTGATTTAGTAGGTTTCTGCTCCACCTGTGCTGAGAGGCTTTGTCGAAACAGACAATGCCTTGCTGGCTGGCGTGCGATGACAAAGGTTGGGATTCAGATGTATCCGGGCTTTGACAATCGGCAAAGTGTGATTTTCAGATTGTCATCCCCCAGTCATCAAATAACTTCAAAAAGATAAAGTGCATGCCGTTGTTCTTGATTCTTCGGTCCCAGGCATCATGCTTTCGGCTCTGAGGAACGATCTGATGAACTTTTCAAAACTTGCAGACCAGTCCGGCAGGTCGAACAGCCTACATAGTCTCAGGTAACTCATTGCTCGATTGCAATTCATAGCTGTGGTTTGCTGCAGGCTGCTGCGATTGACAGACATTGCTTGGCACCTTCGTTGCATTGGACCAACATTTCTGGTAAAGCCAGTTGATTGAGCCATTGTGATAAACTTGTAGCTTGTTCAACGTAGGCCACAGGTGAGGCGCCCTGTCCACAGAGTCGCAGACATTGACAATGACTAGGGCCTTTCATGGTTCGTACTTCTTCTTCATTTATTTCCTCGAATAAGCTGATTGCGACCAATTTCCACCACCAGAGTGGACGTCCAGACTTTAGATCAAAACTGGCCAAGTTTCTCACCGTCCCGGGACCATCTCTCATGCTCGTGTGCCCGGAAGACCTTCAGGTCCATGTTTGGAGCCGCTGGCAGCTACTGTTTGGATCCCCAACGGATGCCCAGATGTAAAGCTGAATGGTCTAGCAGATGTTTGTGTAGGCAGGATGCCATGACGATGTTCATCTCCAGTTTTTGCAGCTGAAATTGGACGTTGGCAAGTCATTTGATGCAAGAAATAGCAGCAACAAACACCAATCCTCTATTCAAAGAAGTAACGTGAATTGAAGAGTTCACGTAGCAACGTTGCACAATGTACTGTAGAGCTTTTGAGCACCTTATTCTGCTTGATTTATGAGGCTTGAAGACCAACGTGCAGCTCAGCACCGACAGCAAGGATGTCGGGCTTTTTTGGCTTGGCATGGAGTGCAGCCCCCGGTGAATCTTTGGTGAAGTTTGGGGCGGATTTTGTCGGTTCTGCAAGGGATAGAGTCAGATTGGATTAAGCAATAATAAAAAATAATAAACATACAAGTGCCAAATGCCCTTTAACATCTGTTTACTGCCGAACGTTGAGCCACAGCAAGAGATTGAATTTGTCAATGTAGTGCACTTCGACTTCCTGTGCAGCGCACTCAAATTTCCAGCATGGCTCGAACTTTCATGTGCGTCCAAAGCGTAACAGTGAGAGCTTATGCATTCAAGCATAAATTCTCAGGATCCTAATCCAAATCAATCGAGGGGATAGTATTCCACGGCAGTGGAAAATTATACATAACTTTCCCATTCAGAACCTCCATTTAGGGGATTTCCTGCCATTGGTCACTCCGAAAGCCATGGCGTCTGATGGTGCAGAGCTACGACCGGAGCCGCGGCCGGGCACCACGGCGGAGGTGCTGGCTGCGACGGAGTACCCTGCCGAGGATTGTGCAGTTTGCTTCGAGGTGCTTGGCGAGGCGTGGTCCAGGACGGTCAACGTTAAAAATTCACGTTGGAAGTCAGTGGATCATGTGGATCATGTGGATCATGTGGATCTGAGGATGGTGAAATTGAGCTTTTCTTTGAGTTTCCTTGGTCTATGACGTCTATGATGACTATGTTGCTAAAGCCCGACAGTGAGTCATATCATTCGATTTGAAATGATTTGAATATGAGTCTAATGCTGAAGTAATCCGGTCTTCAGACCCCCAGGCAGCGGGACAAGCTACCTGCCCAGTACGGAAATTGAGCTGCGGTCATCAGTTTCATCACGCTTGCATAGCACAATGGCTGCTGCGCAACGCTTCTTGCCCCCTCTGTAAGTCGGCCACCTGGCCACATGGCGGCGCGAAGATGTCTGTCGTGACTTTGTGCAACCTTGACTTTTATTTACCATATTTTACCTTTCCATACCTTTCCCTATCTCGGTCCAGGTTTGATTAGGGTCAAAGGTTGTCGTGTGGTTGTCGTTGGAGGTTGGCGTCTCTCTAAGCACTGTGACTGGGAGATGTTCAGCTTTCACGCCGGCGTACAATATCCATGCAGATATTGTTCATATTACTTCGGCTAGTTGTATTTTTACACACCCGAATGCTTGTGGGAGCAACAAATATCGCACCCAAAGCCAAAAAAACATTAATTGTATTTAATGTTTTTTTTTTGCGACTTGCTTAAAAGAACCACAGTCTTTGCAGTGTTTGCCAAAACCTGTAGCCAAAAACACCATTATTTACAGGGTCGGCAGATATATTGGATTAGTATTTTCTGTTGATAGCAGAATTTCTCGCTGATTTGTGAAATGGAATTGCCCTGTTGCGCAGCTACTGTAATGACATGGGTGACATCGGCCGAGGATGAAACTCCAGCGGAGCCTGGAAAGGAGCTGTTTCAAATAGACTTGAGCCATCAGGACACGCCAGCAAGGGTGATCCACCATCGATGTTTTTTTTTTTTTTCCCGGGTTGCTAATCGATCATATATAAAGTCGAAGTAGTCGTTGTGGAGAATGCCGCCATTTCGTACACAGGCTGATCCTTCGTCCAAAGGAAGACACTTACCAGGTCGACTCCAACAGAAGGTGATTCATTTTAAGTTGAGTGGTCAGCCAGTCTTGTACAATCTTGTGCATCACATGACACAATGAGAAGTTGTACATGGCAACAGTGTGATGCGGAAGCAAAACGCCAGTTTTTCCCCAACATATGCCTCAAATGCCAACTTCTCAGCCACTTTTTTTAGAGTTCTACAGGAGATGGCACAGTTCGTGCATGAACTCGAAGACATCTTCCGTGCCATCCATGCTGGTGTCAGTGGCGAGACTTGCAAACATTGCACAAGCAAAAACGTAGATTCTGTAGACATACATTATGTCATGTCTAAGTGTTCGAAGAAGAATGAAGAAGATCCAAGAACAAACTAGAAACAAGATACATTATCATACCTCTGGATTCTTCCATATTTATCTTTGATCCGCACAGAAGACTGGCAAAGGCTTGTCAAGCTGCACCATACTTGCATCAGGTGTGCATACACGAATCTTGCAAGACAATGCAAAACGCATTCTTGCCCAAGCACATTTTGACATGTGAAATCATGTGAATTTCCAAGCACCATGGGCATCATCCTTGCCCATATTGCCTCATATCGAGAGCCCGAGGCGAAGATTATGCAGTGGCCATATCTGGTCTCGCCTACAATCTTTGTGCAAGCCTAGGATACGAGGAGCCATGGGTCAGATGTGCACGCACGACCAAGGAAGGTCATGCGCAACAACACACATTTGATGAGATGAGTGTACATATATCATCATATATCATATATCATATATATATAATTATATATATACACATACACGTATATATCATATATTCACACATATATAATATATATATACACACACTATCTAGTCTTTGGCCTTTGACAAGGGAACCTGTACTGCAGCAACACTGGGCTTTTACAGCAAAGTGTTCGAACTCAATCATGGCATTGAGAGGATGAAGACGAGCTGGAAGAGGTCTGTGAAACGTGGTAACATCGAGTGTGTGTAAAAATGGGAGCTGATTCGACGAGGTTTGTGTTAGATTCACTCCGCTCGTTTGAATAGTTTCGACGATGCTTTCCAAGTCGAAATTGAAAGTAATTGAAACATCGTATGATTCTTTCAGTAGCTTCTTAATCAGCTCCGAAGTTTGGTATTGCTCACAGCTGAGCTGAAGGCTTTGGGTGGACCCTTGGTGAACTTCCTCGAAGCCTTGCCCCACTTTGAAGTGCGATGGCCCGAGGAAGGCGAACAGGTGCCCATCGGTGCCGTAGCCACAAAGCCTTTTAAAGCGCCTTGTTGGTACTTACTCTTTTGGCTTCAAACCACTTTCAAGCCGAATGTTAAAGGAAAGTAAAAGCAGATAGTGAGCCCAGAAAACAACATGTACAAGTCAGATGATAGTAAAGCCGATCAACTTGAGTGAACCAAAGACATTCAGATTGTTATTCAATGATATTAAATATATGAACATAGATGTTCAGCTTGTTTCTGCGATGTTCATATCAGATATCAAACAGACAAACAGACTTCAACCGTGGCGACGTGGGATAGCAGGAAGAGCCCAGGGTCCTGATGCAGCCAGAGCCCTCTGAGGATCTCTTGCAGCTTGGCATTGGTGATATCTGGCGATGTAAAGGGTAGGTCATCTTTTGCAATGTCCAGCTGGTAATGCACCCAGTAAAATTAGTAATATATCGAATCATCCAGTAATACATCAAGATACATCCCGTAAATATCGTAGGTAGATGTAGGTAGTATCTGGTAATATCTAGTAGCAATGTCCAGAAATATCTGGTAACATCCAGTATCTTCAGCTCGATGCCATCAGCTGAGGGATGGAAAGTGCTTGACCTTCACCGTCTCAGAGCGTCATGACTTGTTCCGCGTTCTCCTGCAAGGAGCACATGCAGAGGTGAGGCGTTTCGCAGCACTATTGCAGATGTCTTGGGACTTTAAAACATGCTGTGAGTAGTGTCCAGAGTGTCCAGGTGATTGCTTCATTGACAGATAGTAATGTGATGTAATGTGTGCGCTATGTTCTCTTGTAAACCTGAAATTGTCCATGTTTGCTGCTGTGGGTCCCTCATTGTGGGTCCCAAATCCCAAGCTTTAAACAGCCACTGTGGCAGATTCCCGCGAAGTTACTGCAGGTCGAGATTCCAGAGATTGAGTTCACAATCCGTCCAAAAGCAGAGAGACGAGTGGACACCATCTACAACATGCTGCTTGGATGAAGTTGATTTGTACACAATCTATTCTCTTATGTATGTAATTGTATATATATACATGTGACATATGGTGCATACGCACTTATTTTTGTTGTGGGGCTAGCTGGGCATCGTGGCATAGTGCAATGCTCAAGTCTTCAAGCTGTCCATGTGTTGCAGGGGCTTTAAGACCGCTTGTTCACATCTCCGTGTTCTTTGTATTGAAAATCTTGAAAAGAGAAAACCAACACATCTATGTGAAGTTGTACGCTGCCGCAGGACAACACAATATTCTTGTAGACCCCAAACATGAGACCATTTAGACAACGAATGTGACAACCCCATCCAAGCCTGTTTGGCCTTGCAAATCTACCATGAGACAGTCAACTTACCTGTTCTGGCACCTGCGACTGCGCAGCTCTGCCAAGGATAGCTTCTGCTGTTTTCCATTTGGGCGACCACGTGCAAAAGAATCGGCGCATGGGTGGAGCTCTGAGCGAGGACCAGATGAATAAGATTTGTGAGACCATCGAGCAACTGAACATTTTGCCTCTTGGCGAATCCTGTCTGTGATGAATCTTTGAAGAGATTTTGAAAGGGTTTGGGACGCGCTTACCAGATCGAACAGCTTTACACTGCATCAGACGTCAGTCGGGGATTTTGCAGATTTCCCATGGCAGCCGAGGCTGGACTTGGAGCAGCCCTTCACTGTGAAGGTCAGGGATCCTCAAGGCGCAACGGTTGGACATAGTTGCAAATCGTGTGCTTGCATAGGTCTGCTGAGTTTAACACGAATGGCTGCGGCCCCGGTGAGTTTGCAAGAGTTTCCATTTCTATTTCAGTTTGATCCAGTTTCGACAGTTGCTTTTGATTTTGCTGACTCTCTGGACCCTTTTGGATAATTTTGGACTATGGACCTGGAAGGCGTGTCGGAGTTCAAGCCCTTCAATGGCGTTGTCACGGCCGCCTGGGATCCTGAAAGCTGATGGCCAAAGCGGAAATTTGAGGAACTGCTCCTTGTGCGACTTGACCTGTGTGGCAAGTGTAAGACGCTTCAATGGTGCAAAAGAGTGGCCGGGGCAGCCGGGGCACTGCACTGTCACAGTCGCATCTTTCCTGTCAGGTTCCAACTCTAGCCATGTCGTGCCCAGGTGCTGCTGAGATCCAGGCTACAGCTACAGTACCTGAGCTGGGCCTGCAAGGCCTGGCGACATGGGGTGGCCGTGCAGAAGGCAGGGATCACAACGGAAAGACAGGGGGACTTTCAACATTTCTTGGATTGAACGGTGAAACTTATGGTGAACGGGCTGATGACATGGGCCATGGGCCATGGGTCAAGATTTCAGACTCCAAAACCAAGAGATTTTGGTCATCCCCAACCATGTGGATGCGAAGGAATTTCGTGATGAACTGAACACTGGAGCTTTGTTGCGATTGTGCCAACATGAAACATCCATTATAACACAGGGTGAAACTGGTTCTCAAGCTTCGTGGCAGTTGGTCCCATTCAGATCCACAGATCCACTGATCCCAAACACAGCTGGGTGCATTGTGCTGTTCTTTCGGCTCAAACGGCTTGTAAAGCCGAAGGACCGACGTACAGAGGTCTTTACAAAACCAGCTCAAGCGTGCACAGTGCACCTGGCTCAAGCAGCAAGAGACTGCCATGTTCCAGGAAGCTTTGGAGCAACTCATTCTACTGTGCCTTGGACATCCTTGGCATTTGTGGTGACCTGTGGTGACCTGTGGTGACTTTGGTGCTGGTGCTAGGACTGCTAGGATTACATGGGGTTCTTTGGAGATTATTTTCATTGCTGGCATTTGAAACATATTGAAACTGATTGGCAAAGTTTCAAAGTGGTCTGTTTGGTGTGAGGTGCCTCAACCCTTACTTGGAGGGTATCCGGTTGGGCTCCCTACACAAAGGCCACAGCACTGGGTTGCACAGGAAAGTTGAAGTGTCAAACAGAAAACTTCAATGGCTGGGAGATTTGGGGAGACCACCATGGCGGAAAAGGACTGGAAAGGTTCCTTCTAGCACGGTAATTTCTCAGCCTCACTAGAAAGGAATGGACTTTAGGCGCACCTGATTGTCCCATATTGTCCCAGCAGCGCTCTAAACTGGCCTTGTCGGGAAGTGTCACAGTCTGTTTGCGGACCTGAAATTTCAGATGTTCGGCTCCTCCCAGTCCGGCCATCATGGCAGGCATTTGGAATGGACTCATTGAACTGAAAGAGTTGAAGGTGAAACCCGAGGCCCTGACCGAGCAAAGCAATTGCAATGTATCGACTCGACTCAACTCATGATGAGACATTGCAATTTGGGCATTTCGAAGGCCGGATTTTGATTTCTTTTGAGTCTTGCTTCTCCACGGGGCGTGGATTTGAGGTACTTGCTTTGCTGGGAGTACCCGGTTTCCGAGTGGAGAAGGGCCACATCCAGCTCATTAGGCCTGTGAGCAGACACCTGATGCACTTCGGGAACACAGACAATAGGTGTTCCTGTGAGTCAGAAAGCTCTGCAAGTTGGAGATGTTGGAATACAATGGAATACATCTTATATCACCTATATATATATATATAATTATATATATATATGTATGTATATATATATATATATGTATGTATATATATATATGTATATATATATAGTATTATCATTTTCTCAAAGGAAGTTCCCTGCGGTTTACACATTGACATGGCGCCCATGTCCATCGCATCTCGGAGGCTTGAAATCCCATGGTCGAGCTTGGCCACTGGGAAGGTGAGCTTGGTGGTCAGTGGAATTCACATCGAGGCCAGGTTTCCACTAAGAAATCACATGTCGGATCATTGTTGCAGATGTGTCAAAAATGGGTACAACATGCTACACCCCCAAAATTTACCCAAATTTTCCCCAAAATTTTCCCCCAAAATTTCCCCAAATGGCTATTTCAACAGGGAAAATTATATAAAATTATGATCAACCACTCATGGTCACTTCTAATCGAGACGAGTCAACCAAGAAATATTCCACTCTGAAAAAAACGTAAAAACACATTCTGCGTGAAAAAAACCCGCACTAAATTAAGGGGTACGCTATTTTCAGACAATTCCATATTATTGCTACAGATCTCACACCATCCATCCAAATGTTGGACGAGACTCTGTCGGTCAGTTGGAGCAGATGGCAGAGTCCAAATCCAAAGAGGAGCTCATCCAAGCCATGCGCGATGTCGCCTGGTTGCAGGATGCCCCCTGAAGCCGCTTTTCAATTATGAAACGTGAGCAGCGAGGGTACATGATTTTGTCAATGACATCCTCATTTGATCTCATTTCCTTTGCAAAAATAACACCCGTTTTTTCAAAGTTTTTTCTGGTTGTTACTTCATCAGCTTCGTCCACTGAAGCAACGCTGAGGCCAAGCAACAAGCCATTGATTTGCGCGTGGAACAGGTGCCCAACGACAGTTTTGAACCTTTGGCCAAGCTTTCCAGCAGAGATGTGGCCAGGTCCGCAACCTCTTGGAGCAGCGCCGCAAGGTGCAGATCAAAGCCAAACTCTGTGGTTGCCTTGTGGTTGCCTTGTGGTTCAACGAGAGTAGCTGCTTTTGTTTAGAAGAGAGTTGCTGAAGCAGCAGTACAGTGGGCTCCTGGCATCAGATAGAACAGCAGTATGAAAAGATGAAGCTACATTGGAAAGAATATAAACAAATAAGACACAGAGGTAGGAGATATCTGTTTCTATGATTTTCTATGAAGATATAGAGACACAGAGTGCAAATTGGGCCGTTCTGCGCAGAGGCTGCCGAGAAGGTGGCTGGAACCGACGAAGGCTTTGGCATGAAGGTGGCACGAAGGCAACTAACGCTGGTGGAAGGGAGCTGATCACAGTGGATCTTGTAGCAGTTCATAGTAGCCTAGTAACCGACAGTAGGCCGGGCTACTTACTATGTTCTACCTCGTTCTACTGGTTATCTCTGCTGGTGCTTAACGTTGCAGTCCTAGAATGGCTGTTGCCACATGTGAATTTGTTGGCCAGACATTGGAGTGAGTTGTGGAAGCTTGGCAACAGTCAAAGTTTTCTTGCTTTTTCTCTGTCAAACAAGTCAAGTGAAATCGCAGTTTTGATATCCCAAGTCTCAAGGTTAGAAGGCCTGTCAAAGCTGAGGGAACAAAGTGACAGTGCATGTAGAGACTAGACCCGGCCAATTAAATCCCTTGGATCAGGGATACGTTTTCCAAGCTAATAGCTGTATCGTAGAGACGTAGCCCTGCTCTGCCAAGACCATTCTTGGGAGGTTCATCAATAATGTGACTGTCCAGATCGAGGACGTGCAGGTGTGACCATGTCAGGGAATTGGAGGGGAGCAACTTGTCCGAAGCGCCAACCATCTCGAACCAGTGAACAACATACAGACATCGTATGAAAACTGTACAATTATCGTATATGTATGACTATGTAAATTATGTATGTATAATTTCTATAATTCGTAGAGACATGTAGAGACTATCAACCACCAAACACTGCTGCTTTATCCGGGGAGGCGTTCCCCTAGTTCCCCTATCATCGAAGTCATCAAAAAGCAGCTCCAGTGGGCCAGGTGTCCTTCAGTAGCAAAGCCTTGGGCATCGCCACCAGTATTCAGCTCCCCAATTTAGCGGTGCTCTCGACGGATGAGTCCTTTCAGGATGGGATTGGCGACATGAACCACAGTCCATCACAGTCCCACGAAAAGTTGGACTCGCGTATAGATTGGCATTTCAAAGTCTTTTTCAACTGTATAGATTGTATAGTTGTCCCATATGTAGTATGTGATCGAAAAGATGCAGGGATGACCCAATCCACAGTTGAGTGGTTGTCTCTAATAGGCGATGTTTCAAAGCATGCATTGAGTCAACCACTCGGCAGGAGCCAAAGAAAGGCGAAGTCGTGCAGATTGTTTCTTGGCGTTTTAGATCTCAGGATGTTTTGTGTACGGCTGTGTGCTCGCAGAAATTCATTAACCCTTTTATTTTTGTGGGCTCCATGATGTTCCATCTTGCAAATCATGCGGAGCCAATGATTAACCCTGATTTGGGGATGGTCTATATCACCCATTTGTGGTCATATTATGTCATATTGAGGATGGTTTATGGCAGGTTTCCCACATTACCGCTGGACAGTGATCCCAGGCTGATGATTCGATGTACAAGGTGATGAGGAGAGTGCACAGCGCTTTCGGAGAGAAAATCGGGTAGCAAAAAAGGCCATGGAATTTTGGACCGCTTGTAGATCTTGTAGCTCTCTCAAAGTGCCAACCTTGGCATGCAATATATCATGCAATATATTTTGACATGTCTTCACTACATTTCACTACTCTCTGAGCTGCTTCCCCGGACCGGGACGTTCCGTTGTTCCTTTGGCAGGATCGACGGCTTTGCGGTGCAGTTGAGCTGTGGTGGTGGTCTCGACACCCTCAAAGATGCTAACTACATCCTGCCACTCAGCACATCCCGGCCCATCTCGGCATTCAGTTGACAGATGTTGACAGTAGAGTTCTTACTATTGGAATGCCATGAGCCAACAGAAGAAGTCTATGAATTGTCTATGACACTTCCTAGTAACTAGTAAGATGTCTTCTGTTTGATTCAACAAAAGGTGAGCTCATGTTAAAATTTCGTGTCTTTTGGCTTTATTGACTAAGGAAACCAATCAGCACTGCTTTGAAGTTGGCACATGTGCCGAGCGAGCAACGTGTCTTCTTGGAGCTGGACTTGGGCGTTGGAAAGCTGTCTGAGGCTCTCATGTTGTAGGATGGAGTAGTGTGGAAATCTCACAGTCTGGAATGACTTGGAATGGAAGTGTTTGCTCATGGCATGTCTTTTCGTAAATAAACAACCGTCGAACGAGAACAGTCGAACCACAGTCGTTGATTCTAAGACCTGCATAGAAATGAACCAAGAATCTGTGGTGTTTTGCCCAGAGCATCCCGGAACCGCAACTGTTGGGTGACACGGCGGAGGTCAAGCTCTTTGGGTCACAAGTTAAGCAGCTCATGAAAGCTGGAGTTGCACTCGCAGAAGAGGACATCTCAGGGCTTGGGACTTGGAGGTCCTCCCATCCATTTTTCTGTTGAGCAGTGCAGTCTGCATTTCGGCAAGTCTAATGATTTGCATGACTTGAATTGATCTACGGCAATTATGATGGATTATGATGTGAGAATCATTTCTTCTCCTTTCTTCTCTTGTCTCTCATTTCAGTTGCAGAAAACCTTTTCCTTTGCAGGACGCTCGGCTGAAGGCCTTGATGGTCCCTGAAGAGATTGGCCTCTCAGCATTGGATTAGTTTTGTCATGTGTCAACTGTTCAAAAGATGTCACAGCAAGGGCTGCTGATCCAAGGTAGTGCTGCATTACTCATGGAAGATACCCTCAAGGCTGAGTATGGCCTGCTTTACAAGCGACATTTGCTGCATGAAAGAAGGCCTGGGCGATCGTGTTTCAGTGCTTTGGGAGTGTGTTCCAGTAGCGGCAAAAGGAAGATTTCTTGCGCACGTCATGAAAGTCTTGAATGGTGAGGCTTGCAGTGGATGAGACGAACCTCACAGCCCAAGAATTGAGGCGTGGCATTGGGCTGGTGTGGCAGTGAAAACCAGTTTGTTGCATCCTGGCTCAGTAGCAATGCTCGTTTCAAAGCGTCGTTGTTTGCGACAAGGCGCAAGCAGTTGCTGGAGGCCACTGCTTCCCAGGGCGGGTTACGCTGAGGTTCACTGAGTGTGAAGGGGCCCAAAAACGGTATTTGGGTCTTCTGAAGGGATTGAAAATTGACATTTGCGGGAGATTTTGCAACATCTTGGATGCTGGATCTCAGTTATGTGAAGATTCGCCATGAATCGTTACGTGGTTGCCTGCAGGATGCACTGCCCGTGGAAATCGTGGCAGCTAATCGCATGGCAGCCGTTGAGCTTGCGGATGCACGACAGGAAAAACTGCCAGGCCTGCGCTGAGTCGATGACTTTGTGCTTTTCCAGAGATTTCCAGCGATTTTCGGAGACTTCTCAACCGTTTTTTGAAGCCATTTTCATGTTTTTTTTTCTTTTTTCCCGGAGATTTTCAATCGTTTTTTCCGACACCTTTGCACTTCACCACTTCTGCACTGCCACAGGTTTCTTCAGCCAATTCTGGGGCCAGTTCTGCTGTGCCACCACCAACAACAACACAACAGCTAGTGTGGGCATGGAGGACACTTCTCAGCCAGTTCCGCGGAGTCTTTCCAATCAACCCCTACTAACTACTACAAATGCAATTTTGGGATTATCCCCGGTATCCACCATTTTTGGACCCTAATGCAATCCTCCATGCTTCCGAGTGGTTGACCATGGGATGCTTGGGATATCTTGGGATCTATGTCGCTAGTTGTCACATGTCACGTCTCAGGACCTTCAGGATGCCACAGAGTTTGAAGCTGTGGAAGCACCTGCGAACATCTTGGCAGAGGTAGGGAATTGAGAATAGCCAGGGAACGCCCAATGCCGGGCATGTCTCCAAAAGCAACCTTGTGTGACTTGCGCAAAGAATTTCAAGTGTAAGAATGCTATTTCCGTGTTGCACCCTCACAGAATTGGATAGGAAGTTCATGCCCTGGAAGACATACTCTAGGAAACACGATCTTTTGGGTAGAAACCTAAATTTGCCGGGGTTTGTCTGAAACTAGGATATCCCGAAATCCACTTGTGTTGATCATCATTTTCCCTGATCAAACGGCTGTCTATTAAGTGATACCGCTATACCCCATTTTCAGACACACCCACGCATTGTGTCAAGCATGCATCACCTCAACCCTGCCAGGTGCGTTTCTCTGACCTTTCAGTGAAGCTTCACGATGACGCAGCGGAGGAGAAGAGCTTGTTGAGACAGGCACTGCGGCACTTGGGATGTTTCAGTGAAATCACATAGAAAGTGGATGAAAGTGGGAAACAAAGATGGACGGCCAAAGATGCAGAGATTCCCCGGTGCAGGTCTTGGAGCTCTACGTCTACAGCACCGAACTCACAGCAAAGGTGGCCACTGGAGTGGATTATCGTGGGAAGTCCTCTGCGAACGTCCACGTGGCAGGTGGGCGGCACGAAGCGGCACAACTTGGAGCTGTGAATTTGCGATTTGCAAAGCTTGATGTTGCACCAGTTGACGACTGTTGACCAATGTTGACCAATACATATGAACACCTCCGAGCTGTTTCTGGTGTGATGGCAAAACGGACATAGATGGAGCAGCACTTTTCCAACACACCAGCTGTCCACACTGAGTCCACAGCTGTCCACACAGGCTCCTTTGGTGGTGTTGAGGCTCGTCATTGTGGTGACGACGTCATCAGGAGTCTTAGTGGAATTCAGCACCAGGAGTTGATCGTATTCTTTTCGAGTGAACATGGACACATTGATACTCAAAAGGGGTCGCTGTTTGATCTATTTGTATGGGAGTGTCATGGAGTGTCCTACGAACCGTCCGTAGGAATACTGTCCTGTATTTGCCTCAGAAAAAAGCACTTGGTGGACAACCGGACAACCTGCTTCCGGGTCTGTCAGAGCTTGCAACTTATAAAGCAGGATCCGAACTGCAGATGAGCAAAGAGGGCAAGCCGCCAAATTTGCATTGGAGAACAAGCTCGAGGAGACATGCAACGTCTTGAATCTTGACAGCAAACATTCTGTTGTTCAAGTCTATGTTGTCTCGGTGAAGTGATGCAGTAAACATCAGTAAACTTTGTTTTGGGGACAAGTAGACAAAGTTGGACATAGCTTGTGACTCCTGGCAAGCCAGGGGGCGAGTTCAGACATTGCCTCCACTTTGTATTTTTGATGTTTTGTTCGTCATCGGTTCGCGCATCTCGTGTCAATTGCCTTGATTTCCAACTTATCAAGAAAACACACCGTTTTTTCATGATGCGAGTATCCGGTGAAGAATCCCAGCTGGCAGGTCCGTGATGCTTCACACTGCGCCGATGGATTTGAATTTCATCCCCAGCAGCTTGGGATGTTTTGGGTCAGGAGGGAAAGAAAGCTGAGGGAGTCACGGCAATTTTCGGGTGCTCATACATGAAGGGAGAGTTACTGAAGACCTCTGGCAAGGACCCAGGTACATTGCATCCATGATAGCAATTACTGTGCATTAAATTTCGTTGATTTGCATTAGTTTATATATATATAAAAAATATAATTAATAATATAATATATAATAATATAATATATAATAATATAATATATAATAATATAATATATAATAATATAATATATAATAATATAATATATAATGATATAATAATATAATATATAATGATATAATATATAATAATATAATATATAATAATATAATATATAATAATATAATATATAATAATATAATATATAATAATATAATATATGATAATATAATATATAATATATAATATACTATATAATACAATATATAATATGATATAATATAATATAATATAATAAAATATACAATATAATGAAATTTTAATATAATATAATATAATATAATGTAATTGAAACTATAATATAATGAAATATAATATAATATAACATATAAAACAATATAATATTATATACTTTGATGTACTGTAATATAACATTATTATATTATCTTTTATTATATTATATTATATTGTAGTATATATTATATTATATTTTATATATTATCCATTATTTATATCCTATATTATATATTATTCATTATTTATATTATATATTATTTATATCATAGAAATTTTATTATATATTATATATAATATATTTTATTATATATTATATATACTATATTTTATTGTATATTAAATATTAGATATTATATATTATATATTATATTGTATTTTATATATTATATTGTATTTTATATATTATATATATTGTATTTTATATATTATATATTATTTATTATAAATTATATGATATATATATACAGTATTATATATTATATATTATTTATTATATATTATATATTATATATTATATATTATATAATATATATATATATATATATTGTATACTATATATTATATATTATACATCATATATTATATTGCATATTATACTTCATATATCATATATCATGTATATTATTGTATATTATATATTATATATAATATATAATATTGTATATTATATATTATATATTATATATTATATATCATATATTATTTATTATATATTATATATACTATATATTATATATTATATAATATATGAGATATTATATATTATATGGTATATGTAATATTATATTTATTTTAACTTATACATTATATATTGTATTTCATATATAATATATAATATTTTATATATTTTATATTTTATATATTTTATATATTTTATATTTTATATATTTTATATATTTTATATTTGATACATTTTATATATTTTATATATTTTATAGATTTTATATATTTTATATATTTTATATATTTTATTAATTTTATATTTTTTATATTATATCATATTTTTTATATTATATATTTTATATTATAACTTATATTTTTTTATATTATATATTATATATCATATATTACATATTATATATTATATACACTATATTATATATTATTTATTATACATTATTTATTATATATTATATATTATATATTAAATATTAAATATTATATCTTATATTTATTTGTATTATATATAATATATTATATTGTATATTATATATTAAATTTTTTACATTATATATAATATATGATATTATATATTAAATATGATTTATTATATTTATTATATTATATATTATATTTTATATATAATATACAATATTGTATATTATGTATTATATATAAAATAGTGTATATTAAATATTTTTATATTATATTATATATTACATATTTTACATTTTATTTTATATACTATATATAAAATATTATATTATATATATATATTTATTCTATATGATATATTATATATTATATATCATATATTATATATTATATATTATATATTATATAATATATAATATATAATATATAATATATTTTATATATTATAATTTATTTATTGTATATATTATATTATATTATATATTATATATTGTATATTATATACTATATATTGTATATTGTATATTATATATTATATATTATATATTTTATATTGTATATTTTATATTATACATTATATATTATATATTGTATATTATATACTATATATTGTATATATATATACATTATTTTTAATATATTTTATTGTAGATGATATATTGTATATTATATTGTATATGATATATTGTATAGTATATATTATATATTATATATTAAAAGTTATCTATTAAATATTATATATTATATATTATATATGTTTAATATATTATATTGTATATGAGATATTGTAGATTATATATTATATATTATATAATATATATTAATATATTATATATTATATATTATATATTATATATTATATATTATATATCATATATTATATATTATATATCATATATTATATATTATATATTATATAATATATAATATATAATATATTTTATATATTATAATTTATTTATTGTATATATTATATTATATTTTATATATTGTATATTATATACTATATATTGTATATTGTATATTATATATTATATATTTTATATTGTATATTTTATATTATACATTATATATTATATATTGTATATTATATACTATATATTGTATATATATATACATTATTTTTAATATATTTTATTGTAGATGATATATTGTATATTATATTGTATATGATATATTGTATAGTATATATTATATATTATATATTAAAAGTTATCTATTAAATATTATATATTATATATTATATATGTTTAATATATTATATTGTATATGAGATATTGTAGATTATATATTATATATTATATAATATATATTAATATATTATATATTATATATTATATATTATATATTATATATGATATATTATATATTATATATTATATTTATTATTTATTATATATTATATATTATATATAATATTGTATATTATATACTATAATACATCAATATATTTTTGGAATGCCAGATTTCCCTTGCCCAAGGCATGGTCCCCAAGCTGCTAGAGTTGCTGCAGCCACCAGAGACCGGCGATGGTGATGCCATCACGGTGATGGTCTCAGAGAAACCTGCGAGGCCGGACCGCGACGGCGAAGCATCACCGGTCTTGTCACCCAAATCGCATGGGTCACCAATGAGCCGCACCGTCACTTGGATCACCTGGAACTGTGGTGAAGTGCAGAATAGTGAGTGAAGCACCATTCTTTGTCTTCCAAGGAATTTTCAGGCTGGACTTTTTATTTTTGGGCCAAATGAAAAAGGCGTCATGGTAGTCATGAGAGCTGCAAATATCACAACCTATCAGAACCTCCCATTTGCTGTGAAGTTTTGAAGTTTCAACACTATGTGCGTTGCCAGTCCAGCTCAGGTGAGTGCTGGCCAGGACGGGCTGCAAACTGCATAATGTGGAAGATGTTAGACCAAGATCATCCAAGATCCAGATCAAAGATTATCAAAGTAAGTTTGGACAAAAAAAGATGTTGGAATGTTGGACCCTGGAGTGCCATGAAACCAGGATGAAACTGGATTTTTTGAGAAGGCACCACCCTTTCTTTTGATCGCTGATCAAATTCGCTGCTAGCGTTGTTGCCTGAAGTACGGAAGATCAACCTGTAGGAGGCGGCAGTTCACGCCCTCCTTGGAAAAGAAGGCGATGTGGCACAATATGCAGATGCAGCCTTCGACCGCGTGCCCGACCAAGTGAACCTGGACGTGGTGATCGCTGCACCATGTGTTCACATCCCGGTGAAGGACCTTTACCTGTCAAGCGTCAGCCTGTAAGCTCTTATAAGCCAATGTTTGTCATCAGGTGCGGTGCCACTACCGATGGGTAGAAACAACACTAAAGTTCAGGTTTTGTACATTTGCCCAACATTCAATTGGTCAGATGGTCTTGTTCCAGTTTCAACATGTTTCAACAAGCGCTGCATGGAGTTCATGATTTGATCCCATCTTCACTTCTGAGTTCATGGCAGGATTTGGGCTCAGTGACAATGAACTTGGGTTCCATCAAGCTCTTTACGCCGGAGCGTTGCTCCATGAAAGCAGTGAGGAGATTTGTTTGAGTCAATTATAATGCTTCAGATGGTTTTCAGTCTGCTGGATGGCTTAGGTGGCTTTGATTTGAGCAGTAGCGGTATAGCTCTCTGTAAGTCTGAAGATGTTTGTAGTTCTGTAGTGGAAACCAGGTGATTTCAACCGAATTGATAAAATTTGATGTTGCATGCAGCATTTGGCAGGATGGAAGTAGCACTGGAAGACACCATGCTCATGGTGGCCACCAAGCGGGACGACTGCAAATGCCATGTACATGTCATGGGTCATCATGGTCAATGATTGTGAATGAGATAAGGGGATGGCTGATAGATATTGGTGTTGGTCTTCCCTGCAAGTTCTTTCGATCATGGTTGGGGCCATGGGGGATCACGACTCTGGGTTGGCCAAACATCACTGAGTCTGTGACCTTTGCACTTCCGACCTGCTGTTTTTCATTGGAGAAGCTAGCGGGAAAGCGTGTTTTTTGTCTTTCGCACCAGGAGGAGTTCAACGTGATCAGCCCATTGCCCATTGACATCAAGCTGAATCACAATGAAACTGAAGATGCTTTGATGGAGCCTCGTCGCCGCTGGGGGGGATTAGGGAATTACAAGAAGTCACTGAGACCCCATGCTAAATGTTGTAGTTCAGTAGGTATTCTTAAACATAGAGTGAAAACATGTGAAAACTATAGACAAACAACCGATGTGCCTTGATTTATATAGACTTACTGCACACATTCCGCACGTTGTCGGCTTCCGATGATGAAGGGTTCGAACCAACGATCATTTTCCATGGTAAATGCTGCACATTATTCTCCCTTCATCCAGATGAACTGAACCATTCAAGAAAAAAATCAGCAGATAGGAGCACAGCAAGATGCGCCTTCACGGTCTCAGTTCCATTGTGTGCCTGTGGTCCATTCTCTCGTCAATCTCGTCACACTTCACAACCGGACAACCGTTGTCCGTTCCCAACGGTTCATCCACTGTCCAGGCCGATGTGTCTGTGAGCATCGGCGATTTGACGTTGATCGCCGCTCCCCAAGCCGTGCAAGTCCTCGCCAAGCTTCCGGACGTCTTCGCAGAGCTCGCGCCGGAGACCACGGAAACCACGACAGAGACCACGGCGGCTCAGGTGCCGGGAGCGAGAATTTTCGCTTGACATTGGTTGAATTTCGGAGATTGGCTGAGCTCATTGATTGTCGAAAGTGTTGAAACACCTGTCCAAGTTGTGCGCGGGCAGGCTTCCACAGACGTGCCCAGTGACCAGCTGGACCGGAAGAAGCTGGTCAGTGAGGTGGCTGGCAAGTCCGAGGCGGTGCAAGCGGCCACACAACGTGCCAAAGAACTCACTGAGCCATGGCCGTTGGGCGCAGGTTTGTATGGAATTGTGGCCCTATAAAAATTTATGGAGCAATTTATGGAGCAACCCTCAAACACATGTAGAAACGTCGAATCCTGCGATGCTGAACTGATTCTTGAGGGTTACCATAAGTACAAAGTGCCAGTTCATACACGTTACAAACCTATGACATCATGTTGATCAGAACAGAAAAAAGTGGAAGCTTCGTCTCTGAAGGTGTCGATACGTGTTATAAAGAACATGTAAAAAACACTTGAGGGACCCGCTGAACCCGCCCAGCCCTGCATTCGAGGAAAAGCGGCTGAAGGTCAATCTGATGGCCAACTTGGGAAAGCTCGAAGTGAAGCTGCGACTGCACTGCCTCGTTGACTGTTCTTTCGTGTTCAGTGATTTAAGTCATGACTGGCATATGATAGTGGAGCCCATCCTAGGTACCTTTAGGTACCTTTAGGTACTATAATATATTTCCATGGGTTTCCACAATACCTGGCCCCTATGCCGACTGAGGGCAGTGTTGGATCTGATACAGCCGGTTCTGACGCTTCAATCCAGAATCTTGGACAACGGCATCCAAGTCAGCCATGACAGCTTGATGCCCCTTGGCAAGGAAATGTCCTTTGAGGCCGTTTCCGTAGATCATCATGGACATGGTGGACTGTTTTTTTGAACGAACTTGTGACATTTGGATTCTATGAATCCACAGAAAACTGTTCTCATGTTGCAAAAGTATGCAAGAGTCAATGCAGATGCACCTCCAACATGGTGACCGATTCGCAGCAGTGCGGAGGACTGGCCTGGACATGAACACTAGCGTGAACCTGAGCAAGCTTGCGCTGGTGGCCTATGCTAGGAGCCTTGGCTGAGCAGCTAAAGATCATCTCCATAGAATACACAATAATGTGTCTCGATGACTGGCTTTTCTGCTGTGTCGCTGGCTGTGACTGCAGATTCCATCCTCTGGTCGACTGTGGTGATTCCAACCTTCAAATAGGCTGACTATGGCTGACTCTAAGTTTCTGGGCTCTAAGACTTGGCCGCGCTTTCTTGCAGCATCAAAGCCATGGCTGAAGTGGAAGAAGCGACTGCGGTGACTGCGGCTATGGAGATTGAGGAACCACAGGGATCAAAGCCGGTTGCGAAAGCGAAAGCAAAGGCCAAGGGCAAAGCAAAGGCAGCAAAGGCAAAAGCCAAAGGAAAGGCGAAGGCCAAAGCTAAAGCCAAGAGCAGTGCCAAAGCCAAGGCAAAAGCTCGGGCAAAAGCTAAGGCCACCACGCCTGAGGATGAAGATGCTGAGAAGATTGAGAAGCCCAAGAAGGGCCCCAAGGAAAAGCCTGTGAGTCTCCGCACGAAGGTTCAAAAGCTTCTCGAGACTCGTGACATTGAAGAGGTCATTTCGGAGATCCGCCTGAAGGTGGAAGCTTGCAGACAAGCTCTAAAAGAAGCTGACAGTGCAGAGAAGATGTTGGATCAACAGGAGGAGAAAGCCAAAGAGGCAGTGGCAGAGACATCCAAGGCGGTGCAGGAGGCAGTTCATCGTGAGGATGTGGCCGTAGAGAAGTTGAAAGCAGCCAAAAATGCCAAAGCAGAGGCTGCTGCAGAGACTCACAAGGCGGCAGCAGGTCGCACTGAGGTGGAGAAGACTGTGAAGGTTTTGGAGCTGCATATGGAAGGCAATCAGAAGCTGCTGGAATTGGAGAAGAAGAAAAAGGAGGCTGCGGAGGCTTTGGAAGCAGCCAAGAAAGCAGCTGAGGAGGCCAAGAAAAGAGAGAAAGAGTTGGCTGAGGAAAGTAAGGCCGCTTTGCAGGAGCAAAAATCGAAAGCCAGTGAGACGCTGAAGGGCCTAAAGACTTCCAAGACTTCCGAAGAGAAGGAAGAAGAGAAGGAGAAAAAGGTCCAAGAGAAGCTTGAGAAAAAGGCTTTGGCAGCCGAATTGGCACAGATCGAAAAGATGCGGGCTGAACGTGAGAAGGAGCGCCAGCAGAGATTGAAACAAGCTGCAGGCAAGGCAGCAAGCAAGAGCAAGGCAAAACGTGCTGCTGAAGATGCAGATGTGGGAGATGCACCTTCCAAGGCAACCCGTGTCAAGACATCGTGAAACTAGGCCTCGAGCATTTTGCCGAGATCTAGACGTGGATAATCGGCCCAATGTCTGTGGCCCAGAATGAAAGGCTGTTGATGTGCAAAGATTCTCAAACATTCTGCACAGGTTGTCCAGCCCAGAGTTGAAAGTTTAGCAGCAGCACCGTTTGAATGGAGTCGACGTTGGATGCAGCTGCATGGGGGTTTTAGTTAGTGACCGTGGAACATGGCACTCACATTGCAGTGCCGAAAGACGTCCAATGGTGGCATCGACAACAGAAAAGGCAGCACGTTGCCGTGCGAAGGGATCCATGCCAGTTTTGCTTGTTTTCAAGATGAGTGACACGATTTCCGACACACTTTGACTATCTTATCTATCTTATTGACTCTTTGACTCTGATTTTGTAGGTGTAACATGTGTAACAGCTCCGCATTTTGGCATTCCATGGCATTGACCGTCAACATGTCCCTGACATTTTGAAAGGAATCCGAGCTCTCACGAGTGGGAGCCGCTCCTGGAGCCCTTCCACATCGGTGCGTCCTTGCAGTTGGAATCAGTGAAGGAAGGCTCCGATGCGTTGTCCACGAAACTGTCGCTCGGACTTACTGTGTACAGCTGTCCGACCGTCATCCCCTGTCCATTGAATTCTGTTGTCTTGCTATTTTTGGTTTAAATTGGCTTGCGCATAATGTCACAAACCCAGTCGCACAGTTTATGTGCCCTTATAGTTGCACAATGACTAATGTGCTGTCACAGCAGCACTGTCCTTCACTCGTTCATTCGTTCACACGTCAGGGTTTGTCTGATTGCTCGTTTGACAAATCTACTCACTTGATTTCACTTGCATCAGAACTTGACAAATGGATTGGGAACTGCTTTGAGAAGCTGAGTTGAGCTGCTCAGGGTGAGAATTCGGGTATCGGTATTGCCAAGTGAGACTGCTTCACTCGCCTGATGGAAATCCATGATGCCTCAGGGGGCTAGCAGATCTAAATTCATGCCCACACTGCCCACACTGCTGACTTCAAGGTCTTGCAATGCCCACAATCCACTCCTGCTGAATGTCAGAGCACCTTCTCTCTACAGGCACATAGGGTGGGTGTTTCCGCCATGGGAGCAACCAGCTGCCAGGGGCCCACAGTTCTGTCGGCAGCAGCTACATGTCAGAGTGAGGGAGGCGAGGCCTCTATCAAGGCTTGTACTCTCTGGTTAGTTAGAGACGTGTACATGAAACATGTTGTACTCTCTGGTTGGTTACAGACGTGCTTGATACTGTAATGCAGATATTACATTGTGCAGTCATAGCAAAGACATGCAAAGACTCAAGTAGACAAAAAGGATCTGATAGAGGTAAACACATGATAAAGAAATATACAGAATTCAGAATGCATCATGAATCAAGACACACATCAAAGAGATATAGGGAGCATCTGTACACACCATGCATGTGTCAAAGACATCGTGATATCCTGGGTAGTTCGTTTCAAACAACTATCCAGATAGCTACATAGTAGGCTACAGATGGCTATAGTGATCTATAATGTATAGCATTAAGTTTTGATTTCTCCAACTTTCTCCAACTTTCTCCAACTTTCTCAGCTTCTCAGTTGGTGTTAAGATGACACGGCTGTGACAGGCTTGCTTGCTTGGGCCCCATTTTCCAAGCCAGCTTGGAGTCTGGGGAGTTCACGGAAAAGACCAGATACCGTGCCTGGGCTCGGCATGTGGCACCAATATGCTACAGAAATGCTACAGAAATGCTACAGAAATGTACAGAAGGACAGAAGGGTTTAGGCGGTTGGTTTAGGGATGTTTAGGGTTTAGTTTCGGTTACCTTTAGGATCCTTTAGGATTTAGGATCATCCTTTAGATACCTAGGGATACCTAGGGCATCTTCCATGGCCCTGGCCTGGCTGAGGTGCTGTGAACCTCTCAGGCCAACCTTTGCGCTTGGACTTCATTTGCCCCAGCGGAACGCTTCAGAAAGATCTGCTGCCCGATGGCTCCGAAGTTTCTCTTGAGGTCGGACGGGGATTGGACGTGGATTGGACGTGGATTGGACGGACAGGAGGAAGGCATCACAAGGCACTTGTAGACAACTCGTAGATGTGACACTGTGACATCTGTGACAGTCTGATGCTTTGTCCATTTTCCCGGGTCTTGCTGCTTTGAGCGGTTTCATCACTTTGGATTGATTTGGCCCCATAGAAGATGAACGTGTTTAAGGCCTCTTCCAACAATTCCCTTTTAGCAAAAGCTTTCTTGGACTCCATATCAGTCAATGTTGCATTTTTTCAATGTTTGCCAAACCTAACGGACCTAACGCTTGAGGAGGAGATTTTGGTCTATGGGGCCAGCGACATTTCAGTCAGCCTCGAGGCTGGAGTTTTGGTGACTTTCTCAATTGCACCGCAGTAAGATGTTGATACAGTGGAGATAAAGGGATGACGGAAGATAGAGGTAAGACCTATAGAATTAAACAGGTGTTAGATCAGGCCGTGGATCTATTGGCAGTTCCAAAGACATGATACTTTTATCTGCCATCACTGCTGTGACAGCTTTTGTTCCAAGATATAACTCATTTTTCATCATTTTTCGACATCCCAATTTCATCCAATTTCCCAATGTCAGGGAGATGACTCCGTTGCTTCTGATCCACTGTCCATCGAGACCTGTGGCTGTACCGTGGTGCCTGGAAGCCTTTGCGTGGCGCAGATCTGGATGCCGGAGCCAGGACCGGCGCTAGAAGGTCACGCTATCCACAGCAATGGAACCATGGAACCCCAAAATGGCTCGACCGATGAAAGGACAGCAACTTTAGGGTGCCCGAAATGTGCAGAATGGAATCATACCCGGTCTTGGCAACGAAATTCGCATCTGACAATCTGAGTCACCCTTGCCCTCTTTGGTGACAGTGACAGTATAGAATTTATATATATATATATGAATTTATGAAGTTCCAAATTTCACAGCTTCCACTGATGCTAGGATGCCGTATGTTGCTATTGGCCCCACCCTTGCGACTGCACAACACCTGCGATGTGCCGCTGGAGCTCAAACTGGCCGCAAGCTACGAGGAATTTGGTCGACTTTTACCATCTTTTACCCATTCCAAAGAGCTGGTTGATGCTGTTGTGTTAGTTTATCCTGGATGACAAAACATGACAAACTGTGATACAGTGATACTGTACTTTTTGCGTGGGCAATAGATCATCGACAACCAACATGCAGCTTGCCAAGGAGCAGCGATCGTTTTTGAACCTGGTATAGGGAGGTTGACGACACTTCAGCCCTTCACCAGTTCTAAAATTTCAATCGGGGCGTTGGGTTCTCAAGGTGCTATCCTGCTGCCAGGACCAATCTGCAAAATTCAGCTGCGATGCTGAGCATGTAGGCAAGATGAAAAACTGTTTGTGTTCAATTTCGTGTTATTTCATGTTAGTGTTGCTTGTATGTGTAAAGTTGCATATTGATAACGTTTTCAGACACTTGCGGTTTTCAGTTCATCCAGATGTAAGACATTGACATTAAGTTACATTAAATGAAGTTATAATAAGTTATATAGGTGACATTAAGTGACATCAAGTGACATTAAGTAGGCATTTTCAGAGAATCTGGGAGGTCTTGGATCAAGGGAAGAATATTTGATTATCGAGTTATCGGCTGTATCCAGGCGAGGCGCCACCCGTTGTCAAGATGCATAGCAACTTCACCCCATTGGATGCCGCAGCAAAAGAGAAGGGAACATATTTGGTGATGCCAAATGACTCTCGACTGTTGATGTAAACCTGCGTGGTGTGTGAGGGTGAAAATTCCTTTACCAGGTTGAGTTGCAGTTTCCGAAACAGCACAAGCAATTGTGTCACAGGTGGCAACAAGGGAAGCAACCAGTAGAATTTCAGGGTCAGCGATCCAAGTTGAAGACTCTTCATAGTTATCAATCACTGCTCGTGCATAAGCAAAAGGACGTCTTACTTCCACAATCGCTAGACTCAATGGTGCCAGAACGGTTTGGGTTTGTAAGACGCAGTAAACACATTCTTGTGCTATTGTGTGCTCACGTCATCGACACCAAATACCACCTGGAATGGATTCCCTTCATTGATTCCGTTTGTGAGGAGATCTTCGCCGTGCCAGAATCTGCAATTGAGAACAAAAACGGGCTCCGAGCAGATGTGTCATTTCGGCCTTTCGTTGAAGGACACGAATTCTGCTTCTTGGCATTTGGTTCCCCTGTCTGCCTCCCAATTTCCACAGGCCAAAGCAGCTTCAAGTCAAAACGCCACATGTTCAACTTCAATGTCCTTTGAAATGATCAGTGGCATTTTCTATGACGTACAACTTGCACAATTCTTGGAGATCTTGTTAATGGCTTTAGAATGTCTTGATTTCCACGCGACTGTGAAAGTATTCTATTCTCTTCATCCCAAACACTTGTATACTCTTGCATACAGGCTTTTGATGACGGTCTGCAGGTTGTCTGACCAATCCACCTCCCAATGTTTCCCAAACTGCTTGAAGCCTGGTAGCGCCACCGGACTTAACACCTGTTTGTTTCATTGCTGTTGCTCCATGTTCCTGCCAGGTTCACCATTCTCCTTTTCCAGCAAAGTGGAGAGCGATAGCTTGGATGTTCTGTGTCTGAGAAGCCTCGAGGAGACAAGATCTGCCCTCAGGTCCCAAAGCTTCAGCATGTGTGACAACCCCATTGCGTTCCGTGGAGCCATTGCAAGGAGCCGGAACTGCCCCGAATCTTGGGAGCTAAAGGCAACCGCGGCTACATGCCCCGCCAGGTCGGGGAGATTCGGGGAGGGTTTCTCGAATCCTCAGATCCTGATGAGGATTGAGTTCATTTATTCCATTTTGATTCATTTTGATCCTGTGTGTTTGGCTCAGGATGAAAAGGAGAAACATGACGACGAGGTGGATACAAAAACACGTTTGGATGCCCGGATTAGGGTCTTCCACTCCAAAGGTCCAGAAACAGACCCATAGGGCCCATAGGGCCCATAGGGCCCATAGGGTCATCACAGGGTGGATTGTCAACTCAGGTGCCAAAGACGTGTCAACTCGAACGCAGAAGAAGGGCATTTGTGCATGCGGTGGGAAGTGGCATGGCAGCACTTCACTGCCTTCCTTAGGTGTGAGGCAGAAGGGTTGCAGAACTAAAGGGGCTTTCACTGAAAGCACGACAGGCATCGACAGACATATTTTTATACTTGTTCAATGATGTTCTTTCTGGAGGAACACGCTTTTAGGCCAGGGTGCGCGCGGCCTTTTTTCTAAGACAGGGTCAAGGATTTCAATTAAAGCACGACCCCCGGTTCCTGAGACAAATTGCAGATTACCCCTTGCACCCAGTCACACCAGCAGACTCTGTATGATTTTTGAAGTTTTTGTAATCAGTTCAGTGCAACACAACAAAACCATAACCCTTGGCGTCCCGGTGCCTACGTTTCACTCAGCGGTGTGCCCAGGTCAGGAATGGTCACAGATCCTGAAGATCTGTTGGAGGACTGGCAAAGTGGATAAGCGAATATGGTGTGGAAGGTTGTCGATCCAAGTGTTTCGAACGATTCTGAATATATATATATATATTATATTTTTCATTATTTCTCCACCTGTTCAATCTGATTCAATCTTATTGAATCTGATTCAATCTTAATCAGATTCTGATTCCATTTCTTGTATCGGTTTGGGTAGTTGAGGACAATTTTGGGTCCAGCATTGCCTTGATGGAATGCCAGTATCCGTCAACACCAATCTGTCAGGACGAGGAGAGCAGGGCCGTGTCCAGCCTCAGCTGCAACATCAAGCATGGCGTTAAAGCCGGACATGACTTGCAGATCACCAGGTGTCTTGGAAGCACCTTAGAGTCGCATGTTCTTTGTCAACGACAGTTGACCTGACCACAATGATTTGGCATCAGCAGGGACCAGTATGCAAATACCACTACGTAAAACATACACATGTATACACATGTCATAATGTGTCAACGTTGTTCTTTTCAAATTCGAATCAAGCCCTTAGAGCGCTCACCGGAACCTCAACGAGGTTGACTGTCCGACCTCTCCTGAGTCTTGTGAATGCTGTGCCAGAGATGGACATGACCATGCAATACCGTGCGTCCTCCAAGGCCCACACTGCTTGAGAGGAGAGACGGAGAGACATATGTCAGCAGTGTTTCAGCTTCGAGTCCAAAAACGTATATAGATACCTTTCATGTCATCTCTGTGAGGCTTTGACGACCTTGCTGGACCGAAGGCCATGGAAAGAGATCCAGCTTCAATCCATGGTGCCTTAGTTCGCAATATCACTATCAACAGCTGCAGCTTGCCAAAGAATCACCTAGTCTACTGAGGATCTTCAACATCTCGACACTTGAATCAAGCACTTTTGACATCGTTTGAATGTTCAATCTGAAGGTTGGGGTGAATGTCTATGACCTCCCATCAGCAGCAAATGGTGTCGAGCTCCGTGGACGTTTGGGTGCTGACCTCAAGGATTTTTGACGGACAAGTTGGGTAGGAGCTTCATGGAGCTTCTTATTTTTGGAAGATCTTTGGCTTTGAAGTCACCAAGACTTGGAAGTCGAAGGAATCAGCCTGGGACTCTGGTTTTGGGAGCACCCTGAGGTGATGACATGGAGACGCCATTCTCATCCTCAGTCCTGGTCCGAGCTTCGGCTCTCCACAACAGTGCTGAGATGTTGGAGCTGGACTTTAAGCAGACGGCTTCAGGCCACAGCTTGATCGGTTGATGATGGTTGATGCAGTAGCTGGTTCTCTGATCTCCTGAATTATTATGAATTATTATGAATTATTCATGATTTCATATTTCAAGCCTCACAGTGCTTTGCAGTGAACGAACCGTAACATCAAACATATTTCAACATGAAACATCCACAGCAGGACCATTGGACATATTGGACCGCCGGTGTCGCCTTTCGCCTTTCGTCATACACTGTCAAGGTGCTGCAGCCGGAATCGTGGCGCAACCCCTGGGTGCTGGGCGAGTGCGCATGTCTTGTCCCAGACTTTTCACCCATCGCCTGGTGCCAGACTCAGAGACAGCATGAGACAGCATGAGACAGCATGAGACAGCATGAGACAGCATGAGACAGCATGAGACAGCATGAGACGGCATATGTCACCAAACAACACTAAACATTCAAGAGTTCCCTTTTTAGATCCACACACTCCCTTGTCTCGTATCGCTTTGCTCAGGATGATTTGAAGCAAGATGAAGAAGTACAACTCTTCAGTCATCCACACTTTGCTGAGTGCAGTTGGTGTGTTGTGCAGATTGCTGGTTTTCTGATGTTTTCTGAAGGGGTCAAATTGTATTTGATACCTGAAGTGGCACCGGTCTTGTTGGAAGCAACCAACCATTTTCGGTCATTCGAAAGAGTGATATTGCAAATGGACTAGGAGAAAGATATGAAGATGCAGAAAGACATAGAAAGACGGACAAGTTGACTAAGTTGTTCGTTATCTGAAGCCTGCGGAGCACTCCTTCCCGCAACCGACCTGTGCAACTTGCGCCTGCCACCGAGGCAGCGGTGCCCCGTTGCCAAAGATCAGCGAGTTCACAATGCTCCCGAACAATTGCGAGTCCAAGAAGTGTGAGGTGCCGAGGGAATCCGAGGGAATGCGAGGGACAGATCTTTGTTATCTTTTGGGGAATATTTGGGGATAGGGCAACAGAATTTCGAATGACAAACTCGACCAAAACTTACTGGGAATAAAGTATGCCTATACTTGATGAAGGAAGCAAGCGAAGCGAAGAAAAGATAGGGAGCACCACTGCAGCACAAATGGAAGGTCTTTGTATTCAAACAACGTGGAATTCGCTTCAAATCTTTGAGTATGAAAACATAATCAACCCACGTGTTTGATTAATCTTTCGCATGAATGAATGCCATGTGATGTACAGCATTTAGGGCAGCTCACATTTCAACCTGGCATCAGCAAAATCGGACAGCCTTGTGCGTGAACCACTGAACCACCAAATTTTGTCACACACCGGCTCGGCTCAGCTCCTGGTACGACGCTGGGTGGATGGAACACTACGAGAGATGAAGCACAACCTGACAATGCCTGCAGCTTTGCTTGGATCATCAAGTGTGTTCTGAGTGTCTTAGACTATTTGGATCCGGAAGCTGATTCGACTTGCCTTGCTTTTCCATTACTGGCTTTCAGGGCTAGCTGAGGCTTTTCAGGTACACCCCTCCTATTTTGGATTCCATGTTGGATTTCGGCAGACATATCTGTACGTATATATATATATAATATATAATATATATGTATAATATATATATATAATTATATATATATATTATAAAATCGTATATGTAAAACATATTTGGAAAGAGCATGAAAGAGCCAGTATCAACAGCCACTCTCATTGCTTACACGGCCCAGTAGATGCCACTTGAGGCAGCCTTTGACTCCTTCGATGTCAAGACTCCGTGGGGAACCGGGTATTACTGCATGCAGACCGAGGACATGCTGCCCGGTCAGCTTAAGTTAGTTTAGTCATAGTCACTTCGTTGGGAGATGGATTTTTCCAGCCGGCTTAACTTCCCTGGTGGCAGGATTTGGCAGCCAGCGGGATGCTGGGAGCAAGCTGTGACTTGTCGTATCACTCAAAGGCTAAACATTCCGCACCATGAACTCCTCACTGTTCTCAAGATGCGAGCTATCGACAGTTGGTTTGGGGAGTTGCTGTGAGGGGGGGCAGTTGGAGAAACAGCAGATGGAGATGTCAGTTGGTCATCCGATTCAACTGGTTTACTAGTTTACTGATGTTTACTGATGTTTACTGGTTTATTTTTTCAGCGGTCGAATTTGATTTGCTTCGCACCTCCAAACTCCGCTCAGGCAAAGTATCCAGTCTCCGTCCACGCTTGGTGGTGACCAATGCTTCTGGTTCCTTGGCACCAAATATTCGCTGCATGTGTTTGGGCATCCCCTGCGAAATCATTCGGCCAACGCAACGATCATGTTGCCCATAGATGTGGGTTATCAAATCTGTCCTTTTGCTTTCTTGGAGCATGAATCATACACTGTCATACCAGCTTCCTGTCTTCTTTCTGGACATGTACTTCAGGTCTTTCACGTCAAGGCTGCTACTGGTGTTAAATTTAGACAAGATAGAAACCGACCGGGACATGCCATCAGTCCAAGCACTCAGATCTTGATCTTGAACTACAGACACCTGATGGAAATGTGGTGGTGCTGAACGCACAGCAGTCCAAGCCCTATCATTGGCATATTTCCTCCAGCAACAAGGCCCAGCCCGTTGACTTGCACAGAATTTGGAGATTGCAAGAGTATAATTTGTTTTTAGGACAGGAGTCTTTGTCTTGGCGTGCTTCTCCGATTTCTCTCTATTTGTTTGCAATACTTTCCATCCCTTCCGCTATGTCTCTTCCGATCTCCATCCGTGCCTCAGTCCGTATCTCAGTGTGAATCTCCATTTCTATTTATGGGTCGTTCTGCTTCTTGCCTGTATCTCGATGTACAAGTCTGTGATCCATCCATTTCTCTACCTGTATCTTGATGTACATTTTTGCTACGGTACGGACAACCAAGATCTTACTTGTAGTTGCTTTGCTAGGAAAGCACATATCATAATTGATGAAATTGTAGTTGCCCGCACTTCACTGGTAGTGGAGCATTTATTTTCTGATCTGTGTTTGCATCAAGCTTTTTTGCCAGTAGTGAACAGCACTCATCCAACTTTTTCTCATTCATACCATCATATTCTCTCCACCCGCGGCCTACTCTTGCACTCTTTCTGGCAGGGAGCAGCGTCATTTCACCTTCGACCAGCAGGCACGGCGCTCATATGGGACTGATATAAGATAGGATCGTGAAGATTCAGCAAGACAAGCCATCAGATGACGATGTTCCGTGCAACACTTGCTTTTCGTTACCAAGATGACATGATATTCATCGCGAGTGACAGTTGTTCTTATTCAATGTTTCGTATACAGAATCCTGATTGATTCTTTACTCGGCACCTTAGCTCGACCATGGCCAGGTCATTCAGATGTGAGCTGGTCAGCTGCTATCCCTTGCAGCGAGCAAGCAGCAGGATCCACCCCTCTGCTATTATCTGCCAATGACGCTCCGCCGCAGAGTTTTTCCGGGTGTTAGCTCAGGTAGCGGCCAGCCCATGCCATGTTCTCTGCTGCTACTTGTACTCGCTTGGCATATTGATGCAGATTTCACTATTACATGATATATGATATTACATACTGTATATCCATGTCATTAAATGACACAAGTGACTGATTCCAAATCATCAGTGGGGCCACAATTCTCTCTCAGCCAGTTGTCCAACTCAGGGCGATTCTCCCAGTGCGGCACCGCTTGTTTGGACAGCTGAGATTGCTCCTTCCTTTGGAGCCTTCTCCATAACACTGAAGAAACTTGTCTTGTACCATCTTGTACCTCTTTCGGAGGCACTTGTAATTGATTCGCATTTACAGATTAATTATATAAATTGATATGTCACCTCAATATACCTCACTCATCCAATCTTGAAGCAATCTCCGCGGGCCTAGCCTGAATATGCCTGAACGTTTAGAATCTACTAGAACAGAACCGTCAAAGAAGAGTGATGTACCATAGAAGATGATTTTCGTCACGCTTGGCACCTCCACCCTCACGCTTTGCGGGCCGTTGATTCGTCTACCATGTCTACCTCAGGAAGGGATCAGTCTTCATGGCTTCCAACAAAGCCCAGACAGCCAATGTCACTGGGTGGGATGGTGGGATCTTTTTTTTGTTGGGCTCTGACTATCTCTGACTAAGTCACTCCCCTGAGCTCACTCTGACAGCCCATGTTCTGTTTTTGTTGTCGCTCACTCGGGTTACGGGCCTGAAACTCAGGTGAACATGGAGTTGTACTCGGTGGCATCTCAGAAAGCCACCACAACTGGTGCTGCTACGGTGGTCAAGCCGGGCGAAGAAGCTCCCATCGGTTGGGCAGATCCCTACACTCTTCGGCAGTTTGGAGTGAAGGTTGTCATTGGTGGCGAGGACAGCTGCATACACTGGATACGGATAGATATGGATGAATAAAGGCGAGAAGATGAAGTTGCAAGTCATGAAAATCACTTAAGGCCGCCAGTGCAGTGGAAATGATGGACGCCGTGCTTTAAAAAAAACCTGCGCTGGATGGTGACAAGCTGGCAGTTGATCTTGTCTATTCAAGGAGTGTACACCAAAATGGTTTTCATTCACAATGGCTTCTGGAGGAGCACTTTATCCAAGACCTCGGGCGGCGGGCAGAAATACAAATCAAAGGTCTCAAAGTGATGCTTTCTGTTGCTTGTCAGCAACAACCAACGCATCCTAACACCATTTTTCTGCTTGAAATGCAGGAATATTGGTGTGTCAAATCTGGAGAGCAACAGTTAGAAATAACACTTTTCAGCTTGTTGGAGATCCCGTACAGTAACCAGGCTTGTTCAAGACCCACCTGCCTGGAAACGTTCTGTGACCCAACTTTTGTCCACGCGCCGCCTCGGCGTATGACCAAAGTTGAGTGAGGTATCTCGAGTGGGTGAATCTACCATTCTGTCGCTCGATGACGTCTATTCTCCGGTGGCGGCATTGCTTGAAACAGGTGAGAGAACTGATGATGCTCGGTGACACTGAAGGTTTGGACATATCATAATAAATCATAATACCTATATATATATACATATCACCTAAATCCTATAATTTCAATAGTAATGATGCTAATAATCATAAGAGTATATTATGATGCGATAATAGTGATAATGATGATAGTAGCAATAATAGCAAGTAAAGCAATTATACGGTTTATTGCTATTCTTCTTATTACTAAATCTTCCTTCAACCTCACAATGCCTTGCTTTTAGTGCCATTGCTTTTTCAGCAGCCAGTCTGGAAATACCATCTCTGCCAAGGACCTGTCCATCACATCGGATCAAGCTTCTACAGTCGAGGTCGACGTTCAACTTTGCCAATTGGGAGTCACCCGAGCTGATGTACTGTGTGAGTCGGTGTGAGTTTTGAATGTCTTGCTTGTGGCATCAATACATAATTTTCACATTTGAGATCATCACAGCATGCTTGAACTCAAAAACATGGCTTGACTTGTGCAGCATGAAGGTCTTATTTGTTGCCTTTTCGCCTCACAGTCATGTCCTGAATGACAGGGTGGCACTGGGTGGTGTTGTCCCTTTTGGCGTCTTTTTTTGATCGCTGAACTAGCCGGCCTCAGGTTTCCTTGGTGGATGACGAACCCACCCCTCGCGAGCTGCTCTTCATTCACGTGGGAGACATTCAGCTGGGCTACAAACAGAATGTGACGGAAGACAAAGAAGAGAATCTTGGTTGAGGCAGTTCAATTCATTGTACATAGATGTACACAGTATTTAGCCATAAGATATAGAGTATGAAAGAGTTGCGCAGGAAAATCTTTCTATCGCTGAGATTGGCCAATGAAATTCACCGCAGAAATTATATCCTGAGTTGCTTCAGCCCGAGTTATCTTATCAGAACATATGTGAATCATTCGGTCACATTGTGTCTTGAATTCACAGAAGAACAGGTCGTTCTGGTTATGTGTTACTTTGAACATCGGGTCTAGCTGCATTTTTTTCAAAACCGGAGATTAATTCCCAAATAATCACGAATCTTGCGCCTGCGCAGTGCTTTGATTTTAAGTCATAACGATCTGTTAATCACTTTCCTCAGTTTAAAGCCATTGGGGTGACTTGCGTTCTCTTTGTGTTTTGGAAGTTTTGGACTAGTTTTTTCTTTTTCTCACTTTTGCATTGTCATGCTGCGTTTACAATGGGCGAAGAAGTTGGTGTGCCTCTTTTCTGCCAGTTGGGGGATGTAGTTCCATGCGAGTGACAAGTTGACGTAGCTGTTCACGTCGCCCCTGCGAGGATCAACTTCCGCGTCGGCAAGCTGCAGGCCACTGTCAACGTTGTGAATGGTCTTGTAAACAGCTATGAAATGGCACTAAGTTTTCCCTGTTAAAGATGTTGTTTGTGAATGCGAACAATTTAGAAGTGACATCATTTTATGTCTCGAGTGATCTCAAAATTGAGCTCATCAATGATCAGAAGAACTTAGTTTTTTGCATCATCAGAACCATCAGAAAACGAAACTTCTCTTGGCTTACAGTAACTGCTTTTTATTGGGAACCTTCGCCCTATTCGCCCAGGGAATTTGTCAGCTGCCCGAACGTGTGGATGGTTCCATGCTTGAACATAAGCGGCAGCACAAGGCTGGTGTCCTCCGCAAGGACCGATTTGAAAAGAGATTCTGATGCATTTGACAAATGGAGAACAAGATGAACAAGAACAATATGAACTGATGACCTTTGAATTTTCAGGAAGATTCCTAGATTCATCTAGATTCTAGATGTTCACTTCCTGGACATCAAGATGGCTTAAGTGGATCCCAGTTCTATCTTTTCTGATGCTGAAACCGGGTCATGGCTCACTCGAGGAGCTCCCAGCTGTGATTTTGGCCAACCATGGCGAGAAGGACGCAAACTTCCTGGATATCAACATCCTGAGAGAGGCCACTTCCTCGCAGGACACCGGGTATGTTTCAATATGTTTCATGTTTTGCAATGTCGTTTAGGTTCAGTGATGTGCTGATGTGCGGTGTTGACACGAGATTTGTAGAGAGATTTGACACATGTCAAAAAGATTTGTACAATATATATATACACACATACAAGTTCGAAGTCATGAGATACTGAGCAAATTTGTGATGCCGTGTGCACACAAGCAGTGAACCTCAAACGCAAAGTGTCACAAAGAAATTTGACGAAAAGCCACCAGTGCTCTTGGGACACCAGGATTTGGTCCTCCCTGCTGCCAATGTCCTGATGGATAAATTGGACGTGACGGTGGACCATGACGCTGGGCGCTGGTTGCGGCTTTCCAACGTTGTACCATTTAACATTCGGCATAGCAACAATGGTTGGTAACCTGGGCAGATCCAAGTACTGCGTCTAGCTCCAAGGACTGGCTCTCACCGCTCCTGGACTGGCTGGAGCGAGCAATTCCTCAGGCAGTGATTGCTGTGTTGCTTTGTGCTTCAGTCAAGAACATCTTAAGACCTTAGGACATTTTAGGACCAGGATTCGCAATACACATCAGTACAATTCAACGAGAATTATCACGCTGCGGATCTTCCAATTTGGATCAGTCGCAATCGCAGGATGCCATTGATCTTGGCATCACCTGGGATGACATGAAGGCCAAGGCTGGAAGGCGCGGTGCGGGAGGTGTCAGCACTTGATGTGTTTAGTTTAGACTGTTTGGCCGTAAAAAGACATTGCAGAACGCTAAAAGGTCAGATGGGTTTTCACATCCAGAATCCAGTGATGATGATTCTTTTCCCCCTGACTTTGTTGTTGGGGTTGGAAAAAGGACATCAAAAACACTGCTAACACCCAGCATTGTCCCATCTCCCATGTGGGAACTTCCACCTTAGGCGTCCTCCGATCTTATGGCAATGACATGCGACCATAGTGCCATAGTGACCTGGAGCCAGGTCGATTGCGGTGAACTACGAGCCGCCTTCAGTGCCAGCAGTGGCATGCGTCGAGTCCCTGAAACTCTCCGAGATCAACTTGACTGTTTGGTGTACCCCAGCAGCAAATGCGAAGCAAATGCTCAGCAAAATGCTATCTCTGTATCTGTTGCCAAGAAGGAAGCATCCCTCAGCGGCAGATGAGTGTGTTGCATGATTTTGCATGGCACTCTTTCTCTGATCATGAATCAATATGAATCATGATAGCAGATATTTGCTCAGGCCGCTTGCCATTGTCCACCCTGGACTTTCTGCCTGGACCAGTGCGAACCATCCTTCGAGTCGTTTCTGTCAGCAGCCACTCGCAAGCATGAGGAGATATAACAATTATAACATGATATAACATGATATAACTAGGTTAACTAGGTCCGCAAATGTCCGTAAGCTCATCGCTTGGTGATCTGTGTCGTGGCGGTGGCAAACAAAACATGTTGACGCATGCTGGTCCGGCTGGTCCTGAGGCCATTTCACGTTGAACGCAGCTCAGATCAAATTGCCCGAAAAGAAGCTTCCAGACCCTTGGCAGCCTTAGCATCAAAGGCTGTCTAGCTACAATAGCTACAATGAAAGAACGGCCTAAGAACAGCGCGAAGACATTCGTGTGAAGGAAAACCTATTTAGTCTGGCACCAGTCAACCTTTTCGGCTTGAAGGGAAATGCAGGTGCAAATGAAAGCAGGCGAAGCAGGGCTAGGCACGGCGAAGCAGAGCTAAGCAGGACTGAGCATCTTGACTTGACCAGGAATACCGTGGACCAGTTGAAAACCTGGGCGTGTCCATTGGCATGGACTATGCGGCCTCGCTGCTGAAGATTGAGACTTGGCTCAATGCGCTCGGTTTCGCGTGAAACGCCGACTTGGAATGCAGAGCAAATAGACAGTTTCGAACAGGGTTTCACTCTTTTCTACTCTGCCTTTGTTGGATGGTGTCTACTCCGTGGTTTCAATTATTGTATACTTTCATGGTTCCGCCATGTTCCGCCCCTTTAAGAAAGATGAATGATTTTGCGCTGGGTTTAAACCACCAGACAAAGTCGGTATGTACAGAAGCGTCACGTGAAGCATCATGTCATCCCAACCGAAATTATGGAAATGCACTTCACATTGATCTCATGACTCATGAGATCCCACAGGACAGTATTGGAGCATGCTTCGCAGTGCATCTTGTGCAGGTTATGTCCCTCCTGGGAAAGAGTTCCTTGCTGAATGCTGGGGCCATTCCATTAGCGATGGGTGGGACCGTTGTTTCCATGGTCACCGACGGTGTCGGCAGCACCATTCGTGGTGGTGCGGGGCTCTTGGGACACCTCGCCATGGATGAGGCCCGGGTATCCATGACATATCCATCACAGAAGCATTATTTTACATTGCCATGCAGCCTGGCAGAGGTCTGACACATTCTGACACAAACAAAATTTGAAATGCCAACTTGGCCCATGCAAAGAGGTACAGGTTGTACAACGCGCGTTGTCAATTGGATCAACAGAGCTGTGAAGCCATCAGTTTGTTTCGACAACTTGCTGCCTTTGCTCGCAAGATACACATTACTATATAGTTGGGTTGGAACCTTCCTGAGCTCCCACATTGTTTCCTCCTTTTCTTTCCATGCGCCTGCAGGACTACAATCAGCAACAGAAGATGAAACGGGAACAGAAAGAGATCACTGGGGCAATTGATGGCTTCAAGGAGGCTGGCAATTTGGTTGCTTGTGGGTTCTACTGATGGGGAACCAGTGTTTTTTCATGTTTTTTCATAGTTGTTCAAAATTCAACTTCACCTGGGATACTCTTTCATCCCTTTGCTTTTCGGGTCTATATAAGGACAATTTGCTCAGTACTTGGCAGGGGACGGTAGTGTGCTGCATGATAGAAGTTGTTTCACCCGTTTGGCTGCTGATGCTGCGAAACCAACGACAAACGTGAGTTGAATGATTGTAATGCAAGTAATATACATATATATATATTTACATATATATATATACACATAATCGCAAGGCCAGAACATTGAGAATGTCGATCTTGTCATCTTAAGAGGCCGATATAAACTTGTGCTCCCTTTTATCGCAATTTTTTCTAATTGTGAATGATACCAGCATATGAACCATTATGAAACTTAGATCGTTTCAATTTTTGCTTCACATTGTCTTAGTCTCCTCATGGCCAGGCAGGAAAATCCTTGGCTACTGGCTTGGATGGTGCATTGGTAACTTGACGTAGCTGCCCAGGGAAATGCAGCCACGCCTTCCAAAGAATTTTCCAGAGTTTCCTTGATTCACAGATTGTCATAGATGTGCAGTGAAATCTGAGCAGGGAAGTCGCAAATGGCCATGGCATTTCAACAGTCCAAGCATATTTCCAAGCTATTTCCAACCCTAAATTAAATCCACATTTAAATCCTAAACACCCTAAAAGATTTCAAATGATGGTTGCAACATGTTGCACCATGGATTTCCAGCCTCTGATGGCCATGGCTAAGGACATCTTCCGCAAGCCGGTGCAGGGAGCTCGCCAGGATGGTGCAAAGGGCTTGGCCGTGGGCTGTGGCACTGGCATTGCAGGTGCTGGGGGTGGCCATGGATGGAAGATGTGAATGTGGTTAAAATATGTTAAATCACAAGTTAACCTGAGGACTTGAAAAGAACATGTTAGTTGCTACATCTTGTTACAATGTTACACTGGTTTGATTTCTGTGACCAGAAATCTGCCTGAATCACAGTGAGACGATGCACGATGTCTCATTTTGCCAGGCACAGTGGTGAAGCCTGTCGTGGGCGTTGCAAACGCGGGTTCTGACACTTGGCCGGTGCCGCAGGTTCTCTGACCCACCAATATCGTGATATCGTGACTACGTGTGACAATGATACTGGTAGGATCTGTTTAGTTATTGTTAGTCACAAGATGTCACAAGTTAAACCGTTTGCCAGAGGAGTAGCTTCATACTGCTGGGATCTTGTAAGTGGAACTCTTGGACCACCACCCCTTAAAAATCCTTTACATCATCTATGACCTCCATGACAGCCGGTCATGATCTAAGGACATCATTACTGGCATCTCAGCAGCTGCAACCTTCGACTCTGCAGCCAAGCGCCGACGTATCTCATCTGACGGGCTCGGAGTGGAGGGGTAAAGACTGGTTTCGGAATTGCCGTTTGATGATGTTTGATGTATCCGCATGCTCGTGCTGGCTATTTCATTCTCAGTCGTATGAAAAAGTATGAATCAAGTATTCAAAATGATTTAGATGTATTTTAGAAGTTTTGGAACGTTTGAATCATCAGGAGCTTGCACATATGCATGCACTTGCGCAATATTGCAATATATATCACACACACACATATATATATATAATATTACTTTATAGAAGACTATAGACAGTACAGCATGCGTGTACACGTATCGTGTGTCTATCAGTTCGAATGGGACCCAGCAACTTAACAAGATGAGCCGAGCTTCATCAGCTGTCAAGTGCAACCGTTGTAGCAGCTGAGGTCGTGAGCGTTGTCGTTGCCGTGGACCCCGAATGCTCTACGGAAAGTGACTTCGGCTGCATTTGTTGCAGGCGGATATTGTGTAAGTGTTGCTAGCCCCTGTAAAGAGGGTCCAATTGGGTCCAATTTCAACTTTGGCATTGTTTGTCAGTGTATTTCATAATCAGGTACGGAAAGATATGCAATGATGCTGGCTGAAAGCAGGGAGCACTAAGCTGTATGGTGGAAAAGAAAGTCCTAACGGTACGTGATTTGTCAATGCTAGTCAGAGCTGATCATGATGAAAGTTTGCTATCTGCAACACTAACACCTACCAGAAGAGTTTGGAACAGTCGAGACACTTGCAACTCCAGAAGAACGGAGAACTGAGACAGCGAGAGAAGCTTGTGGATATGGGGAATGTCAGATATTTCAAGTTGTGCAGATCAAAGGTCGCAGTAATTGGTCTTGCCTGTGAAGCTGTGAAGCTCTCTCAGGTCAGCTGTCATGCGGAAGTGGAGCGACTCAGAATCTTGACATCTGGGTTGCGCTCGTATCTATGCTTAGTCACATGCTTGTGTCTCGTTAACGATGTCTCTATTGGCCCTGTTTCGTGGGATCAACTTGTTACTGGTAGTCACTTGCAGTTTGACACAGGAACCAAAATGAATTGAAGGTGATATAACAGCGATGGAAACCGGACAAATCCAAAGGGACATCCACAAAGTCAGATGTATGAGGTAATGCAATTATGATGGAAGTATGCTGTAGCAATCTGGCACTCGACAATGCTCCATTCGTGTCCATTTTATCGGTGGCTTCCCCCCAAGACATGAAGCTTTCCATGGCCACGTTTGATTGTCAGAGGGTAACATCAAATAATTCATCATTTTTACGCACTATAGCTGGGTATAGGTGGTTTCCGGCCCAACTTGGGAATTTTAATTCTTGATTATCATAAGATCAACCAGGTTTCTCCCTTTTTCCAGTGTACCCAAGGATTCACAGCTTCTGCTTCAGCTGGGGAGTTTTGCAGAGGGCGTTCAAGCACCTGGGCATCTCATAGCATGGCTTAAACTTGGGTGCACTAAGCGCATGACATGTTCATCATATCCATTTCAGCAACATTGTTTGTCCTGAAACGAGTGACATTTGGGTTGGTGAATCTAGCTATGTGCACTGCTGCACTCCTGCCAGACTTTACAGAATGAGCATAATTTTGCATAATTCTTATCCATGGGTCATTAAATGTCCCCATTGAACATCACCCAACCATTAGGTATATGGTCTATAATGGCTACTATTTTTGGTGATGTCCAATATTCCCAAAAAAAAAACATCGATCTACGAAAGCGAAGCAAAAAACATCTCGGAATATCTCGGTGCTGTGTTCGATGCGGAAAAGGGGCGACGAAAAAGGGTGGCTAGGCTTCACCGGCTCCAAGGAGATCGTGCCATTGGCCTCAAGTGCTTTTCACCGCTATGCCTTGCTTCTTTGCAGCGTGCCCTGGCAGAAGTTGGTTATGATGCTTTTGGAATCTTTTGGATGTGATATTGCTGTGGATCAATACCCATAAACACCAGTTTTTTTTTGATGAACATCCATTGAACGACTATTTTGATCACCAGGGGTGCAGGGTGAGACAAAGAGACACGGTGCCTGTCAGCCTCATGCCTTTTTCATCCTTTCGAGGACAAGCTGCTGGTGGTGAAGCTCCGAGCTACTCAAAAGATGTCGGAGCGGCATAGCACCCAAGTGGACCTGGCTGGAAAGGCTTCCACCAGAAGCCTGGCAGGACGGGACATGGGACCCCTCTGGAGCAATGTCAACAGATCCTGCAAGACAAAACATGCGACAACTTGCTCCTGCCTGTAAGACTTGCACTGTTCATGTCATGCAGGAAAAGGACACCATCATCGCATGGATCGCATCTTCTCGGAACTTCTTCATCCCATCGAAGAGGTTCAGAGGACCTTGCTGAAGAACGTGCCATTATAGGCAGAAGAAGGAACTTCAGCACGTTGGAAGTCAGTCGGAGTGGTTGTTGGTTGCTGCCTGTACAAGTATGGTGAGTTTCCTTTGGTGAGTTTTAAAAATTTAAAAACGGTCAGCCTTTTTGACTTTGCAGCTTACACATTTGGAGGATTTCTAGCAGTGCCAGCGGCTTGAGCCAGACAGAATCCACGGTAGCAGAAAACGTCCGTGGAGTGCTCTACGAGGAGATCAAACGCGTGGAATTTGTAGGCTAGGTCACCGGCTCTACCAACATGATCCATGACACCGGACACCATGATGACCATCTACATGTTGGATGTGCTTGGATCATCTTGGACCATCTTGGACCAAAACTTTGGTGACGTTGCCCCACATCTGTCAGATGTGGACGATGCGCTGGTTCTGGAAGATCAGCAGGGCAACAGTCACAGCATCCCCATAGTCTTGGAGTCCGATGCCAAGGTGCTGCATTGGCAGGGACAGCTGGATCAGAACATATCACGACTGATGATAATTGCAGGGTGGAATATGGAAGATGTAAGATGAAGACAGGTGAAGACAGATGAAGATAGATGAAACATAACACATGCTCCCTGAGTCTGTCTGTGAATCCAAAGTGATGAAGTCCTCTGGGAATCAGCGCCCATGTTTGAACATATGGCCAATGACCTGTGGCCTGTGGCTTATGACTCCCAAATGCGGGCTAATGCGGTTCATTCAGGTTCTAACACTAGATCAAGCATATTGGGTTGGTTAAACCATATTAAACCTCCATTTTTGATGGCTAAACGATTGAACGATATTAAATGCGAAAATATCGGTTGATCAGGCCATATCCCTGCTGCCGACTGCCTGTGTATCCTGTGTCTCAGGAGGCCTTGCAAGTCTTGCTGGAGCAAGCAGCGAAAGGGCGGCCCAACTGGCGTGACTTCATGCACGGATGGCGGCCAGAGGAGGAGGCGGCTTCGATGGGTGGCAGAAAAATTAGGGAATTCCCGAATGAGCGCGGACATCCCAAAAGATATTCAAAAAATAGATGATAATCTGAAGGGTTTTCAATCAGAGAATCCCAGCACTCCGAATGTAGAGGATCTTCTTCAGTCAAATGCAGTACAGCACAGGGCTTCTGGCCCTGCAATAGCCCTGCACTTGTTCTCCAACATGTTCCAAACTCTTTGTGATCAAGCTTCTGTTCAGAAGCCACAGATATCAAGGTACTCCAGGCACTCGCCAGCTCTGTTTGCATCTCCCTGTGGAGGTGCACGAAACTGCTATTCGGCCGAAGCAAAAGGACGAGGACGTAGTAAAAATGACCTCGGTGTCAATATAGGCGCTGTCCTCCAGTGCTTTGAAGGCCAAAATTTGCCAAGAGAATTTGCAAACGCAGAACAACTCCGCGTTGCTGGAGTTGTATTGGAGTTGTGTTGTTTTTTTGTGACTCCCAATCACTTTGCGGTGCTTCAGAGTGAGTGGATAGAAGTTGCTGCCGCATGAGCTGGCTTTGAATTCTCAGATGCCCAAGGCACATGTACAGAGCCACTGGTTGATGCAAGCTGCCAATGAAGGTTGGCTAATTAAGAACTAAGCGCTCAAACAGAAGTTTTAGCCACCCGCAGTCGAAGAAATCCTCCTGGAGAGTCCAGAAAACATGAAGAATATTGTTGAACAAGATTCCTTGAATATGTGAAGTGGGAGGCATTTTTTGCTGCGTTTGTAGGGATCTAGGAACATTTAAGCGCCACAGATGCATTCGCATTCGGCCTCGCCTCAATGGCGGAAAGTGAAAGCTGTATGAGGCGACCGTCAGCACGGAGCATCCTTCGCGTTGCTCCGTGCTGATGGTATTTTTCCCTCATGCCTACAGCGTTATCGAGAAATCTGAGGCTGTCGAGGTGATGACTTTATGCACGCATCGAGAAACAATATAAGGGTGGCATAGCATGGCATAGGGTGACTAGGTGTCTTGGAACTCAAATTAGTTGCCAGCCACGGGTCCTGGTACCAGCCCTTCCCTTGGTTGGGTCATGAGAAATTGGACAAACACATTTGAAAGGGAATGAGCTCAGATCACACAGATAGATGAGAATGTTAACAATCCTTTCCGATATATTTGCACATCGTTTGCCTTTTATGATTAAGTCAGTCAGCTGCAGATATTGATGTTATCCTTTTGATCCTTTTTGCGCTCATCAGATGATTTTTTTCCCAGCCTTGCAGGCACTGGTTCCTTGAGTTCGCCCAAATTCAGCACATGCCAGGCAAAGCGGCGGAAGAAGACCAAGGAATGGCTTTTCCTTTGGCGCTTTGGCATTCAGAACTTGAAAGCTGCTTGGATGCCTCAGCGGTGGGTGCCCGTTTGTCTTTGTGGTCAGTTTTTCTCCTGGTGCCAAGTAAAAAACATAAAAAACAACCAGTGGGCAAGATAGTTTTCTTGATTGCACCGCAAACTATGATCGAACCATTGGAGGAAATAGATGTTGGTTGAAGATTTTGAGGCAGTTGAGGCTGTCCGCTAAGCAAAAAGCCTGACCGGTAGTTTCGAGTTACACAGTTACACCATTTGAGGGACAGCCCACACCCACCTTGGGAACAGGTGAAACAGTTGGCAAAATTGGAAAACACTGAGAACAGGTGAACCCACAGCCTCCATGACTCAGGTTTTGGACTTTGCTTGGGTCCAGTGGCAGCTCCTTTGTGCTGCTAGTGCGCGACGCCGTGCGCGTGTCATTTTGCGACTGTGGTGCAACGAAAGCCACCGGCAACATCAAGGGAAGGCCCTCCTTGGTGCATGGCGAGTAGTGGTGTCTCTTGGCACTTGACATTGGGCAAGCGGATGAAGCTGGAGCATTCCCATCAATCAAGAGGGTCGAAATCCAGGGCTTTTGAAGACCGCAGATGAATGTCTGGTGTGGCCTGCACTAGTGAAATCTAGTGAAGAGATTGCAGGAAGGTGAAACTGTGAAACAAAATTCTGTCTAAGCACATCACGTGTGCTGAACGTTTGATACACCTCCAAGGTCACTTTCCCGCTTGCCATACCTCTTCCACGCTTGGCGTGCCGTGCTCCTCTCACGGCGCCTGTCCAGAAGCAGCGTGAGTTTCGTGTTGGGCTGGTGGCTGTCTTCAGCACGCCAGGCGGCAGCTGATCAGGGCAGCAACAAGTTACTGGATCAGTCATCACGACATATCACGACAGAACATCCCGGTCTGAAAGGAGTATCATTCACGACACTACATGGAGATGTATGTTGTACTCGCTCTTCTAAGAAGCAACATGAGCATTGCACATTGCACTGCTGGATTTTCAGAGCCGGAAGTTGGGATGACATGGCTTATTAATTGTGATTAAACATGTATTTCTCCATTGATTTTGACACAATTGGCCGACAAAGACATGCTTACAGACCCCAATAGACCAGCAGCCGGGGAGAGCAATTTCTAACCCCTACATGGTTATGACATTACGAAGGTTAAGACATTACGAAGGAGTTAAGACATTACGCAGGTTAATTGGTTGCATTAGTTCAAGGTTATATAATAGAAATATAATAAGGGTTACAAAGGCACCGGAATATAAGGGTTAGGCATGGTCGTGAGCAGCCGGGGTTTGGGTGTCAACCACTTTCCAAGACCAGGGGCATGCACGATGGCTAGGCAAAGTCCTTGAAGAGATTCGCATTCAGAGCTTTGCTCATGGTGCATCAAAATCGGAGGCCTATGAGCATCATGACCTGGCATCTTGAGAAGCAAGGTGAACTTTGATGAACTTTGAAATCAGCATCAGTTTCAATCATGTTTTTTTTTCCCGAATGCGTAGCAAGGGTTCCCGTTTCACTCTGGGGGTCTGGGGGTTGAGGGTGTGTTCGCTCGACGTTGCGTTTACGACCGCAACCGTCCGCAACCGTTCGCAACCGTTTGCAACCGTCCGCAACAGTTTGCAACCGTCCTGGGGGGGGGGGCGTATGGCCGTGCCTATGGTAAGTTCTGCAAAAGGGGTCACCTTTAGATGTTGCAGATGTCGCGTTGCTTCGTTTCGCGTAGCAGGTGTGGCACTTCGTGACATTCAGACGCGTTTCGTAACCTTTCGAAAGTCGTTTTGTGTGGCAGGCGCAATACTTTCGCGACGTTTTCAGAAGATGAGCTCCCGTTTTCGTGACAGCGAGCACTTTGGACGTGATCCTCGTCTGTGCGTGGCAGGCGCAGCACTTTAGACGTGTCGTGTTGCGTGTTTTGTGCGAATCGCATTGTCAGGGCCGCGTCAAGTGGCGACAAGGGCTCCGACAAGGTGCAAATTCCATGGCAGGCGTGGCGTTTTGTGAGATGTGATGAAAATTGACGGAAGCCTCGCACGAAACATCGATTCTGAGGTCGCAAATTTGGAGGTTCATGAGAAAACTCGTAGGAAAAAATTGGAGTTTGAAGCTTCAAAGTGTGAAAGTTGAAGGAAGTCCGCACGAAATGCTCGTTCTGATGCTCCAACGTGTCTCATCTCGAGTCTCTGGCTTTCCTGTGGCCTAGCGGTGTCTATGGGAGAAGCTGCAAAACCTCTCCTTTTCGAAGGTTTCCAAGCAGGTTGTCATGTCGTTTTGCGTGGCAGGCGTGGCGCTTTGTGACATTCCAACCTGTCTGATAGCGTGTCGAAAGTCGTTTTGTGTGGCAGGCGCAATACTTTTGCGTCGTTTTCACAAGATGAGTTGCAGTTTTCGTGGCAGGCGCAGCATTTTGGAGACTCTACACTCGACACTCCATATTCCACACCCTTTACACTTCACACTCCACACTTTACATTCCACACTTTACACACTACACTTTACACTGTACACTTTACACTCCGCACTCTACACTCCACACTCTACACTCCACACTCCACACTTCACACTCCACACTCCACACGCTACACTTTACACTCTACTCTTTACACTCTAATGCGTCTGCTTTTTCCCGAATGCGTAGCAAGGGTTCCCGTTACACTCCACACTTTACACTCCAGACTTTACACTTTACACTTCACACTTTACACTCCACACTTTACACTTTACACGCCACCTTCTTCCATATTCCACAGTCTACGGTGCACTGGTATGGACCATAAAAATGTACAAGACTGTTCAAACAAACTGTTTCACAAAAGTGTTCTACGTGACTGCACATCCATGTGTTTCGACATCTGTACCATTAACATGTGTGTGAGCATTCGGGTTCGTGGGTTCCATCTTGTTTTTTCGTGCAATAATTATATATTATATATATAATATTTCTCTCTCTCTCTCTATATACACACACACTTATATTATATATATACGTGTGATATAACATATGTATATATATAAATATAATTATATATCATGTTTCATTGATGTAGCCCATATGTGTTGGGAATTCGATGGTTCCTGTGGTGCGCGAGGCACCGCTTCTTATACAGCGTGTCAGCCTTGGGAGGGCAGATTCCGACGAATTGAAGTGATTTGGGTTTCACAGGCACCGAATGGTACTGATATGATTGAAGATGTAGATGAACAGGAGATGTCGATGTAAATGTATTCAAGCAAAATTATTTGATCCTATTTGTTGAATATTAGCACTGAGAACGTCTGCCCCACAGTTTCTATTTCGATGGCCCCACCAACCCCTCAATCCCATCGTACAGCTGACACTCTTACAACGAAGGCGCAACTCTGGCTAGAACTCGTTAGATATTAAGTGATATTAGCTGCATTTGTTGGCCAGCAGGACGAAGGAGGCGTTGAACAACCTGCCGAGGTTTTCACATCTTGGCGTGCCTACCAGAGCAGTTCAAGGTGCACAGTTGAGTTACTTGATTCAGTGCCAGACAAGCACATGTACTTCCAGTAATCATTCAGCAACCTACGTTTTCATGCGTTTTGTGCAGCTCTAATGTTTTGTCAAATGTATACATAAATATTATATATATATATTATATTTGCATACGTACTCTCCCGAAAACTACTGTTGGGCAAAAAAAAGGTTCCATGTTAGCGCACGCATGTTAAAATTCATGAACGGGATAAGTGCCAGGTAGGTGCCATGTTGGTGCTAGTGAATTTGGACATTTTTGCACAATTTTTGGCTGCATGGCATACTAACATAGAACCCCACAAGCTGCCAGAGAGTGCTCATCCAAAAGTTCCATGTTAGCCATGGCGGCTGACACGGGGAATTCGGAACCATTATGCTCTTTGTGGTGGTTGATGGATGTAAGATGCTACATAATGGCTTTTTAGATTCAATGAGTCATTTTGTCCAAGATAAATTCCACAGTACAAATTCTGAAGACAAAATTAAACACATACAGTACATGTCAAAAAAACACACACGCGAAAAAAAAAACATATCCTCAACACATCTTACAAACATATCGAAAACATATTCAAAACATATAGAGTAAACAAAAACACATATCCAAACGATATATTCATTTTCAATTTTTGATATGTTATACAAATACTTTTTTCCCATTTACCCACCATAAACGTAACATTTTTCATTCTCTCATTGTAGCCTTCCCGTTGGGAGGACCTCCGGCCAGAACCTCCGGGCGCCAATGCCCCGGGGACAGTTAGATTCCACGTTGACCCAGCGGGAGGGAGACACTTGCTCGAGGACTTCGAACCAACAGGGGAAGCTCCGGGCGGGGCCTCCGGGCGCCAAAGCCACGGGGACACTTGCCGGGTTCCAAGTTAGATTCTACGTTGGCCCAGCGGGAGGGAGACACTTGCTCGAGGACTTCGACCCAACAGGGGAAGCTCCGGCCAGAACCTCCGGGCGCCACAGCCCCGGGGACGCTTACCGGATTCCAGGTTAGATTGCGCGTTGACCCAGCGGGAGGAAGACATTTGCTCGAGGACTTCGACCCAACAGGGGAAGCTCCGGCCAGAACCTCCGGGCGCCACAGCCCCAGGGATGCTTACCGGGTTCCAAATTAGATTCCACCTTGCCCCAGCGGGAGACACTTGCTCGAGGACTTCGACCCAACAGGGGAAACTCCGAGCGGGGCCTCCGGGCGCGAAAGCCACGGGGACATTTACCGAGTTCCAAGTTAGCTTCCAGGTTGACCCAACGGAGACGCAAACGCAACGGCTCGAGGACTTCGACCCAACAGGGGAAGCAAGTTAGGTTGCACGTGGACCCAACGGGAGACGCACCGGCTCGAGGACTTCGACCCAACAGGGGAAGGTCCGCCTGGAGCACCCGATCCATATCCTGAAAGGCGGAAACTAACATGGAAGCCAACATGGACCCCCATGGTACCTTTCCCATGGTGACCTCCCCCATACCTTGAAAGCTGGAAACCAACATGGAAGCCAACATGGAAGCCAACATGGACCCCCACGGTACCTTTCCCATGGTGACCTCCCTCATACCCTGAAAGCTGGAAACCAACATGGACCCCCATGGTACCTTTTCCATGGTGACCTCCCCCATACCCTGAAAGCTGGAAACCAACATGGAAGCCAACAAAACAAAACCCCTTTGTCCGTGCTCCATGAGCCGTCGCTTGCAGCAAGGCTTTGCATGCGTGGCTTTGGTTTGCAGCCGAAACCAACATGGAACCCAACCGATATAAAAAAAATATAAGTTGAACCTCGTCATGAAAGAACCTTATCATTCTTCCCCACCCATGTCTACATTTTTTTTGGCAGAAGGCCTGGCACCAACAAAAACGAAAAAAACATTAAAAAGGAATCCCTCTCCCCTGGGGCGGGATGGGGAAGCATATTTTGGAGCATGTTATGCCACTCAGCCCTAGTTTTCTTAGGTCTAGTGTTATTTGGTGAATGTTTTCCCCAGCATGCTTGGGTTGAATCTGGACTGGTGTTTTTTTTGCATACCAGACTCCAGAAACCCGAAAACTAACTTGGAACCTGAATGGGCATTTTGTTGGAGGAAGTGAACAACAAAGAAAACAACAAGAAAAAAAACCGGGATTTGAATGGATTTAGGGATCCTAGTTTTCCTTTACACTTGGGAAAGGCGAAAATGTACCATTTGGACGTTTTTGGGCTGAATCTGGACTGGTGGCCACATTTTGTCTCCCCGTATGCTCCCCCTGGTCAGGCTCTCCTCCATCAACCCGCTGTGTCCCCCGGGTGTGGTCGTCGAACCCACAACGGAAACCAACATGGAACCCAACGAGTTTAACTTTTTTGGGGACCAGCTCCAGCAAATTCACCATAAAATTGTCACGTTTGTCTTTCTTTTGCTCCTTGTTGCTCTTTCCATCTCTTTCTTAGTTTGCTGATATTGTTATCCTTTCATGTCGCTTGGTTTTTCTCTCTTCGCTGTCAGGTTTTCTGCCTGTCGCGGCAGACTTTGGAAGTTTGTGCGACGAACACGGAACCCAACACATATCCAAAAATAAGTCACGACCTTTTCCTGGAGGTGTTTTGGTTTCAAATCTTTCCCCACCACAGACCTGGAACCTGAATAATCATTAAAATGTGAGCGCAATACGAAGTGAAAAGTAGGGCCGCCCGAAAGTCACTAACATGGAATTTTCAAGGAAAACGCCTTAAAAACCACTTGGGTTCTAGGTTAACCTTCCAATCACCCTTCAAGGTTGCAGATCGCTTTGTGATAACTTGTTCAAACTCCATGTTGGCTATTTCAGGGTGCAGTTTGGGCTCAGTTTGGGCCTGCATTGGGTTCCATGTCAGTTTTTGAGTGATTTTATTGAAAAAGCTAGTTGCATGATTTCCTGGGGAACAAAATCCACTTGAGACCGTAGGTTCATGTTAGGAGACCTCAGGAATAGCATGCAGTTCCACGTTGGATTTCCGGGGTGTATATATATATATATACACATACATACACATACACATACACATACACATACACATACACATACACATACATATACACATACTACACATACACACACATACACATACACATACACATACAGTTTGCAGTTCAATGTGCATGTCTGTCTTGCCACATATTCAAGGGTTTTATCTCGCATGTGCCCATCCCTGCATGAAGAGGCGTGACCAGCGCCTAGAACTGTTGGTGCTGAAGTCTTGGGCATCAGTCCACGATGCAAGGACAGGGCTCTCCAGTCATCACATTTTCGGGCTTTGCATCCTGTGTATATCCGCACACTTTGGCACTTTGGGTGAACCCTGCTACGGCAAGAGCAAAAGCTAAGATGCAGATTGATTCTCAGTTGGGTCCATTTTGGGGTATGTTCATGATCATTATCATCATCGCAACCATCATGATCAGCGATGTAGGTGTAAGATAGCTACACAAAGGATTGCATGGATGTCCCAGAGGCTTCACCGTGGAACATCCCGCACCAGGATTCAGCAGACCAAAGCCATGTGCCGTTTTGCAGACTGCTGTGAGCGGAGCATGGCCGGGCCCATAGATGGAACGGAGGGTGAAACGGACCGGACTTGCTGGTGGAGTCTGTTACCTCTTCATGCCACCAACATTGAGTTTGAACTTGGCAGATCCAGTGGAAAGCAGCCTTTACGCTTGAGTCATTTGGTTCTTAGGTGATCGCAGCAGAAGCCAGTGCACGCTCAGCGGCAAAGGTGGGCCGGTCGAAAAAGCATAGGAGAGCTATGGAAAGCTGTCATGAACGACCAACAAAGCTGCAGATGTTTGCTGCCTTTCAGGTGATTGAAGCTCCGTTTGCTGCAGTTTTGAAATGAACATCCAGCATGAGTTGCTAGGTCTTTCACGCTTGGAGGCCGTGGGTTCTTCTGACAAAGAATTGTCATCACGGGCTGAGTCCCAACGAATCAGCTCACAATGGTTTTGAATTAGGCAGCACACCCTGGACGGGTGCAGTCATGTGTCCCCAAGAACAGCAGAATTGCAATGGATTTCAATGTAGCCTATCTCCAAGTTCTCAAGCGTAGCTCCAGGTGCTTCTGCCAGCGATGCCTGGTGCGGCGGAGATGTGCAACAACTGCTCTGCAGGTCGCACAACAGCAACCTTTGCGCAAAGCCTTCGACTGCTTCCAGAGCTGCGTCCATGAGCAACGCCCGGAAACACAGGTAGATGGTGCAGCATGGTGCAGCAAAGGTTCCATCAGCTAGCAGCTAGCACCTATCCCAAACGTCACTGATGTATATATATATATATATTACATATCGAAAAACATGTATAACAGACATATGCACATGACATTATATATATATACACATATGAACATGATTATATGATTATATAGAAAAACATAGGCATATTTGCGAACAGAATCAATATTTCAGCAGCACTAGGGCCACATTGGGCTCCATTGGTGATGTCTCAGGCCTCTACAGGCAGCGCTTCGGGCCCTTGGCCCAGCACCTTGCCAGCTTCTGCAAAAGGCGCCTGCAGCGGCCTCAGCGTTGATGATCAAAAGGCCTATTGTCAAGATATTCATATCATCAATTGACGATCCAATTGATCAGATATATACATGTACATACATATATACATGTACATACATATATATATATATATACATATATAGATACATACATACATATATATATATATATATATGAACATATATATATATTTATACCTACATACATATACATATATACATATACATATATACATATACATATATACGTATACATATATATATATACATGTAAATATATATATATACATAGCACGCATATGTATATATACTATCATACATATGTATACATGTAAACTTACATATGTATACATGTACACATACATACATGCATGCATACATGCATACATGCATATATATATATTTACATATATATATATATACACACATACATATGCATATATATATATTTACATTTATATATACATATGCATATATATATATTTACATTTATATATACATATGCATATGTATATATATATATATTTACCTATATATATACACATACACATGTATATATGTATATATGTATATGTGTATACATGTATTATATATGTATATATGTATATTTGTATACATTTATATATGTATATATGTATACATGTGAATATGTATATATGCATATATGTATATATGTATATATGTATGCATGTATATATGTATGTATGTATATATGTATATATGTATATATGTATATATGTGTATATGTCTATATGTATATATGTATATATGTATATATGTATATATGTATATATGTATATATGTATATATGTATATATGTATATATGTATATACACATTTACACATACACGCACACACACATATATACCTTTACACACACATATACATATATATGTGTATTCATATATATATATTTATGTATACATATGTACGTGTGTGTATATATATATATGTATTCATATATATATATGTATACATTTGTACGTGTGTATATATATATGCAACGTGTACATAACTTATTGCAATGTAAAATGATGTGTATACATAATGACACCTATGATAGCTGATCATTACATATCATTGTCGATTGTCCAAGGCAACCACTCATCCCGTTCTGAACTTTGGGCAATTGTTCCATTTCTTGTTTTGCCTATACTGACTGGAGTCTTCAGGTCCAGTACTTGGAGCAGGCGCTTTCCTGGGCCGTGACTCAAGAAAATAAGTCAATCATCAGGGCTAAATTGTGCCCATTGAAGTTGATTTGGCATTTAAATGGAATTTTGAAATCGAAGTTCGCATCTTTCCTCAAGTCAAGACATTCGTTCAACAATTGCGTTTGGCTAGGTAGGAGTGGTGTGTTCAGTTCACGACCGTCCCAGGTGGCGGCAACACACCAAGTGCTCCCATCTACACCGGACTGGTCGGTTGCGGATGATGACCCGCACCTTGAAGGTGGTCTCTGTTGAGCTGAAGAGGATTGACCTCCCAACAGATTTCCGCCAAATCCCCCCAAAAGAAGCACCTAATGTGAACGAATGATGGAGTTACTTGCATGATTGTGTTGGTTCAAAAAGAGCGACGATCAATGCAAGTGTTTTTGTCTCGTTTGTTCTAGTCATTTTCCTTTCTAAATGAGTGACTCTGTAAATCTCGATGGGCGATCCCTCCACAAGAACGTGCAGGTCTGGCGGGAGAGAAACGTGCATCGTGGCGGCCTCAGCGCCAACCAACACTCTGATTAAGTCTGATTAAGTGATTTGGATTTTGGATCCCTACTCAAAAACTCAAAAGTCATGTCACATATTGTCACATCATATCATGTCATATTTTGGCCAACTTTTGAGATCACCTGTATGAAATGTCCATTTGATTGTCTGGTCTCTGTTCGCTTGGTGCTAGCTGAAAAGATCGGCAGGTGTAAAGGTACACCTACTTAGCCATGTTTCGTTTTCCCCTTGCAGAAGTAGCTTGTTGTAGGGAACGTCCTCATTCGTTGGTATATGTCAGAATTTTTCAAGACAAGACCAGTGATTTTGGCTCAGTGTTGAGGTAAGTCCTTGAAGGCTGCTGTCAAAGGCACCCCGATGCAGACAACCCGCATTCAGATGATTTGCGGAATTGGGAGGGTTTGTGGGATTTCACTTTGATGAATTTGGCAAGATCTCCTTTCAGAGTCATGTGCGAAATCCGGATGAGTATTGAAGTATCTGGAGTCAGAGGCTTCACCAGGTGTTTTGCTGCAGGAATAGCAGCTCGTCGAAATCATCGACTCTCCTCCAGCTACTTGCAGAACTGGTGCGCTCCAAGAGATGGTTCCTCTGCTGTTCATCTAGCTTCACTGCAATTGGTCCTGTGTTGTTGGTTTGTTCCAACAAATCTGATGAAAGCAGTGAGGACGTTGGAAGCAGCCAATGGATGAAAGGATGAGCTGCATGTCTTCCTATTGATCCACTAAGATCCCAGAAAGGCAGCTCAACATCTAAATCTAAATCTTGTTTTGCGGAAGGGATGGCTGGCCGAATCGCAACAAAACATCCAGCTATTGAACAAGCATGAACACGGCGTTCTTGTTGTCTTGCTGTGCCTTCTGTGTCGACCGCAGGTACTCTGCAGCGAGAAAGTGCCGTTTGTCAGACTGGATGCTTCGGCACGATGCTTATCAGATAGTGGACAAGCTTCACAGCCGTCACAGCCTTTCAGCACAACCTCAGCGAATTTGGAGGTCAACAGTTGGTAGCGGGGACTTGATAAAACCTGGGACAGGCGGTGCCAGGGGTTTGCGTGAGGCGGACAATAAGTCATTACCATAGATTCCCAACCCTCAGTATTTCCGCTCCAGACCACACCTCTAAACATCTCTAAACCGTTTGCTTGACGTTGGAATGTCAGTAAATGGGTTCAGTACAGAGTGTTTAAGAATTTTATAGATGCAATCGTTTTGCACAACGGTGCCTGAATCGGACTGCAGTTGGCGTTGCGCTGTGGCCAGCAGCCAGACGTCAGAGCCTTGAGATGCACTTGAGCTGCTGGACCCAATGTCCTTGAGCTGTTGATCTGATTCGCTCCTTCGTGCCCCTTTCTGTATAATTAATCAGTATAATGGACATAGATATAGAATTATATATATATGTATGTATGTATGTATGTATGTATCTATGTATCTATGTATCTATGTATCTATGTATCTATGTATCTATGTATGTATGTATGTATGTATGTAATGTATGTATGTATGTATGTATGTATGTATGTATGTATGTATGTATGTATGTATGTATGTATGTATGTATGTATGTATGTATGTATGTATGTATGTATGTATGTATGTAGTATGTATGTATGTATGTATGTATGTATGTATGTATGTATGTATGTATGTATGTAATGTATGTATGTTATGTATGTAATGTATGTATGTAATGTATGTATGTAATGTAATGTAATGTAATGTAATGTAATGTAATGTAATGTAATGTATGTAATGTATGTATGTATGTATGTATGTATGTATGTATGTATGTATGTATGTATGTATGTATGTATGTATGTATGTATGTATGTATGTATGTATGTATGTATGTATGTATATTACACACATATGTACATGTACCATGATATACCATGATCAAAAGTTGGATATTGGAAGACGGTCATCAATCCATCGGGGATTCCCATGGGATAACCTCCAGGCAGCAAGCGGACTTGGCCAAAGCCTTTTTTCGAAAGCGGCTTCTGCAGCGCGCCTTCGGTTTGGAATCCCCAGTTTGATGCGATGCCGTGGGCAAAACATATGCTGTGACAATTTATTGAAGACTTGGGAGTGATAGACAGGGGCTGACAAGGGAGTCCTATTACAATACCACTCTAGGTCCTAGGTGTTTAGGGATCGGAGCATAGACTGATGCGGAGTCGTAGACGAGCAACATCGGACCCATATTGGAGTCCTCCATGGCCAGCATCAGCATCGCTTGAGTCATTGAGTTTTAGTTGAGGTCATTGGGAAATGTCTCTGCATTGCGGGCAGCTGCGGGGATGGAGCTTGAAGGCAGCTGCGGAGATCTCCGGAGATCTCCGGAGTTTAGGTTGACAGCATGAGATCACTAGGAAGCGCGTTGGATGCATTTGACCATGCTATGTATAGGATTGTATAGGGATGTCAGAGCTCATGTGACACATCCTTAATATTAGTGATGTCTCGTGGATTCTAGTGGTACATATATTACATAGTGGTACTAAAAGTACATTGTGTTGCTGGCCACAACCTGCCGTATTGGACAGAACAGCATTTTGTAGTTACACAAGTCACCAGGGCCAACCGCGCTCGGGAGGTTCCACGTTTCTCTTCTAGGTTTAGGCGGGCCGCCGCTGTTTTGATGCCTTGTTGAGCACACCATAGCTTCTTCTAGTCGGAATCAAGTCAGCGTGCCTTGCATAGACGTGGATGCCTGGGTGGAACATGGTGGGACCGCGTTGAAGAGAGAATGCCGTCATGCGGCATGTGCAATGTTGTGGGCAACTTCAGTATTTTTTTTGGTGGACCAGTCCTACTGGCAGTCAGCCCTCGTAGCGAAGCCCACCAGCTTGTTGCCTATCGGGCACAATATTTGTTTGGCTATTGATAGAGGCTAACATCATCTAACATCACTATTTTATTGAAGAAGTTTGTTGCCCTCTGAGACAATAGTTTTAGCAATTCTCCATTTCTGATTTGCCTTACGGGCATTTTTTTTTTGCCAAAGCTTGTTGCACGTCGTGCACACTATTTTGAAATGTTTATACGGCTGCACTACTACGGCATTTGGATGCACTGAGGACCATTGTGCCTCAAGTCATCTCAAGTTACTATTCAAATTATTCAAATTTATTCAACATGTTCAACTTCCAAAGCAGGACAAGAGACTTCTCCGAATTGACGATGCTGGCTGCTCTGAGAGTTGCCGAGCAATGATTGCATTTTTTGGGACATGGTATACTGAGTGTGACTCTTATTCTTTTTTGTCACGTTAGAGACGGCGCCCAGTTTTTCTTTTGCAATGCGCAGACTTTTGTTAACAACAAGCTGGAACAGATCTAGACCGCGTTAGCAACCCCGCTGTCGCAGCGGCTGAAGATCACAAAGTAGGGTCAAAATCATGTGTGCAGAGCAAGAGGGTTGAGACTGTGACGGCTGAAAGCATCATGGTCGGTGTTGATGCCGCACACACTGCTGGGACACGGGTGTCGTTTAACGGCGAGAGAGTTTTCGATTGTATAATTACGTCAGATAACTTCAGATAACTTCAGATGAATTAGTTGCCCGAAGGCACAAAACTTATTCCCTGTGCAGTGTGATGCTGTGCTCCGAGGGGAGAATTCGACTGTTCTTGTGGGGGCCAAACACAAGGCCGGTCAGGACAAAAAAGGACGAGCATAGCAGCTTCGCCACCATTCTCCAGTTGCAGATGTGGTGTTTGAATGTGTTGCACAACAAGGATTGTATTTCAGGAAGATCCATGAGTGCAACAGCTGATGGAAGAGTTTCATCTAGACTCCTGTTGTTCTTTGATACGTAGTGCCTGTGAGTATCTGGAACATCATATCATAAACATATAATAATAATAATAGTAATAATAATAACAATACATACACATAAATATCAGAACATCCATCCTCTCACATTCACCAACTAATCTCGGGAAAGCTTGCCGTGCACAACGCACCCGTCCTTCGTGAGGAACACGGCTTGTATTCACCGTGCACAACGCTTGTATTCATTCATGCTTGTATTCACCGAGCACCGTTCACAATGTCAAATGCCTATAGGCTATAGATGGCTATAGATGGCTATGGATGGCTATAGATGGCTATAGATGGCTATAGATGGCTATAGATGGCTATAGATGGCTATAAATGCTATAGATGGCTATAGGGCCTATCGGATCTCAAAGTTTGTGCAACAGATGTCACATGATTGTGAGGCATGGCCCATAGATTTGCGAGACAGCCGACACTAGCCTGGATACTTAGCCGACTTAGCCGACTTAGCCGACCTAGCCGACATAGCCCTGAGACCTGTTGAACCCCAATTACACACGGAACCATGCTGTGAAGCTGCAGCATGCTGCAGCTTTGCTTGCCACTCCGCAGAAATGGTTTTCGCCGACGAGGTCAAGGGCAATATCACAGCAGAGAGATTTTCATACAATTGGCAGGGTGCACTTTTTCCCAGTTTTCTAGAAAAAGGAAATGAGTTTCGTCATGATGTCTGTTTCATTAGTATTCAGATATTGCTGAGAATGTACAAAGTTAAGTAGTCATTGATTCCAACAGGCTTTCAGAACTCTGCCCATTAGGTTGTGCGACTTAATCCTATACGGAGCTCAGCCCAAATTGGACAAGGATCCCATCTCTCACAGCTTCCAAAAGCTCGTGACAATGCAGGCCGTGTAGTACTTGCCGGGACACTTGTGGCAGCAGTGGATGACTCGGTATTTGGAATGTTTGGTGGCACCTGCAAGTCATTATGCGTTTATATTCGAACCTAAACCTGCAAGTCACATTTTTTGGACGTCCTGCAAAGCACTTGGAAAAGTTGTAGGATAGAGCAGATGCGAACAGGAGGAATCCTGAAATCCTAGATACAACATGCAACAGCCAAATTACGCCTTCTGAATGGATTGTAAACTTTGAGTTCAAGTCTTGGATGTGTTTTGAAAGCTTGAACTGCTGTGACTGCCGCTGCAGGTGTGTCTTCAAGAACTCCATTCGTAGTTTTTTTTTTCGAAAAATAGTATTCGCGGCTCTAGAATCGAGACTGGGGACAAAAAATCACGCTGAACTGCATCCTCTGAGGCCAGCGCTCCATTTCGCTTCTCCGCCGCCTACTCTGCTGCACCCCAAGACAACTCGGACTAGTTCGGTTCGAGTCAACATGAGTTAACTAAGTTAACCTCTGGTGACAGTATTGACAGTCAGGCCGTGGAAAGCCCGGAGATCACATGGATTGAGATGCGAACTCAGCACAGGTTTTTGATGGTTTTTGTCCATTCTATTGCCATGACCTCTTTGATGCAGTTTGATTTCAAAAACTTGGTGTCGTACCATCATAGAATCATAGAACACTTCAGCATCACGGTGTATGTCAATTTTGCTCAGACTTTAGGCCGTTTGCTCACTATGGTCATCGATTTGATTCCAAGAAACTGCCTGAGGGTCTGAGGCAGGGCAAGGGGGGCTTAGTGAATGACGCTTGGAGGTTCGGCCTTGAGACATGCATTTCAATGCATTTCATGTATTCAATCAATTGACCTGGTTCTTGTTCAAGGCTGGCCGCCAGATTCCAAACTCAGTTTCTGAAGGTCATTCGTTGGGCGCAAACAAATATCTTCCTGCTCTGTCACTATCATAGGAAATCAATGAGTTGATTCCGGGGGTAAATCTCTGCCCACTTTGCCATAGGTATTGCCGTGATTTCATCACTTCTACGGAAGAAACTGGCCTAGACCAGTTGTTGTCCAGTGGACCTTGGCCACCTGGAGAAGAGTTAGAAGAGTCATGTTTGGCTGGATCGATTTACAGGATTGAATGAGAAGGAAACTGAAGTAGATAGGACAAACACAGACAGATATGGACAGACTGTGGTGGGATTCTTTCTACAGAACAAGCAGATGTTTGAATGGGGAGTTGAGATGCAAGCGCTCCAGGCTTCGACACATCAAGAGCCGCGCCCAGCAGTTCTTTGGTTTGGTCTACTATGAGAGACTCCACTTCAATATCCGCAACGGGTGATGCCAGGTGTTTTAAAACTGATTTATCACAGGCGGAAAGCAAGGGTAGATGGAACTCCGAAGTGGACAGGATTGCCAGTTTAGTGAAATCCTGAATCCCAACACAGGGAGACAGGTTCAGCCAGACTGTTTCTTGACAACCAGATGGGGGACCAGTGTTTTTGAGTTGCCACTGGGTTTGCCCATGGCATAAATGCCGTCAAATTATGTTAAATTATCGTACGTGATGCATATTTATGTTCACACATACATGTATATCATTATTTATTCTATAACATAATATATTATAATCTTACGAAAGCCAGCCGATAGGCTAGGCAAAGTTGTTTTCGCGAACGAAGTGAGTATAGGGGGTGTGGGGGGTGGAGGTTGCCCAGGTGGACCAAAATCTCGATATTGGAATTTTTCAGGAGGGCATGTACCACTAGGCAATTTGGTGACGGTGGGGTTCGATTCTCCCTAGGTCCCTTGAAAGCGGAAGGAAAAGGTAGGAAAAACCAAGGAAAATGAAGGAACATCGTTAAAAATACAGGAACATGGAGGAAAATGGTGAAAATTGTGAAAAAACCAGTAAGCTGGAGGAAAACATGAATGGCAAGCTTGGAAAAACCAAGGAAATCGAGGAAACCGCAGGAAAGAAATTCTGGAAAAACCGTAGGAACACAGGAAAAGGTTTGAAAAAAGGCATGAAATGGAGGCAAGGCAAAGCTTTGAAAAAGCTAGGAACATAGAGGCAAGCATATTGAAAAAACTAAGTATTTGAAGCTCAACGGAGAGCAGCGCCGTTGGGGTTCGGAGCAAGACGGTTTGCAAGGGGATGAGGAGTGATGCCGAGGAAGGAGTGGCGAAGGGTTGGAAATTCAGGAAAATGGAGGAAAATGTTGAAAAAACCATGCAAACGGAGGAAAAAATGAATGGCAAGCTTGGAGAAACTAAGGAAAATTGAGGAAACTGTTGGGAAAATGAGGAAATTGCAGGAAGGACATTCTGGAAAAACCGTAGGAAGGCAGGAAAAGGTTTGAAAAAAAGGCATGAAATGGAGGAAAGGCAAAGCTTTGAAAAAACTAGGAATATAGAGGCAAGCATATTAAAAAAACTAAGGATCCGAAGCTCAACGGAGAGCAGCGTCCGTTGGGGTTCGGAGCAAGACAGTTTGCAAGGGGATGAGGAGTGATCCCGAGGAAGGAGTGGCGAAGGGTTGCAAAGCAAGGACAAGTGTGAAAAAAAGGAGCATGCAGGCACCTTTCAGACGGCAAACTTGGATCATAGCCTAGGCTACCGCGACATTTCTTTGCAGAACCAAAAAGATTCCGGCTAGGGGCTGGCTTTCGTCCCCCCTTCTCAGGTATTATAATATATAATAGTATATTATATTATATTATATTCTATGCTACTCTATTCTGTTCTATTCTGTTCTATTCTGTTCTATTCTTTTTCTATTCTGTTCTATTCTATTCTATTCTAATTCTATTCTATTCTAATTCTATTCTATTCTTATTCTATTCTATTCTTATTCTATTCTATTCTTTTTCTATTCTATTCTTTTTCTATTCTATTCTTTTTCTATTCTATTCTTTTTCTATTCTAGTTTTTGCTATTCTATTCTTTTTCTAGTCGATTCTTTTTCTATTCCATTCTGTTTCTATTCTATTCTGTTTCTATTCTATTCTTTTTCTATTCTATTCTTTTTCTATTCTATTCTTTTTCTATTCTATGCTTATTCTAGTCTATTCTATTCTATTCTATTCTAATTCTATTCTATTCTATTCTATTCTTATTCTTATTCTATTCTAATTCTATTCTATGCTTATTCTATTCTATTCTTATTCTATTCTATTCTTCTTCTATTCTATTCTTATTCTATTCTATTCTTTTTCTATTCTATTCTTCTTCTAGTCTATTCTGTTTCTATTCTATTCTTCTTCTATTCTATTCCTTTTCTATTCTATTCTTTTTCTATTCTATTCTTTATCTATTCTATTCTTTTTCTATTCTATTCTGTTTCTATTCTATTCTGTTTCTATTCTATTCTTTTTCTATGCTATTCTTTTTCTATTCTATTCTTTTTCTATTCATTCTATTCTATTCAATTCTATTCTATTCCATTCTATTCCAATCTATTCTATTCTATTCTATTCCATTCTATTCCAATCTATTCTATTCTATTCTATTCCAGTCTAGTCTATTCTATTCTTTTTCTATTCTATTCTATTCTATTCAATTCTATTCTATTCTATTCTATTCAATTCTATTCTATTCTATTCCAATCTATTCTATTCTATTCTAGTCTAGTCTATTCTATTCTATTATTCTATTCTATTATTCTATTCTATTCTTTTTCTATTCCATTATTTTTCTATTCTATTCTTTTTCTATTCTATTCTATTCTAGTCTAATTCTATTCTATTCTATTCTAATTCTATTCTATTCTATTCTAATTCTATTCTATTCTATTCTAGTCTCCCTAAAACCTTTGGTTTTGAACCTAAACCCTTGAGAAATGCAGGTTTTGGACCCTTGGCGGCCGGTATCGGAACCACGACCCCATTAGGGATTAAATATACAAATGATATATAGATTAGATATTGTATATTATTATTGTATTATTTTTAAAATATAATACAATATAATATATTCTTGTATTATATTGTATTGTATTATATTATATTAGAATATTTTTTAAATCATATTATATTATATATATATTTTTTTAAATTATACTATATTATATTTATATTATATTTATAATATATTTATATTATATTTATATTATATTCATATTTATATTTATATTTACAATTATATTCACATTAAATTTTATTATTATTATATTATTATTATTATTTTTATTTTTATATTATATTATATTTTATTACATTATATTATATTATATTATATTATTATATTTGTTTATATTATATTATATTTTATTACATTATATTATATTATATTATATTATTATATTTGTTTATATTATATTATATTATATAATACGATACATTATATTGTATTATATTATACTTCAAATTATTTTTTATATATTATATATTAAATACCTTCAATTATATATTATATTTTATTTTATATCTTATATATTATATATTATATATTATGTATTTTGTATTATATATTATATATATCTCAAATTTCATATTATATATTATTTCATATATGATAATATATATTTTTAATATATTATATATTGTATATTGTATATTATTTTTGATTAAATAATATATATTATATATATATATATTTCAAATAATATATTATTTTATTATATATATTATATATATCTTACAACATGTTTTTTTTTTATATTTTCCATTATATACATATTATTGTATTTTTTGACATTTTATACTATAGTATTTTCTTTTTATATATAAATATAATTTATATTTTTTTTTTTTATATTATTTATTATATAGTGCATATATATATATTAAATTATGTATTATATATTATTTATTTTTTATATTATGTATATATTATATTTTATTATATATTAAATTATATATCACATTATTTTTTTAAGTATATTACTGTATATTATCAATGATATTATATCATTTTTTTTTAAAATAATACATTATAACATTATTTTATGTATTTGATATGTCCGATATGTCTAGATGCTTCTTCTGTATATGTATGGCGTATAGGTATTGCTCCTTCCTCAGCTTAAGGACGACTCATGAGCTTCCAGCACTTCAGCCAAGCCATCCAGATGCTCAGAAGGAGGCAAGGTCTGCCAGTTTTAGTTGTGCCAGGCACACGGAAGTAACTGGCTTGGCTATAGAATTGGTTGGGCTCCAAGAGGATAAGCACTTGATAGACCCAAAGGATATAATTCTGATTGTCATAATTAATTGGATATGTCAAGGATGATGACGCAATGACTGATTTTTGATGTTGTTGGAGCCGATCGACAGGCCAGGCCACTTCGAGATGTACCAGATTGGTTGATGTTCCGGAGCCGCACCTAATGGGCTGGTGCCTTTGGGCGGTGCCGCCCACTGACTACAAACTTGAGATGTTCAACATATCTCACATCATCTCGCATCATCTCACATCATCTCACATCATCCCACACCATCTCACATCATCTCACATCATGTCACTCATCGCCCAAAGGGTGGTCACATTCAGATTAGCACAGCTGACCTACTCTTTTTGCATCTAATGTTCCCTTAAAATCGACTTGCATGTTGCTAGCCCTAGTTGTACATAACAATCCAAAATGTGCGCAAAGATGGGCAGCGAAATCCAGCTCAGGCAGCGAGTCTTAGCCACTGGCGCATTCCCCAGAAACGAAGTGAACCAGGCCATGGATGATCTCGATTCAGGGTGAGATCACGGGAATAGCTAGCTGCATCTAGCTGCTCTAGCTATGGGCTCAACATGTGCAGAGACGAGACAGTCTTGGGATGTCTTGGGTAGTGTTCCTACTCTTCACTTTTTACATATAATAAAGGGTTTTCTTCTTGAAACATCTTCTGACTGATCACTGTTTGATGCAATTCCACAGTTTCTCTTGTGCAGGTTGCTGCCAACGAATACTTGGATCGTGCTGGTATCTCCTCCCACGTCTGCTGGCTCAGTGGACACTGCGCCCCCATATTTTGGTGATGGCCATGATGGCCATGCAGCCCAGGTGGAAGAGCCCACATCCTTTGGTCCAAACTTGGCCACGCTCTCCATGCTGTCTCCAGTAGAGATGACGCTGACCCCTGCGGAGGAGGACTGCTGGGACTGCTGGGAGTGCCGGGCACTCCCAATTTCCAGCAATGGTTATGATCCCATCTAAGAGGGGTTTGTAGTGGTTATGTAATGATTCTGATAATAGCCATGTAGGGATTCCATGAGAATCCCTAACAATAAGATGAGCATGGCACGACAAGTCGTGACTTCTACATCTTTGTGAGGATTTGCACGGGAGAGATGGCCTCGATCATGGCAACTGGGTGAAGATTCTGCTGGAACCCAGGAGTTTGTTGCTCCTTCAAGGACCGGATCTGAAGTTGAGATCTACAGACTTTGCACCTTTAAACATCTTTGTGTCTGCAAACTCGATGTCCTACTTTCAGTCTGCTGTTTGAAGGCTTAATTCTTCATAAACGGCACTCTTTTGTGCAGGCGAAAGCCGCTATGGCTTTCGTCATGGCATCAGACGATCGAAGCTGGTCAAATTGGCAGACGGACAGCAGCTGCGAAGAGGACCAGGCCTGGTGCTGGGCTTGTCATCCGGTGACATTTTGGAACCTCTCTGCATTAGTATCATTAGTCATTTGGAAGGAGAGTCAGTTTATCATTTTGCCATCTTTTCGTTTAAAAGACTGCAGGTTGAAGGTTTTGGCATGGTTTGGCCATGGTTTTGGCATGCTGAATGGAGGAGTTTCTGTCTCTGAGTTTTCATTCCTAGTGGTTCGCCAGGCTACCGCAGGGTTTCTCTGACCTTTCGGGAGCTGCTTCCCAGCCGTCGGCAGCTGGATGTCGGAGCCGTGAGACCCAATGGGTGCGAACAAAACCAGAGCTGCCAGAGCTGGAGCTTTGAAAGAATTGGAAATTGGATGAAATTGGTTCTTGATGAATCAACCATCAACAACTAAGAAATTCTAATTCATCAAAATCATATTTGCTCAACCACCTCTCACACTATCAAGATGGAGCGGGATGGAGTTCTTGTGATTCGCCAGAAACTCGACATGAATTGCTGGAATTGTTGAAAAGCACAAGTCAAGGAATAGCTTTTTGTAGTTGAGCATAGTCGAAAAAGCATGTCTCGCACCAGCTTAAGTTTGTGGAGAAGTGAACTTCCACGTTTCGAATTGCCCCTTGGATTCTTGCCTGGCTTTGATCAGGACACACTCAGTCTTATTAATTCTTTGAAGACCAGCACAAGCGGACAGTGGAGAGCAGAATTCGAAAGAATATGTTTCACGCGACAAAAAATCAAGCACTACTCAAGCCACAATTTGCGACATCTTGCAGCGATTAGATTCCGACGCCATGATGTCGCAAGATGCGACGACATGGCGGTCGAAGCTTACCAGTTAGTGGGCTACGTGGAAGAGTTGAGCAGGGCTAACATTGACCAACATGTCAGTGACTATAGAAATTCAATGAAACTCTGACTGTCTGGTAGTGGTACTCATAGATGCTTTGCAGCTGACGAGCAGCGGTTCAGTAGTTGGCGCCTTCATGTCCGTTTAGCAACGACGTGTTCTGAGCCCTCTCAAGCTTCGGTCAGGCCCGTGCGGTCAACTCAACCAAGGGAGGAGCAAAGCAATGTTGTCAGATTGACCTCAGTGTAAAGTGTACCTGAGCACTGAATTGATCCTTGCAGGAGCCTCCGGTGCTGGGACCAGCATCATTGGTTTCATTGCAACCTCCGAGGCTGGTGTTAATGACACCTCGAACATCCCCCAAACATTGTGGCACATAGTTTGACATTTGCTGTGTACACCGCAAGTAGGTGAAATCGATTTCAGAGCACTCTATTTCAGTCGATTGCCGAACCTTCACTTGCTGGGAAATCCAAGAATTTGCTGGCAGCATCCAGGACTTTCTTAGCATCAGCAATGCACACTTGTCAGATAAGCAACCTATCCGCTGGAGGCATTTGCTGGAGGGCAAGAGTGGACATGTAGGCAGCAAGCCCAGCTGGTCAGAAATCTTTTCAATGGCTTTCAGATTTTTCACAGCCGAGAAACTCTACCATGCTAACCCGCAGTGGCCCAAACAGATGGGATATTCGTGGCCAATTCTAAGGCGAACCAAAGGGTCGCCAGGATCGGCGGCTGCCAAGACCCAAAGAGGCTCTTGATCTCCGTGTGTGGCCATCAATGTTGTGTGGGATCTAGCAGAAAAAATATGCCACGGGGACCATCAATTCAACTTTCAACCATACCCTTCTGATCTCTTGACCCCCTTTGATCCCCTTTGACTCCTGTGGCTCCTTTTGACTCCAAGACTGAGACTGTGGTGAGCCTCAACAAATAGAAGTGGCAGCATGATGCGGCATGGACCTGTGGAAGATTGACAGACTTGAGCAGCAACCACTGCACAGGTTCCAGCCTTCTTCATACCCAAGACACCAGAGGAAGCCATGCTGGGATGGTTTGGATGGGGTTTCGCTTTGACTTGACAGTGGGGACACGTCGCAGGACAAGGCTCAGATTGACGCTGAAGCAGCCGCAATCGCGTTGTTGGCTATGGCAGCTGACCTCAGACAATGGATTGTCACTGCAACTCTGCCAAACTTGATGAATGAAGGCTTGCTACATCTTGTTACATCTTTCTTGAAGGTTGAATTCTAGTAAACCTTTCTATTGAAGAATACCGTGAGAATTTAAGGCAGCTGAAGATTTGAAGATGGCCGGCAACGCTTTTTGGCCCTTGGCCCGGGCAACTGCGTGCTGAGGTGCCAAAAGTTTCCAGTGGTCGACCATCAAGGCAGGAGAAGCACATTGGTTTCCCTAATCAAAGCAGAATAAGCTGATAGTATTTCCCCGGGATGGGACACTCCTGATGCTATTTTCCGCTTTTTTTTTTCCGGTGTCTCGCATCGTTTCACATCGCTTTGCTGCCGGAGGCCCGCTGAGAAGCTGACGTTGCATCGCTTCGCTGCCGCGATGCCAGCAGAGCGACCGGAGTCAGCAGCCCTGAGGTCTGTGGTGTGGTGCCGAGGTGGTGGAGACGGATCCAGCGCAAAATGCATTGGTCCAACATGGCCCAAGTGGCTTCGCCTTTGTGGTCATGTTTCTATCTATCTATCTAATCTATTCTATTCTAATCTAATAATATAATATAATCTAATAATCTAATCTAATAATATAATATAATCTAATAATCTAATCTAATCTAATCTATCTAATCTATCTAACCTATCTAATCTATCTAAGCTATCTAATCTATCTAATCTATCTAATCTATCTAATCTATCGAATCTATCTAATCTATCTAATCTATCCAATCTATCTAATCTATCTAATCTATCTAATCTATCGAATATAATCTATCTGATCTATCTAAGCTATCTAATGTATCCTATCTATCCTATCTATCTTATCTATCTAATCTGATCTATCTAATCTATCTACTCTATCTACTCTATCTAACCTATCTAATCTATCTAATCTATCTAATCTATCTACTCTATCTACTCTCTCTAATCTCTCTAATCTATCTACTCTATCTACTCTATCTAATCTATCTAATCTATCTAATCTATCTGATCTATCTAATCTAATCTATCCTATCTATTGTATCTATCGTATTTAACCTATCCATCCTATCTATCCTATCTATCCTATCTATCCTATGTATCTTACCTTATCTATCCTATCCTATCCTTTCCTATCCATCTATATATCCATCTTTCTATCCTCCTATCTATCTATCTATCTATCTATCTATTTATCTATCTATCTAGCTATCTATCTATCTATCTATCTATCTTTCTATCCTTCTATCTATCTATCTATCTATCTATCTTTCTATCCTTCTATCTATCTATCTATCTATTTATCTATCTAGCTATCTATCTATCTATCTTTCTATCTATCTATCTATCTATTTATCTATCTATCTATCTATCTTTCTATCCTTCTATCTATCTATCTATCTATTTATCTATCTAGCTATCTATCTATCTATCTATCTATCTTTCTATCCTTCTATCTATCTATCTATCTATCTGTCTATCTATCTATCTATCTTTCTATCCTTCTTTCTATCTATCTATCTATCTTTCTATCCTTCTATCTATCTATCTATCTATCTTTCTATCCTTCTATCTATCTATCTATCTATCTTTCTATCCTTCTATCTATCTAACTATCTATTTATCTATCTAGCTATCTATCTATCTATCTATCTTTCTATCCTTCTATCTATCTATCTATCTATCTATCTATCTTTCTATCCTTCTATCTAATCTATCTATCTATCTATCTATCTATCTATCTTTCTATCCTTCTATCTATCTATCTATCTATTTATCTATCTAGCTATCTATCTATCTATCTATCTATCTTTCTATCCTTCTATCTATCTATCTATCTTTCTATCCTTCTATCTATCTATCTACCTATCTATCTATCTATCTATCTTTCTATCCTTCTATCTATCTATCTATTTATCTATCTAGCTATCTATCTATCTATCTATCTTTCTATCTATCTATCTATCTTTCTATCCTTCTATCTATCTATCTATCTTTCTATCCTTCTATCTATCTATCTATCTATTTATCTATCTAGCTATCTATCTATCTATCTATCTTTCTATCCTTCTATCTATCTATCTATCTATTTATCTATCTATCTATCTATCTATCTTTCTGTCCTTCTTTCTATCCTTCTATCTATCTATCTATCTTTCTATCCTTCTATCTATCTACCTATCTATCTATCTATCTATCCTTCTATCTATCTATCTATCTATCTTTCTATCTATCTATCTATCTCTATCTTATCTATCTTATCTATCTTATCTATCTTATCTATCTTATCTATCCTATCTATCTTATCTATCTATCTATCTATCTAATCTATCTAATCTATCTAATCTATCTAATCTATCTAATCTATCTAATCTATCTATCTATCTATCTATCTATCTAATCCTATCTAATCCTATCTATCTATCTTATCTTATCTTATCTTATCTTAATCTTAATCTTATCTTATCTTATCTTATCTTATCTTATCTTATCTTATCTATCTATCTATCTATCTATCTATCTAATCTATCTAATCTATCTAATCTATCTAATCTATCTAATCTATCTAATCTATCTAATCTATCTAATCTATCTAATCTATCTAATCTATCTCTCTATCTACCTACCTATCTAATCTATCTAATCTATCTAATCTATCTAATCTATCTAATCTATCTAATCTATCTAATCTATCTAATCTATCTAATCTATCTAATTTATCTAATCTAATCTATCTAATCTATCTATCTATCTATCTATCTTATCTATCTTATCTATCTTATCTATCTATCTATCTAACTAATCTATCTAATCTATCTAATCTATCTAATCTATCTAATCTATCTATCTATCTATCTATCTATCTAATCTATCTAATCTATCTAATCTATCTATCTTTCTAATCTATCTAATCTATCTAATCTATCTATCTATCTATCTATCTATCTATTCTATTCTATCTATCTAATCTATCTATCTATCTATCTATCTATCTATCTATCTATCTATCTATCTAATCTATCTATCTTTCTATCCTTCTATCTTTCTATCTATCTATCTATCTATGTATCTATCTATCTATGTATCTATCTATCTATCTATCTATCTATCTATCTATCTATCTATCTATCTATCTAATCTATCTATCTATCTTATCTATCTATCTATCTAATCTTATCTTATCTTATCTTATCTTATCTTATCCTATCCTATCCTATCCTATCTATCTATCTATCTATCTATCTAATCTATCTATCTATCTATCTATCTATCTATCTTACTTTCTCGTTTGGTCTCTAGGATCTTGATGCACTCAACGTTTCAATAGGATAAGGCATGGGTGGCTTTGCAGTGGCCGAATATGCTTTAGTCAAGAACAGAGACAGTTGTTGAGGGCTTTCAGCAAACACGTTCTTACAGGTGATGCTTCATCTGACTACTTCGATCCCATGAGCATGGAAAATCGCCTGGTGTGTAGCTGGATAGAGTGTGGGATTGGAGTCTTTCGAAGCACATCAAGTGATGCTTGTGGTTGCTGGGGTATATTTTCCTATCTGATATTGTTGATGTGATACAGATTTCGGTTCAGAAAGATCAGAAAGAACACCACCCAAGTGGGTTTAGGGTTTTGTAGCAATTCGACCGGCCTAGGATCAAGTATTTCGATCATGTGGTATCAAGATCAAGCTTCCCGGCTCTTCATTCTAGTACCTTACAACAAAGGTCAGCGAGAGTCAATGCATCCAAACTACCCTTCTAATTACATAATTTATTCCACCTAAAGAACAGCTGCATCAGCTGCGAACATTATAACAGACAAGTCAACCAAGATTGCAACTCACTGCAACGCGTTGCACAACAAGAACCACTGTAGCAGGTGGGTTGCAAGCTGTTCCTTCATGCTTGAAACATTTTGAAATCTGTGATTTCATTCTTTTTGACCTCCCAGATCCTTCGAGCCAACTGCATTGGCAATGGGTGGCCAGAAGGCGTCATCTGCGAAGGACAAGTTTTCTCGTTGGTTTAAGAACAAGAAGAAGAGCCCAAGCGAGAAAAATGTTGGTCCTCCGCGCAAAAGCAAGGGCAAAGGAAAAGGAAAGGACCAAGGAAAAGACAAAGGGAAGAGTGGGAAAGGCAAAGGCAAGGGTAAAGTGGGCGAGAGTGAGAGAACTCCACATGCAAGCCGTCCTTCGTTGAACTTGACTCCGGATGACATGGGGAAGGCTGGCGTTCCTTGGCTGTGCTGGGAAATCTCAATTGTTTTTAGCATTTGTGATTTGCCCACCCTACACGCCTCTTGAGTCATGTATTTTGGTGGAAAACACCAGCTCTTCAGTGTTGACTGATGGCAAACAAGTGAATGTTTTCTTGGTGAACCATGGGAAACCTAAAGACCGATTCCTGACTTAGACATAGACCGTCGTAGTCATAGTCCCAGGATGATGTAGAAGTCCTAGACACAATGATCGACAGCATGAAAGACAATTAAAAAAACATGAAAGACAATTAAAGGCAATTTCAGGACGTATATAATTACCATTTATATATCCCCCTTACCACTTCCACTACTAAAAGTGTGAACACATGCTCGGTACCATCTTGGGTTTTTGATATACATTGACTTCCAAAAATGAAGTCGTGCCTAGGATGTTGTAGTCAGCGATCATGCGCTGCTTCTTGCAGCAGCTTTTCACTTGTCGCCGCGCAACCAATGAGGGCATTGTCCAAGTATTGTTCTTCGTCGCGTAGTTCTATCGCATGTTTCAGGTCGGGCTGCAGCCGACAGAAGTTGTCCAGACATTCTTGCTTTGTTCGCCAAAAAAGCTGATTATATAGCAATTCTAAATTCCAAATCCAATTTTTTGCTTCATTGCCCCCTTCAGCTGCCGCAATGGTGCCAAGCATACTCGCTGTAGAAAATAGGCTGTACCTATTCCAAGGTTTGCTCGAAACTTTCCTGCAGGGCACCTCGTTCACACGCAGGGTGGGACAAGCGCAGCAGGAATCTTTGCGGGCACTGAGCAAGATTTTTTGCAGACCAGCACATAGTTCGAAGTAACCCATTCCCCCCTGTTTCCGGAGAGTCGTGTCTTGTCCTGTGATAAGACCACGTGAAACGGCCGCGAAGCGAAGAAATTGTCATTATCAGGCAGCTCTTGTGTGCATTGATAGACAACAAGATGTCATCCATTTTATACACTTCTGCAAACCCCGGTCTGCTTCGTTTGCAATGTTTGCTTTTGTCTCATTCTTCATTCTAGGCTTCGAGTTGGCTTCGAGGCTGCTTTCTCATGTGCCGTGATCTTCTGCACGTCTAAACCCACTCTTGTTATGAACGTTGTTCATGCAGTTTGGGCTGGGTTCCAAAAGAAGTGAAGACAGCCAACTGTTTTCTTGCGCCTTTCCATTGGACTTGGCCTTGTGCGACGCACTTTTCATTGGATTCTTTTTTTGTGTTTGGACACTGTTTTACTGGTAGGACTTGACCACATTTTTTTTTACTTTTTTTTACTTGTCAGAGCCTTAAAAATCAGGGACCTTCGCAAACATTTTTTGTTCTGAACCGTGCGGTTCTTCGGAATGGTCAAACAAAGGTGCCTTTGTCTGTCTTTCACTTTTGTTTCAAAGTAGAACTTTTGAAACAGTAACAAGAAGACACCGCGCGTTGAAAACAGTAACTTCGGGTCCTCGGGTTTCAAAAAACTGCAGTCTTGCAATCGGTGCATGTCTACCGCGTGTCAATTTTTCTCGAGTGTATGTTTGTGTTTAGGCCACTTGCTGCTGTTTTGCACAAATCGAAACATCCAAACGGTATAGTTTCTGGTGAATCTTATATTTTACTCACTTGTTCAAGGCGCATAACCATGGAAATCGAACAGGCACGCGCTAACTGCAAAGGTAGCATTCCATTTCCAATAATTTCATGTCGGAAAGGAACTTATCGCAGAAAGCTTCCTAGAAACTTCCATAGACGAAATCCTAATTCAATTTTCCATGAATTTCCCACGGCCTTCGAGGTGAGTGATGGCTTGATCCACAAGCTGATGGCCACCAAGCAGCGTTTGTTGGCAGGCAACGCAGAGGCTGCCCGTGCTGGAGCTGCTCGTGCCGAGCCCGGTGCATGGATGGCGGCCAACGCCGAAAAAAACGCCCGAAAGAAAGGCGATGGAAAGGGGAAAACTGGAAAAAAAGGGAAAGATGGAAAAGAGATGCCTGGCAAAAACGATTGGGATCATGTGGTGGTGGTGGTGCATTTGTTTTCATAACTTTGTCTTGAAAGAGTCAACTTTTGAATTCTAGACCACCAAGTTGATATCATTGTTGTCTCCATCCGGTGGACAAGTGAGGAGCCAGTTCGTGCCAGTGGTGAGGGAAGAGCTTGTAGCTCTCAATAGGCAGATTGCTTCCCATGCGCAGGCAAGGGATTTAGCCGCTGCCCGTTCCGTTCTACAAACATTGGAGTCGAAGGGTTGGGCCAATGGGCACACCTACGCGGCTGCAGTCCATGCGCTCTGTCGCTGCGGGGATTGGCGCTCGGCTGAGGAAGCCTTGGCACGAGCCGAGAAAGCAGGCCTTTTTAATCGTGGCGCTGGTGCAGCATCTGGTCTGATTACAAGAACCTTTCCCTTTGTTCAGCTCTTGCTTTCGATTGACAGTTTTGGTACGTTTAGTTTAGCTGAATACATACATACATACATGCATGCATGCATGCATGCATGCATACATACATACATACATACATACATACATACATACATACATACATACATGTACATATAAATATATATAACTAAACAAATACATATATATATATAACTAAACATATACATATATATATATATAACTAAACATATAAATATATATGACTAAACATATATATATATAACTAAACAATATATATATAGCACTATATATATATATAAATATAATATATATATATATATATAACTAAACACATACATATAAATATAAATAAATAAATAAATATATATATATATATCTAAACACACACACATATACATATATATATATATAAATAACATTGGTTGTATGTATTTAGTATTTGTCGAAGGGAGTTCAGAAGTCAATCTTCCGACAATATGAACATATGGAAAAGCAGAGGTGACAGCAGTCAGAGAAGAGAAAGAGTCAGAAGAGAAGAAGTGAGAAAAGAAAGAATCAGAAGAAAGAAGATCCGGGCGCGCGAAAAGGCAGAAAAGTCACGAAGCACTGTGGTGTTGTTCCAATGTTTTGTGGTTCTGGAGGGTCGAAAAGTAGGCTCGCTAAAGCGGCGGCTGCGGAGCCATCTAGTCAGATGAGAGGTCAAAAATTGCATGCCCAGCTTTGGAGCATTTTTGGATGTTGAGGGTTGAGATGTCCAAAAAGTGCATGGCGTAGATTGGCGTAGCACATTTCCAAGACCACGTTCAGAGCATTTTTGGAAGTTGGGATGTTCAAAAAGTACATGCTGTTGTGGCGCGAAGCGCATGTACAAGTCAAAATGTGCAGAATACACCACGTTCGGAACATTTTTGGAAGATGCGATGTTCAAACAGTGCTCGCCGTTGTGGCGCGAAGCACATTTCCAAGTCAAAATGCACAAAACACACCACGTCCGGAGCACTCTTGGAAGTTCAGATGTCGAAAAGGTGCACGCTGTTGCGGCCTGAAGCATATTTCGAAGTCAAAATGTGAAAAGCACACCACGTTCGGACAACTTTTGGACGTTTAACCGCACCACGCTACATTACAATTACAGCTGCAATCGCAACAACAACAACAACAGCAACAACAGCAACAGCAACAACAACAGCAACAACAACAACAACATTTAAGTACAACTACAAGTACAAGTACAACTACAGCTACAACGACAACTCCAACTACTACACGACACGACACTACAACTACAACTACAGCGATAGCTACAGCTAGAATTCCACTACACTACGATACACTCCACTTCACCACATTGCACTACCACTAACACGACACTACGCTACAGTACAACTTCAACTACAACTACAACTGCAGCTGCAACTCCACTCCACTACACTACACTACACTCCACTTCACCACATTGCACTATCACATCGTACTACCACTACCACTACAGCTACAACTACCATTGCCACTACCACTACAAGTACAACCACATTTGCAACTACAGCTCCACTACGCTACATTTCACTGTTCCATACTCCACAGCCACTACACTACACTACACTGCAACTGCAACTGCAACAGCTAAAACTGCCGCTACAATTACAACTACAACACTACAGCTACAAGTGCACAACATAAACTACAGCTACAACTACAATTACACAACTACAATTGCATGACACGACGCTACACCGCACTACATTCAGCAGTTGTGGTTGGGGTGATCGCTGCGACCACTCCAAAAAGCAGAACTCTAACCACCTTTCGGTCCATCAGTGGATTCGCTCTGCATCCATGCATCACAACAACTCACCCCTCCTATAGTTTCCTATCTTTGAAATTTCCGCAACCGCCTTGTGCGGTACTACTGGTAAAAATTGAGTTCACTTGAAGTGTTACAGAATACGACACGCAGAAAAGGCGAGAAAAGAGTGGAGACCTCTTGTGATATTTTCCACTGCTTGCAGCGCATCCAGCAGAGGAACGTCCATGATTCGTGGCTATGTTGAGTGTGCACGAGATCTCGGCAAAGCCCGGGAGTTGCTGGAACGCATGGAAAAGGAGAAGGTCTTGGCCTCAAAACCAAATGTGAGAACTGCAAACACCTTTCTACGTGGCTGTTTGATCTTGGGCTCAGTGAATGATGCTGAAACCTTGTTGGAACGGATGACAACTGTTTGGGCTGCCCAAGAAGATTGGTACAAGACCCATGGTGGAAAACCTGATGCTTCGACCTACGAGTTGGTTGTGTCGCTACTTTGCCAAGCGTTGCGGTCTTCTTCGATTTGCACAAAATTGTGCTTTCTCCATTTTCTTTTGGCATTGAGGAATTGACACCAAGTATCACCAAGTGACATCCCGTTTTGACAACAGATGATCGGGATAGTTGTAGTTGTAGGCTATGGCAGCTATGGTTTCAAAGTTCATCACAAACAGTTCCCTCGGTGTATTCCCCTCTGGACAGACCATTTTGAAAAGGGCTCTGACCATCATGTTTTCCAGATTCCCCCGCATCTGTGCTGATGCTGTTGAAGTTGGATCATTTTGGTGCAGAGGTATACAGATGCTCGCCAAGTCGCTCTTCAAGGAATCAAAGAATTGGGCGCCAGTCCGGGCTCTGCGGCCATGTTTGCTTCCATTGCACGTGCAGCCATCATTTGTGGCAATGAAGATGCAGCTGCCCTCAACTTGAAACGTGCACGGAAGATCCTCTCGCAGGAGGCAGACTTTTCAGAAGCCAAACTTTCCAGCTGCTCGGCTGCAGTGTTGCAGACTCAAGTCGATTTTTTTGACATTCTCCACTTTCAAGACTTCAAGATCCCCAACAATTACTCTTGCTTGAAGGTTGAACTTTCGCATCATTCAAATCATAAATCATCAGTTAGAAGAAACAACCAATTCATACCAATTCCCTACAGAGTACCAGTACCTTAAGAGCCTCATTCCCAATACAGTTCCTTAACATGACCAGCCACATCCAGTGCCTGTCAAGTTGTCAAGGTGTGGCTGGCAGTGGAGGGAAGAGGGGCACCCAGAAGTGGAACCGCGACGAGGAGAAAGATGCCTCCGTGGCAGATCGAAAAGCCGCGAGGGCGCGCAGCCTGGAGGTTTTTCAAAGTCACCGGCAGCGTCCCCTGGTACGAAAGTTTCTGATAGTTTAAACTATTTTTCGGTATTCCCGGTATTCCACATTTTGCTTTGAACATAGTTTAAACTTATGTTTAAATTGTTTAGGTTAGTATGATAGGCACGGATATTAAGATCTGGATAGATCAGGTATAGGTCCTTCATGCTTTGACCAAGATTGAAGAGGCGGGCATCATCAAACTGCTTAAGTCTTTCTCAGAGATTCTCAGAGTAGATAAAGAACTTCTCACTTTTGGAGTGAAATTTGAGTTCTGTCAGTTCTGTCGTAGGCGTCTACTGACCTTTGTTAGTATGTGGCAGTATGCTTGGTGTCAATCTCATCAGATCATCAGCATGGACTCACTGAGCCTGTGCTCAGGTGAGATTCTCTCAGATATCAAAGAAGTTGAAGAGTTCATGGCTAAGCATCAAGTGCCGTCAGAGAGCTCCAAGAAAAGAAAGAAAGCAGAGGTGGCAAAGAATCCACTTCATGCTGGCATTGATTTGGAGAACTTGTACATGAGGACAGGGATGAAGTGCTGCTGGAACCTGCTGTCGATTCTGAACTATCAATGGATTCACTGATCAAGGTCAGCATCTTCTTTCTGGAGACTTTGAATCATGACTCATGACAAATTGCCAATCAGGCCAATTGTGGATTTTGACTAACTGATTATGCCTGGTTCTCACCCTTATGGATTTTCACCCTCAAAAAGTCGCAGTGAAAACCAGCGACGAGTGTTTTTTGCTCCCTGAGGACCTTGTGCTTCGAAGATTATGGCGACAGTGAGGAGAGTGACTCCTCCAGCTTAGCGGCCCAAATGTGCCGCAGGCTTTGTCAGAAATTTGGGCTGGAGAGCGACGGCCCCATGGCGCAGACGGTCTTGCAACCAATCTGCGATATTCTGCAATCCTGTTGAACATTTTGACATGTTCTGATTTTCTGAGCTTTTAAGTTACAGTACTATTTTTATTCAACGAAGCATTTTTTTGGTTCGCGGTGCTTTGGGTCAATACTGGTTGCAGTCCACCCCCACTGGTGAACGGTAGTACCATCCTTCTACTCGATACAGTATTCTTCTGCTACCAATTTTACTTGCCTGAGTCTTTTGATGCAGGCAACACTTTTGCACTGTCCTTGAGCCGCCAAAGAAAAAGCGAAAGAGGGATGACCAGAAGAAACCGCCAAGCGGAAGCCCGAGGTTTCCTTCCTCACAGAACTGTCATCAATTGAGGATCTGAGTTGTTGTTCGCTCGTTTTAACACTTTCTGGATATATATAAATGGTTTCATGTTGATGTTGATCTTGATTGGCCATGGATGGTTGACAGTGGTTAGGTGTTTAGTATATATATATATATGTATGTTATAATATAATGTATATATATATAATATTAATATGTGATGATTGATCATGGCTGATTGACGACAGATGCCCATGATCAAAGATGGATTCAACGCAGATGCAGACGCACATGCGTGACTGTAACATAATATAATATTATTATTGATATATATATATACACATATATACACACATATATATATACACATATTGATGATGAAGATGACCACAGCGATGATGGCAATGGTGATTGTTTCAATTGCTGCGACAACTTGTTTTAGGATGGATGGATTAATTTTTTGTGAACTCTGCAACGCCTCTGAAATCTTGCTTGGGAAGGCTTGATCTTCGAAGACTCTTTGCTTCGAGCGTTGCAAAAAGCTCAGAAAGCCCACTGCATCTGGAAATCTGCAGCGGATCCGGAGAATGGCTATCCTCACAGGCCCTTTCCTTGGGTTGGGATTTTTGTGGCTGGCTAAAAGTAGCAACAGCCAGCCATGGCTTCACAATGCTTCACACAGAGACGATCCCTTTGACCACTGAGGCACTGCGGGATCCCAATACCAACTGGATGGCCTGCGAGCTGCGCTTCGACCGCTCTGCACGATGTTTTCAACGATTTGCCCTTCGAGAGCTGACTCAGGCAGCCAACGTGGGGATCATCGTAGGAGATGCGCAGAATGCCTTGGAGAATCATTTGAAGAAAGGCTGGGGCAGCTTTGTTTTGATTCTTGAGACTGCTATTCTGAGGGTCAAGACTTGTAGGTCTTGTAATGGGAGTTTTCTACCCTGTTTTCTGAAAACATGGGTGCCCTGAGGCTGTTGCTCCAAGATCTTCATCAATCATCCGGAACCTCGGTGACTTACAGTAGCAGAACGGCACAAGAGAGTCCTAAGATGGAATTCAACAGCAACTGAACAGCAGCTGCATAGCAACTGAACACCTGAACAGTATGGAAGTGGCTCTGGCACGCCAGGCATGCTGTTATGATCTGTTATGTGCTTTTCATGCTAGTGACACTTGTTGCTGAAGTCGACATGTTGCAAGGAGCCACCACACCAGACGGACTTGGATAAAGCTGTGGAACTCGACACATCTGGTGAAACGGGCACGGAAGCGACACATTTGCTGACCCTTCACTTCCTACAAAACTCTTGTGCAGCGGTTCTACAAGATGAGGCGTAGCTATGCACATGGGCATTTGTTGACACAAGTGAATGACCTGCTAAAAGGAGTGACTCCTTCGACATCTCCACATTGGAACCATCAAACCGAAGTCTCCTCATGTGCTTCTGTTGGTTTTGACCCCTTAGGGTTCCAGGGCCACTTGGCATGTAATCTGATCGTTTGGTTTCATTTGCAGACGCTGTCAGCTGTTCCTGTTATCACTAGAGATAGGTGCTACATGCAAGGCTTTGTTTGAACATTTCGTAATGGAGTTATTTTTTTCATAGTGAACCATCATTAATTGCAATCTTAGCCCGCACGTTAGGTCGCAGTGGAACACCTGTAGTCAATTTCTCCACTTCACTTCCTTGCTGCATTGATTGCCTCCGCAGGGACTTCTCACCATTTGCACCGACAACCTGGGATATGGTGAGTGGCTGTTGAACGTGCCTACCATTTGCACAAAAGTTTGGTTTTTGATGTTTTTTGTGTCTCTGACTAGTTGGGGGGAATTGAATAAATAATTATAAGTATATGTATATGTATATATAATATAGTCCTCTGCCAGACTGCCTCTCGCCTACTACTTAAAGATATACCTATCACAGGCGCTGGGTTCTAAGAAGACTGATAAGAACTCTAAATGCGATTTCGGCAAAACTGCGTTGTTTGCCCTGCTTTCTGTGCTTCTGATACGCCTGCTTGCGTGGCTGAGCCAGGCCTTTGCTTCCGAACCTTTGAGCAAGCTCTTTCAAGATGCTCTGAAAGGCGCATGGGTCTTGAAGGGTTGTTTCTTCTTTCTGGCAGCTGCTCAGGAATGCATACCACTTTCATTTTGACAGTCGATTGATGCGATGTGGAGACATTTCTGCAGCCCCAGGCAACCCTTGCAACAACTATGTCCTCGACCCATTTCTTCATGATTCGCATTTCTGTCTTTGTTATAGGTGTATATGATGTGTAGTATAATGTACTTATATGTCAATCCTTATATGTATATATATATACATATATATATATATATATTATGCATCTCCGTACGGTGACAGCCATCTACCCCAGGTAAAGCTGGCAAAGCTGGGCGCATTTCCGGCCCCAAATCGGGCATCAGCCTTCGGAACGAGGCACCGCCCGTGGAGATCTGCGGAGCGGTGTACCGCACCAAAGGTGCTGGGGGCTCCTACTTCCAACGCTTAAAGGAGAGCGAAAAGGGCTCCAGAGGGGATGGTGCTGCTGAAACTTGACTGCAAACTGCATCACCAATGGAAACTAATGGAAACTAATGGAAACTTGTGACTTGTTTATCCGAGTCATCACTGCATTGCTTGGCTGTGAAGCTTTTGATTCTTTTATTTCTTTTGACTTTTTCGCCTTCAACACGTTTTGATTCTAAGGAGGAAAGATACTACCTGTGTTTGAAAAAGAGGAGCCGCCTGAGTGGCGAAGCCTCGTGAAAATGGTCTGCAAGCTGCGTTAGCGGGGTGGATGTGGTGAGGCCAAAAGCATCCTTTCGTTATTTTTCTTTGGTAGGCAAGGACTTTCAAAAGCAGAACTTAAAGACCCATGCAATTCAGAACTTAGTATAGCATAGTATAGCATGTGTATATATATATATATTATATATATAATTATATATATAGGTGACTTGCCCCCACGCCTATTTCAACTTCATTCAGAGTAAAACATCCGCCGCCTCAAAAAGACAGGGTGAACCTCTGGAGCTCTGTGGAAACGACCCAAGATATTTTTGAAGCAAGAAACCTAGCCTTGCATCAGCTTGGACTGCATTGCATGTAACATGGAATTGGTTTGTTGATTTAATGGTTCAGAGATGAAATATGATAAAATGTGATAACATGTGATAAAATAATTAGTGGCAATGCCCCATAATGCCCCATATCCACCAGTCAGATCGTCCCGCCAGGCGACCCCTGAGTCGAGCTGAATCCTTCTCCGGCCATCCCCGGCCTCCTTGCGAGAAAAAAATGTCTGGTGTGATGGAACTGTGAAAGTTGATGAAAGTTGGTCGATCCTCAAGCTCTTGATAGCTATTGGAGTCTTGGAGTCAGTTTCAGCGTAGACACCTACCTTTAGACGTTCATTTTTGGGCCTCTGTGTATCTCCGAGTGGCCTTCCCATGCGGGCTTTATCGTTCCAAGAGGTTGCTGCTTCCTTTCCCGCTACAATTAGTTGCAGTTCTAGTAACATTAGTGTAAGTAGCAAGTGATTATGCCAGAGGCCAACGCCGTAGCCGTTTGAATCAACAAGCCCGAATAAAAGCAAGGAGAATGAACATTAGGAACTGCTGAAACAGTTCTTAGTCTTTTGGTGCTCCAACTCCCAGCCAAAAGATGCCCTGATTCAGAAGTCAAAGAAACAGAAGCCTTTGTGACTGACTGTTCCAGATATGGAATCTTGACATGTCTTGACAGATTTTAATCAACAACAAATCACTCAGAGCTTCCCAACTGCAACTTTTATCACTTTTGTTGTCCCCGGCCTCGGGTATGGCTCCAGCAGCGAACTGTTCCACTGACGAGATCAGAAACATCAAGGAAGAGGTCACTCAGAAGATCTCGATTCAACTCCTTGTTGTTTTCTTCGACGTTTTCACTGCATGATTTGAACATATTTGATCATATTTGAACACATTTGTACAATTTTTGAACATATTTGAATCTGTTGACTTCAGGTTTGATTATGGCGGTTATGGGAAGTCATTTTCAGCCGATCTGAGGCCAGCTGCCCATCAACGGATCCAACGGATCCCACGGATCCAAGGGATGCGGAAGATGTTCCCAGCCACTTGGTGTACCACGTGGATTCCATGGGATTCCATGGGTACTAATGGAGGTGACAAAGATGCGACGAATCTTTAGTATTAAGTGATATTAAGTGCAAACCAAAGGTGAATTCAAAAAGACATGTGCATGTGGACATGAGGGCACAAGGATCACAAGGATCACAAGGGCACTTGAGATTTCTCGGGGTGCACAATGCACATGAACCCGCAGTACGGAGAGTGACTTTGACCAAATCTGTTTTTGGATGGCAAGTCATTTGTGCAGTTGTGCCCGTTAGCAGAACAATAGATTTTTTGATACTGATGACGATTGATTGTCATTGATGATTGATAATTTATTATCTCATTCAGCAAAAAGTGAAAAAGTGACGTGCACCTGACGGGCTCAGCCATAGCCATGGTCTTAGGTTCAATGGATGAATCGGAGTGGATCCTGCAACTGCTGAAGGGAAGGAAAGTTGGCGAACCTCAGCTCAGAGCTGTAGGATCTTTGAGGTAGAGACAAGCTGGGGGTCTGGAGCCGGTTCAGATAGGCCCAGCCCATCTTTGTATATCTTTGTTGCATTTATGATTCATGATTATATAATGTATATTAAAAAATAAAAAATTCTTTTGACGAGTCCTTGCCATGATCTCTTTCAAACAAGAATGCAGGGATTCTTTCACTGCGTGAGTCCTTGCTTCGTGTGAATGTCGTAAGAATCAACACCCTACAGAATACAGCCTTTCATAGCCTTTCAATTGTGTAAGGAGACTATACACTTCCCGGCAGAGTTGAGGGTGGGAAGCCGCGTCTTCACTTCAGCTTTTGTTGAGCGGGACTTCAGCAGCTTGGCGCATGGCATTACGTCCACTATCGTTTACTGAACGCCGATCCTAAGGTGATTTTTGATGATTCTGTCAGTCGACCTTGACCAAGGAACGGCATCTGGGGCCCATCTACTTCGTTTGTATCCTGGGGCTGTTCATTTCATCGTGAAATTTGCCGATGTTCGGCAAGAGCATGCGATGATGTGTGCCTTATTGGAGATGAACAGACGGTGGCACGAACATGTCGTGAATGTATGTGGCGTAGCAGTGCAAGCCTTGACCTATGAGATTTTTCCCATTGGATCATCTGGAGGTCTCATTGAAGCGGTCATTGGATGTCGAACGCTGCGTGAATTGAAGAGGCTGTGTAGATCAGAGCCACAGCAGAGAGTCTTCGAGGCCCTAGGTGGTGATGGGCAGAAACTCAATACCCTTGCAGCTTCAACCACGGCGTACTTGACTGCCTGCTACGCTCTGGGAGTACGTGATGGACATGATGACAATATCATGTTGCGACACTTTTCTTGCCCAAGTTCACTTTCATGTTGTACTTCTTGTTCCAAGCATTCTCCTTGAATCAGATAGCTTTGCAGAATTCTTGGAGCCTGTGGGGGAGTGACGGTGATGAATAACTGATGAATATATGATTAAATTATGTCAACACAAACAAACGAATTACAGATGTCTAGGATGAAAAAGAAGGCTCAATAGCTCACCAGCTTATGTTTCACCTGTGACCACTTTGGAATTTATCCAATACCTATTATCTATCCATATCTATCCATATCTATCCAATATATAGATTTTTCCAATCCCATCACATGCATATCCCTTGTCCATGATCGTAAGTCATCACATGAATATCACTGTTTTTCTTTAATTTTACAAGATCGGCTATAATTTTATAATTAGTAATGTTTTTTTTTCCAAGAATTGCACTAAAATCATCTCAAATTGGCATTTTCCATCATTTTTCCCATATTTTTCCCCATCATTTTTCCTGTGGCAAGGAGAGGACGGCTCCTTGTTCCGTGTGGACTTCGGCTTCGTCTTTGGTGCGACACCGGAGATCGACTCGCCTCAGACGGTGGTGGCGAGAGCGGTGACCTATGCCCTGGGGGTCGAGCGGTGGATGGAAGTGGTGGCTGCTTGTGCCTTGGATTTCACTGGACCCAATACAAAGATACACAAAGAAATTGTATATTGATAAGATATGATAAGATATTTTTCACTATAGAGATCATATAGATATCATATCGGTATCATAAATTGTGACAATATGTATACCGCTTGTATGATATATATATATATATTTAGTACAATACGTATATATATATATAGATAACTATACGTATATATATATATATTATAATATATTGTTATTCTACTATATTGTATAGACGACAATTATCATCGTATGCAGAGTCGATACATCATCACACTAGATGATGTACATTATTCTGCCATATTCTGCTTACTTATTTGATATCATTCTAACGGACCACTTGGTGCCGCGACTTGAGGTGGTGATTCTCTCACGGCGTTGACGGGCAATAGTTATGGCAGTCCACCTGCCTATGATTGCTTGAGCAGCCTTGGATTTGCAGAGCCTTTTCAAGTCTTTTCCACTTGTCAGGAGTTGAGAAGGTTGGTTGTGATTTGGCATCCCCAGCAGCATTCCTATAGTGTTTTGTTTTATTTGGTTGTTCCCTGATCCCCCATTTCTTGTTTCCAACGAATAGTCAAAACACAAAAGTATCGGGCTTCTTGCAGTATAATTCTGCATCATGTCACTGACTCGTTTGCACCCAGCGAAGGCAGCGTTTCCGAGCTGGAAGCGTATTTGCCCTTGGTCCGACACTTGAAGTAAAGCATTTAGTTCTTAGATTTTCTTAGCTTATGGCAGAAGCAAAGAGTTATGACTGACTTATACTTTGTAGCTTTGAAATGCGGTTTGGCAGCCCTTCGGTGACTTGATGCATCTTGATGCACTCAGCGCCTTTGTGAGCTTGCAAATCAAGAATGCTTGTAGCCTAGTTCGCAACATCTAGTTCCTGATCCAAAATATGAGACTTGCTTCTCCATTGGCTGTACCATCTGCCACAGTGAAACTTTGTGATTTTGCTGCTAGGTGAATCTTTTGCTATCAGATATAGCCCCTGCATCTCTTTGATCCTATCTGATTCTGTTTGTCTATTGAGTCTATTCGTGGGCAACATCCACCGGTCGCTTTCCTCAGGATCACACACGGCCTCACTGAGCCTAGCTCAGTTCTGTAGGGGGGCTCAGAGATGACGATGTAAACTGAAACTTCTGGGTATGCGGCTACCGCTACATACAGAGCATGCAAACTACAACCTGCCACAAAGCACAACCAATGGACCAAGCTATGCCTATTGATTTCGGCTCATGTTTGGTTTTCTGAGTTGAGACCATTCCATGATCAGATTTTATTGGTAAACGTGTGCTAAGGTCATGATGTTTCCTGTGCCGATCAGTGGTCCTTTTCAAGAGCAGCCAAAAACACGTTGCGCGAGGCAACCTCCGGTCAAACGACAAAACCCTATGGGCATCTATGGGCACAGTGGCTGGCCATCTCCTTTCCACCTCGCTTTCCATTCAATTGTTTCTGACGCACACTGTTTGGTACCAAGTGATGCTCCATCACTTTGGGTATGCCTGGAGAATTTTGACAAGTAAACGAAGCTAAACCAACACATTGAGCGCAACACAGCAAAAAAACAACAATGAATTCGGTGCGTGTCTGTCATACCTGTTCCAGGCGGTTCAGTTTCTACGCGATCAAGCTGGCCTTGGTCCGGAAGATGAGAGTAGTCAGGAGACCACAGCACAAAGGGCGAGAATGTGATGCAAGGGAAATCCTGTGGCACGGGGATCTGTGTATGTCCAGAATATGGCAGGGCATGGAACATGAGTTCTACAATTAGTGGTGTGGCGTACCCTCAGGAGTCTTCATTGTTGTATGTCTTTGTTCAATGTTGAGAGATCCTGCGCAAGATTGAAAACACCGAGTATGCTTTCAAAAGGTTGATGCCTCTCCCATCTCAAAAGCTACAAAGACAAGCGAGCCACCAAGAACAAATTCCGGCGTAAATGCAGTAAGCAACTAACTGATGTAGACCTGTGAATGCCATCCCCTGCAGCCGCGTTGCGCGTAGCCTAGGGCGTAAGCACTGTGCCAGTGTGGCCCCAAAATCACTGCCCAGGCCCTTGAAATTTCCCATGCGTCACCAGTCCGGCAGGATGACCATGCAGAGGTTCCTGAAGGGATCTCAGGCCTGGGATTTTGTACAACTTTGCATGATTTAATATGATTTATCAATATTTATCATGGTTATTTATAAACCATGGTTATTCATTAATATTTAATATTTATCATGGTTCTTCATGGTTCTCTTGCACGCGAAAGACACATCTTTGGCGTCTGGTCGAATGGAACAGATTCGAATCATGATGAATCGCGTAAAGACACCAAAGAGTGCCCTTCAATGACACCATATCCAAGCCCAGAAACGGTATATATCCCATGAGGAACCTTTCCATTTGTTTCGATTGGCCCATGTATTATTATGCAGAGCTCATTAATGGATTGCAGCCTTGGAATCTGGGAGGAGCAGAGACGCCTCTGAGCGATCCCTTCTTGGATCTCAACCTTTTCCTAGATTCTGGAGTGGAGGCTTTTCCCGCATAATTCCGTGCAAGAAAGCGAACGGTTTCCGGTTAAGATACAATCTAAGGTGGAGTAAAGAAAGATATGGTTCTGGCCTGGAGGTAAACTCTTATGCCTTATGACTCCTATTGCATTTGATTGCGAGATCCAAAGTATTGGTCAATAGCCGGTAGTCTAGATATGCAATTAGATAGATATGGAACAAGACTGTGAGACTTATCGTCCCAACACAAGCTGCCTGGTGTTGAGTCACTGGAAGTTGAGGACGACATATCGAAACCTACACGATGTGTTATTCTTCAGGAACAATTTGTAGTGTCCTTCCAAAACACAGCAGGAATACGGTAGATGTCTAGTATATTCTTTTCAATGATTGGCTATGCCTGTTTGGTCTTGAGCCGCGGTTCCATCAGACGTTGCTTCTTTGCTGTAGCTGGACTCTATCTACAGTAGCTGTCACATGTAAGGATCTCCTGGGGCTATACCGAGCAATGCCTGAGCAGTTTGGTGAGCCAAGGGCTGAGCCGTCCAGCAGAAAGCCAGGGGAAAACAGATTGGTTGACGAGAACACCGTTCTTTAAATGTCACGAACGCCAAAAGTTGACATCCACAGATGTAGTTCACCATGCAGTCCAAGTGGTTTTAGATTGTGAGATCAGCTACGGCCGAGGCATGAGGGAGACCTTACAGATTGGTTCATTGAGGGTCCTGTTGCGGACATGCTTTCCATGGCCAAAGAAGGCCTCAGCAGAGAGGCCGTGGGATCGCTGTGCGGATTTTCTGGTCATGTGAACGCCCACTGAACCTTGAAGGATCTTGAAGGATCTTGAATTAAGGGAGTCAAAATTCAACCTGAGCACAGAATAGCACAAAAAGAAGCGTTGGTCACAGGCTGCACAGGGACTTCGATGTGTGCTGCATGCGTAGTGGGTTTTGAGATCACTTTGCTCCGCGCCAGGATCTACCGGCTGAATCGAGGCCCAGGTGGACCAAGCAGCTGAACGTTTTTTGCTTGACCAGGTTTGACCAGTACTTGTCGGATCTTGTAGGAATCCGCGGCACTAAGTAAACGAAGTATATCTAAGTGTTAAGTAAAGTATTCCAGGCTGTAATGCTGCAAGAGGTGTATTTTCACATGGCATCAAGCGGAATTCGACAATGAAACAGCCTCCTATGATCTTCTATGACTCTTCTATGTTTTCCATCAATCACAGCACCATGTTCATGGCCCGCCAGGAATGCTTCGTTTGGCGGGCACCTTCCGCAGGAAGGGGCACAACGGGCACAACGAAGACAGGAGAACGGCAAGGACGGTGACTTGAACGGTGCGCTGGAAATGCCTCAAACGAGCAACCATGAGCAACCGATTTCAATCCATGAATCTTCAGATTTGTCATGACATACAATTGATGACCAGAAGTATAGCATTTGCTTAAACAGTGAAACCTGAATGCAAGACTATCCTTTGGTGTTGACCATCTGGAATATTTTGGATTTGGATGTCTCTTCCATGACTTGACGGCTTTGACTTGACGCACATTTTCTTGGGGCTTCGGCTGAGGTGATGTGAAGTCACCCCTTCGTATGAAGCAAGCCAGAGAGATGTTGATGAAGCTGTATGAGATGACAGCTCTACAACGAAAGCCCAGCCTTCCTTTTCCGGTCGATTCACGAGCTCGAATCTCACTTGTAAAAAGGGGATGCAACATGATTCAACACAGGTCAACAGGGTTTCAAGATGTTTCAAGCTGGCTTGTATCGGTTCTGTCTTTGGGGCGAACTGCCATGGGTATGTTCCAGGAGTTTGCTGGATTCATGAGAGGCTGGTCTGTCAATAGGATTCAATAGGTAGTTTCAGCCAACGCGGTGAGAAGGATAATGATATCAGAGGATATAGTACTGTAAATTCTGAGTGTGTTTTTCTCCTTCAAGATCTCTCAGACCTGGTGTGAAGATATTCAAAGATATTCAAAGCATGTGAAGCTCCTGCACTGAGGAGATCAGAGATACAACTTTTCGCAGCAAAGTGAGATGCCTTCAGCCCCAAATCAGCACGCCTATGGAGGGCAGCTGGGTAGCAACCAGAGCCCATGCACCAGCCCATTGGGACACTTTTTTGATGGCCGTCTCAAAATCTCGGATTGAGGTATCCTCTTACCAATCAGGACCGTCTGGGGCCTGCAGCGTGTTCAGCTCATGTCCACAATGTGACACTGGAGATATCCACAGAGGAACATGAAGAAACTGTGGATAACTGTGGTGCTTTTCACACATGCAGAGATATGATGAGATATGCAGAAATGCTTTGCTGTACCTTCGGCGATTTGATGCCTGTCAGCTTGAAGGAGTGGCCACAGGCAGCATCATTGCCCCGCCAACAGTGCTCAGTGCAGCCGATGCTATTTGAATGCATCAGGATCATCAGGAGATATCAGGCTTCACCAGTAGAATACAGGGAATCACTCGGTATCAGCTTTTAAGGCGCTCACTACCTGATTGAACATGTTCCAATTGCATTGCCTTTCCTTGGTTTGACAAGTGACTTTTCTGAAGCCTCTTGCAAGCCCTACTCGAGCAGCTGTATAGCATGCAGTATTCATGTTTGTGAAATGTTGTTTGAAGAATGACATCCTTACATGCTCTTTCGGTCACTATGAACATCTATGAAATCCACAAAATTGGGTAAGGGATGTCGAGGGTATTTTGGTAGATTTGAAATCGACGCAATGTTCGGCATATTCGTCAACCTGTTGGGACAGTGCCTTTAATGAATCAAATGGCTCGGACAGATCCGCATTTCTTCCCACACAGACTTGTTGAGGTAGATGACCATGTAGATGCCTTCTCAAGATCCCCTCAGGAATATTTCCAGTCTCCCAACCATGATGCTTCCTGCTCAATGATGACAGTACTCAGGCCTGTGAATTCCCTTCCAGTGAACGACCCATTTGCTCGGACACCTCCGGCAACACCGAGGGAGTTGCTTGGCAGCTTCCGCAGTAAAAAACAATCAGAGTTCCTTATATATCCCATTATTGTCCTATGTATAATTGGAATACATATACTGTATGTATATATAATTATATATATATAAATACATATGTATATATATATAATGTACAGTATATATTTATATAATTATATATATATACATATGATATATGTACATAATGATACATATATATATATATGTATAATTTTGTGTATATATATACATATATATATATATACATACATATCTATGAAATAGATAGAGACATCCCCAATCACTCACATGTTGTGTCACAGTCGTATCCGCTTACTGAAAGATCTCATTGACCTAGGCCCTTTCCGAAGCTGTTGGAGGTGGGATGCTCCCGGGATTCAGGACGAAGCCTGTTGCCAAATCCCAAGTTATAAAGCCATCCTGCCCAGAATGACATATCGGATCCAGGTTAGCTTAGCCCAGGTCTTATTTGGTTTTGTTAAAATTTGTTAAATCTATTGTGTGTTTCACAGACCCAGAAAACAATAGCCCTTCGGGTTTGAGGGAATCCTGCTGTCTTTTCTCAGCGCTTGTTGCAGGTGTTGGCTCCGGAACCAGTTTGCACCTCAGCGTCCGATGAGGAGGTCAGACCTGAAACTTGATGCGATGCAAGGCCTACATGGCAGAGACCTTCGTCCCATCCAACGTTGCAAATACGTCGCTCAGCACTGGAATCGGGTAGGTCATTTGATATCATTCGGTTACCACTTGTGGTACTTGTGATGGGTTCCCTGTGAAGACGAGCTATAGCTGGCCATGGAATGCCATGTATGACTCTTTGAGATTGAGCCATCTGGACTCCGGACCATTTCATGCGTTCGAATGCGTTTCAAGATTGAGCTGTTAACACCAAACCGTGAAGTCAGTAGGCAACACAAGCGCTGCATTTCGAATTCATACTCTAGCATACTGTAGCTGTTTCTTACAGACGTTTTCCTCAGTTGGATACACAAAGCGCTCTAGGTACACAGGGGCTTCTTGTGGAATGTGCGGCTGAGGGCTTGGGCGGGGCCTCTATCACTTTCCATTCTCAAATCGTGGAGGGAAAAGTCAAGAGATAAAGATGTTGAACACAAATTACATTTACTCGGTCAGACGAGTTTTGGGTGAAGATTTCGACTAGTATCATTGTTTTTGTCTGCTAGGTCTGCCGTTTGTTTCTTTTAGCCAGTCTGGTACTCCTAACTGTTGCTATTCTTGTAGCTCCTCAGCCACTTTGCAGGATCAAAGCAACACGATTCTATGACCAACCGAGCGACTCAGTGCAGGTACAGCAAGCAGGCTCCGTTCACCGCTGGTTCCAGCACATATCAGAAGCTTGGCTGCCCTTGCAAGCTCTGGAGATTCACTTCTCAAAGACTTCCAGCAAAGATAGGATGGGAGTTAAAGTATTAAACGTCCAGCGCCATGATATAGAGGTTTCCTAAACTAGGGGTAGCCATGCATACTCCCAAATCATCCATTTTGACAGGATTTGCCAGTATAAACCATCCATTTTTGGGGTACCACCATTTATGGACCTCCCTATTTTCTGGCCGTGGATCACTGCAGGCAAAGCGGCATCAGCTGCGCCTGCAGCTGAGACTACTGAGACGAGAGGAGCAACGCTGGAATTATATAAATATATATAATCGATATATATTATATATATAAAATACATAGTTTCTAAAGGACTGCCGTGGTTGGGCACAATGCCTTATCAATGTGTACTCATCGGACGGTTTTGGTCTGCCGCTGAAAAACCCGAGTTGCTGCCCAGGCTGGGCGTTCGCCAGAACCGTTGCACCCCAGAGCCTTGCTCCAAGCATCCTGTGTGTAGGAGAGAAGGGAATGCAGAATGATGCAGAATGGAATGCAAAACTCCAACAATTTCTAAAATCAAACTTATAAAACGATGACATGGCAAGCAACACAAGTATCAAACCTCAATATGGAGATGGGCAATGTACCAGGACCTGGCACGAATACCCAAACAGTGTGGGGGTTAAAGCTCCACCTTCCCTCAAAATTTCTCTTGAGGCATGTTATTGTTAATAGAGTTTTAGAATAAGCAACTGATGACTAACATCTTTAATGTTGTCCAGCCAATAGTGATATCTTGTCAATAGTAGAAACATTTTTCCGCAACTCCAATTTTTCTCCAATACTAAAAGTCAATTAGCTCCATTTACTTTTAGTATTGCCAAAAGAGTCATGTTCAGACCTTGTCCAGAGGGCATGGCCAATAGTGCACCCAACATGGCAATAGTGGACACTTTTTTCCCAACTCCAATTTTTTCTCCAATACTAAAAGTCAATTAGCTCCATTTACTTTTAGTATTGCCAAAAGAGTCAAGTAAAGCAAATCCTTTTCAAAGCAGCCTTCACTTTTGATTAGCAAAAGCTTAGATTCCAGAAATCTGATCGAATTACCAAACAGCTGATTTCCTTATAAAACCCTTATATATTAAAAAAAGCAAGAAAACAGGTCCACACCAGAATAGCAATAACAAACCTGCCCCAGGCATGGCAATAGTGGAAACTTTTTTCCGCGACTGAAATTTTGTTGTCCTCCTTCTCCTTCTCCTTCTTCTCCTCCTCCTCGTCCTCCTCCTTCGCCTCCATCCCAGCCATAAGGTTCCAAAAATTTACTATTGGAATGCTGACCCCCCCTGACTTTTTTACCAAAATTATTTTATTTAGGGGGGGTTTACTATTATGCAGCAAACATTAGCATTTTTAAGCTGGTTTCTTTGTTGAACAGCATGGCCAATGTAAATTTCCTTAACTAATTGTGAGGTGCCGGTGTTTTCCTGAGGTGGCACCAATGCCAAAGATGAAAGTAGCTTGGCCACACGCCGCTTTCTCGGACTGTGCTCACAACTGCGGTTACATCCGCACTGAATACATTGGAAACGGAGTGACACAGTAAAACCAAGCATCTACTCATCGACAACAGTTGCTTGATTTCAACCAGACATATATTAGACATGCAACCCACACTTGCCAGAATGGCACTCCTCTCCTGGTAAGGCTTCACGGAGTCGGTGATTGCGAAGGGCAAAAGGTGCAGATTTGGGCATCATCAGATGATCTCCATCAGATCTCCAAGTTAAGACAACTTGCTGCTGGCGTAGTCTTGCGTAGTCTGGGAAATTGATGGAAATTTGTTGGTATTCCCACTGGGTCTTACCTGGTCCTACCTGGATGAAGATCGCCGCGGCCAGGCTGAGTTTGATGTGAGCAACTCTGAGTGGCCCCACTGCGATGCTGAGCCAGCTTATTCCAAAATTCAGAGAAATGGATCACAGGAAAACCGTGCCCAGTGCTGAGTTTGATAGGTGCTTTATGCTGTCGGTTCCCTACTGTTCTCTATGCTGAGTATACTAATAAATGACAATTACGACTGCATTGATGAGTCTATGCGTGAAACACGAGCCTTCGAGCCAGCGGCAGTTTTTGCCATTTCTAGATTCTCTAAGCACAAAACGACATGTCGCACTAAGATCATGTTTCAGGTCCCTTACTCATTCCATGTGTGTAAGATTGTACAAGATCATGAGAAGCACTAGCCTTCATATGCAATGAATGAGCTTGAGGACGAGTTGGACAGTCTATGAAAGAATGTTTGCCTCCTTTAAGCTCTTTTTCATGTTCTTGCAAGTTGCATTCGGAGACCACTGCAATAATGTCCATTGATCCATCTCTTTGAGATATGTGCACCGGTCAAATGTCTGGTGTGCTTTGCATCTCTAGCGTCTGAACGGCACTATGCATTCAAACTTCCCAACGACCTCTATTCACTGATCCAGAACATAGTGATTAGTGGGATTTAGTTTTTTGTGGCCTTCTGGAGCCAATGAACCTGGCTGTTGGTGCAAAGAATGGCCGTTCTGGAAACCGTTCACCAAAATTTATTCTTGTAGTGTCACAAGGACAACTTTTCACCAGCGACAATAAGGCTTTTCCAAAGCAATTTAAGCTACCAGAGGTGGCTCTTCTGTACATAGAGTGTGAAACTTGGCCGATCGACAAATTTCGCAAAATATGGTTTGCCGGAGTGACCAACATGATCTCCAATTGCATTGTTGCAGATTTCGTCATAGTTTGTGCATGTTTATATTGTTTTTCCCTTTTGCCCTCGCCTTCGGATCTTTTGAAACTATGTCCAGGGTGTTTTGGGAAAAACATGTCCTTCCTTTTGAAAGCTTTTTGTGGGTCAAACAACGCAAAAGTAAAATACGAAAGTCTTCGAGAGAGCACACTTCCATGTTTGAGAAATACAGAATACATAGCTGGTCGAGCATAAACTTGGACGGAAAGTACAAGGTCATTTAATTGTTGTGGGTCAAGCAGCGCATTTTCGACAGAATGACAACCTTGGAAAACTGCAACTAATGCGTCGTGCAACTATACTGGAGGGTTACCTCGCAAATGTACCTTTGCTGCGTGGAAGGCGAGATGCGAGCCTTTTCTTGTGTAAGTCTGGCCACAAGTTGAGCGCACGTCATTCGCGAACCTTGGTACTTGCCCATCTCAGTAGATCATCATAGTTCTACAATACCTTGGGGCAAGGCGACAATAAATCGACAGACTCAATGTAGACGGCTTGGCCGATGCGGGGCACTGGCAGATGCGACACACACAGGAACAGTTGCAATCCACAGCATCCGGAGACTCAGAAAGGCGCATGCCACAAGACGTCCCAGGCGCAACACAACGAATCTAGTAGCAGGAGCAGTTGCAGCGGAGAGACAGTAATGACAGCAATGATGACAAAGAAGAAAGACAGTGATGCATGCAGTCACTATATATACACAGACGCGCCGACAATGGCACGAGTTGCAATGAGAATGGCAACATAGAAGAGAAAACGATGACAACATGAGACAATGCGCGTGCACACACGCACGCACGCGCACACACACACTAGACAAGAATGGATCATTATATGATCCGGCAGGAACTGAATCCTGAAACATGCAGATTAGATACGAAACAATGAAATTACCGATGCATCCTACGAATAATAGAAGTACTTCAGAATGGTCATCGGGTTCAGAATCGACATCACAAAGAATAAATAAACCAGCAATACTATCATCGGCGATGTCTCGGCGAAGATTAGCCAATAAATAAATAAATAATGTCGGCGACGATGTTGTCGGCGATCATGTAAACTCAATGTTACAAAAATGTTTTCTACGTCCTTGCCCTGAGGAAGGTTCTGATGCGACACGACGTGAAGTTCAGATTGTGACAACCGTGCAAATGTATCATGTTCGTCTTTGGGGTTCTTAGCTTGGCCCCATGCTATTCCAGAAAATTCGAACTGCAGGTACGTCACCAGGCGTCCCTGGTGATATCCTAGGATCATATGAGGAGCTTCGTTGGATGGAGTCTCATATGTCCTCTCCATCCCCCTGCAAATGTGAAAAGATTAGAACAAAAGAAGTTTTACATCTGTTCAGATGTTACACACACACACACCCCGCATGTAGCGGGGTTTGATTATTTTGGAAGAACATCGCGGCTGAGGTCAGCAGAACCACTCAGATCCAATAAGGCTACACGGTGCTAGTGTACATAGCCGCGGTCATTCACTCAGAAGGGAAATTCGCTTCGAGTTGAAGTATTTGGATCGCGTCACGGAAGCTCATGCCTTCAACCATCCTCCACGTGTCGTTGATTTCCCCAGATGCCATAGCGGCCGTCAAAGTGGCTGAAAGTTGTTTGGCCAGCTCCTGGATCTTCGTAGTTAAGCGGGTTGCCTCCGTAGGAGAAGTGGTCTCAATGGGAACATTGTGAAAAGGATGGTGCCCATGTACTAGAGGAATTTCAAAGTAATGGCGCCAATAATCCGCAGTGCGCAGGGACCACTCCCAATTGCCCGAAAGACCATAAAAGTAGTGCTCGGGATCACGACATTTGGAGAGCCCCGACATGGGGATCTCTTCGATGAATAACTCCCTGGTATTGTTGGAGTGGGTAATGATCTTGAAGTGGATCTGGTGGACCACGCGTGATGAGAAGTGACCACGATGGAAGAAGTTGTAGGTAGGACTTGGCTCAGTCGGGAACGGAACATCAGGAAGTGCAGGGCCTGAGTATGTATCGGTGTGGGGCGTGGTTCCGATGTCGTTGGTTGTAGTGTCAGCTGCCGAAGGTGCCGAGGTGGTCGAGGTCGTATGGTCAGGGGCGATAGAGTGACATAGTTCAGAAGCCTGGCCATCTGACACTGGATCAAGGGCTGTGGAAGCGAGTCCACGGTTGGGATTCGAAGGCCAAACCAAGCCCGCCACGGTAGCGTCACGTTTATGCTCCATGGGTGAGACGGTCAGAAAATGCGTTAAATGGCAAAACCAAAGGCTGAGGAATCAGGAAAAATAAATAGGCCGAGCCAGAGAATAATAATAGTAGTAATATCCAATGGTCGATCCTATTGTTCTGAATCACGGAAAGAGCAATGCACGGAACCTACAGTGGTGGAAATGAATCGAAAGGTGAAATTCCAAGGAGTCCGCCGTGTCAATAAAGTGTCATGAATGAAAGGAAAAGAACAAGTCGGGCATTTTCCTGTTCACCAGTGAAGCACATCAGGGTAGGATAACTCCAGGGCTAACTTTATGGCATCTCAGACGTAGCACGAAAGGCTGTGAAGTACCTGGTACGAGCAAAGTGGATCCGATGTAGTTGTACTGCCGGATTCGCCAGTCAGGACGGTATTCTTCCAAAAGCTTCATGACAGTCCAATCATTGGGAACTTGGAATGCATCACCTTCCAGATCGCAATAGCGAAACTCCAAATTCGAAGGCTCAAATTGGATGTCCCATTGGGTCCTCAATCTTGTTGTGATGGCGGGACGTAGGTCTCGAATGGGAAGAATGCCTGCTTCAATTGGTTCCAGCTGGCGTGACCAGGTAAAAAGAGCTTCCAGTTCGCCTGCACTAACATTCTTGAAATTTGAATTGGCAAGAGCCATGTAGAGATCACGGTCAGGTTCACTACGGTGTGTCAATCCCTGTAAAGGAGAGTAGTCAACTAAAATCAGAACAGGTCTGTATGGAGGAGGGTCCACATGTATAGTAACTCATCTACAAAGTGTTTGTTCTGTACAGTATGTCACGATTAGCCGGACTTCATGGGATAGGAATAGTTTTCGTGAATATGAGAACCAACAATATCACCAGGAAGGCATCGGTGTCCGGCAAGCCATGCAGCAGTTCGGGGCCCTTGTGGTGTATCAACCCTGGATGTAGCGCGATATGGGTGAGGGCGAGAAGAATGAGCCATGGCGTCGAGTATCAAGCGGGAAGCCCAGGCTGCGACATAAGAATACTATAATGATCGAAAAATAAAGCCCACAAGAAAAATGGAAGAAGACGGTATACATAGTGAATAGTCACGAATCGAAGTTTAGTCACTGTTCTTTTTTCCTTCCGCAAAATGATGTGGTGTGTTACACACTGGAGTCAGACATATCCATCGGGCCAGGGTCGTTTACATCCAGTGGACAATGTATATGGTGAGCAGGTGCGGTAGGGTGATTGGAATGTAAGGTCCGGTGAAATGTTGCCGATGGTGAAGAAGGTGGTGTAGATCTCCATGGTGGCCAAGATAAAGAAATAGTGGTACCTTGTGAATGGTGTTGAGCCGAACGTCCCCAGCATGATTGTAAAATGTGAAGCTGGTCCGGTATCGCTTCGTACGGTTGAGAAACGTAGACATTGGTGTGTTCAGGATGTGGGAGAACAGGAGCGGAAGTTGCCGTAGAGGAGGAGGATGATTGGATGGGTACATCATAGTATTGGCGCCAATGATTAGCCGTAGTGCGTAGGGTGGCCCGATCACTGGTGAGGTGCATGTTCTCCAAAAACGTTTCCACTGGCTTCCACGTTTCAATACCATCTAGTGTCCTTTCCACGATCCAAAGTTCATCAGGACGAGAAGACAAGGGATAGCTCAGCTTCTTGATGAATACGGAATGAACGGTTGTAGAGGTTGGAATCATTCTAGCTGCCCTGGGAATATACGATGTTGAAGTAGGATCATCAGGTGGGAGATGTGGGTCTGGGCCATGTACTGATGTAGGTGAGGAGCGGGTTGAAACCAGCCGAGCAGCATCATCAGTGGCGGAGGTCGTCATATACAGAAGCAGTAATATGATATCGAAACGGCTCTGAACTGAAGCCGAAATTCCGCTGGAAAGCGTCCATGTTGAAATAAACAACCACGAGAAGCACAAAATGGGAGACATGAGAAACAAGGGATACAAAAAAGGTCAATATCAAGGCGGAGGACTTCACGACCTGTGCTTTTCCCTTTTTCCTAGACGTGAGCGAATCAAGGTTATATCTCAAAA